TCTCTCCCTGGGGCCCTGAACCCCGGCCGACTGTGCTTCTGCCGAGAGTTGATTTGTCATCTCTTCTCCTTAAGAGGGGACATGTGAATTTTTTAAAAAATTAAAAAATAATAATCATATAATTGCATTATTTATAGATACGATCAGTATCTATAATTTGATTATATGGCATCATAAACATTTAACTGTGGATTTTGTCGTATTCCGTCGTATCCGACGTTTTTCGTGCTACTAGTTTTATTATAGTTTCACACTAAATCAGCCCTTTACGAGAGTCGTAAACGTATATCGCATTCGTACCTAATTTCTACCGACATTTGATCTTATTAACTGGTTTTCTTGAACAATTTGGGAAGTCTGCATGCAAGATATTGATAACCTTCATAAAAACATCTAGTAGTCTTTATTAATAATTTTCTATGTACATTAAAATTTATTTAATTAAAAAAACATAGAAAAAAAAAGGAACGGAGGGACAAATTTGCATTATTGTTTCGGAACCTTAATAATAGTTGGTCACCTTATTATAATTATTACTGTAAGATGTCTGTACATATGAGATATTTAAGAAAAAATTATATGGCGACTCTTAATAAGAGCAACAAAAACCTAAACAATATATTTTTTTTTTAATATTTGTCTGTCTGCGTATTTGTACTAGCATTACGCAAAAATGACTGCACTAAATCGGACTTATACATATAAATCATACATATTTTTCTGAGGGTCTTAATTAAAATCTGGTACATATTTGATCATAGTACGTCAATCTAAAAGAGATCTATCCATACTTCACGAGTACGAAATTACATGTAAATGCTAGTTCGAAATATATATTACGTATTGAGGAAATTGTTTAGCAGGCCACTGGTTCTTAAACGTAAGACCCTAAATCCTATAATGGTTAGACGAACCATGTCAAGAGCAAAAAAAGGCTCTAACGAAAGGTGGCCCATAAGATAAAGCTGAGGGCACATAAAATGTAAGTCTCTGGAACAATATTAGCACATTGAAGGAAACATTTAGTGTTCAATAATAATTTATAGTTTACTGCCCCTTTTAAAGCGGATCAGAGTTTTATGGGACTTCGTTCGACTGGTAGCAATTACATTTTCAGTTTGACGACCTGTGTAGCATATCACAATGATATATTTTTTACTACCAAGGACGAAAACAAGGTAATTGACCACCTGATGAAGACCATCACCTATATAATATATATGTATGTAAACAATGTAATGAATATCACAGAGTAGCTGTAGTGTTAAGATACTCAAGAATAATAGTAGACCTAAGAACAAGGAATTACATAGAAGAAATGATAAAATAAAAACTGTAAATCACATGGTTGCCTCCTTTATTCTTATACAAATATAATTAGTAAAAAGAGGACGAAAGATACACCATCAGTTGTCATTTTTATAAATTCATAGCAGGCTAGTGTATAGAAAATGTTTGATATGTCAATTATTTGTTAATGACAAATTTTACATTACTAGATTATATATTTGACACAGTTTATATAGAAAGTATGCAAGCAGGTTGTATCTGAATTTGGTAGGGTTATACGACCGTATAACATTTTCTATACACTATTCTGCTATGAATTGTCAATTTTATCACTCCTATATAATTCCTTGTTCTTAGTAATAGACGCATACGGTATTTCACATATGGTGCACTGTACATGAGTACATTGCGTAATACTATGTCTATGTTACTTCTGAAAACTATGTAGTTGGATAGATACTCTTTATTGTTTCATCCATAATATTACAAAAGTAAACTTATTATAAATATAAAAAATTACAAGACAATATTACACTAAGAAAACAATGGGCGGCCTTATCGCTAAGAGCAATCTCTTCCAGGCAACTTTTGGATGAAAAATAGTAATTATAAATAGTTTGACTGGAGACACGAAGCTATTCGTTTTTTTAAATACATATAGGAATATGCATACTTACAATACTGTGAATACATAACTTTATATTTGAAGTTACTAATTCGTAATAAATTAATCCATATATACAAACACATACATATGTAGTTACAAAAATAAAAATAAAAAGAATTCAAATATGCTAATCAGACACAAATTACGAATACGACAACTTGCTTAGATAGAAGTCCTTAATTTATTAAGTTAAGGAGTTATTTATTTGCCAAAGGGTTATTTCTCAGAAATTAAATTGGAATTCAATTTACGGCACTATTTTCTAAACAATGAAGTCTAAATAATCACATTATTAAGTTTCAAATCCCTAATCCTATATTATTAACTGAGCTTTAAAACAGATTGTATTTAATGAGCGGTGCAGTTAACTATTTGCAACTTTGCCCACTAATTCACCTACACTTGCGTGTATGTGTAAGTACAACGAATTTTCAGCACGCAAATAGACTTCCTTTTAACCTTTCAGGACTAGGATTTGTTATTTACTTGCACGCTATCCAGTAGTGAACTAAATAACTTTTGTGTTTTTCTATGCATGATAGTGGAATGGTTACTCCGCCTTTGCTATCGATATATGCTGGCGGGGCACCAGTGAGAGGTTATAGGTGAGGATGAAAGCAGGCTAGTTAGTCTATTGTGACAAATTTCACAACGATTATCCAAGATGGATTCCAATGGGAACCGCGTGGAAGTTGACTTGATAGGATATATTGCTAGCAATAGAGCTATCGAATCTCCATTAATTATAATCCCTTCCCCCTCTACCTTTTGTATTGTGTATCGTCTTTTGTAATTAACTGTAAAAACTATGTTAAAAATTTACTATCATATAACAATATTCATATTAAAAATAGACTAATCGTTAGGTATAGATATTTTAATATTATGGTGATTAAATAAAACACCTTCTAATTACTTATTGATAGAGTTCACAATCTGATAATTAATATGTCAAGAACGCGGTATAACTCTGTTTATATTAAAGTAAATTGAAGCTCCGTAACTTTAAGAGCGTAACGAGCTATAAACTTCTGGAGTCTGTCATACTTTGTAACGAAATGACCCAACGAGATTAGATGTGGTATCGAAGTATCGACGCTTGATTAATCCGCTTTAAGAAGAAAAGTTATGTTAGATTAACGACTAGGGTCCTGTGAAAGATGAGTGCGTAGCATTGCCCGTTAATTTAAGTTAAATTTTCGAGAGCGACAGGTTAATTAAATTCTGTCTGTTGAGTCAGCGTTGTGATTTTCGGCTGTATGTCGCTGGTACCGAGTTTAAAATTACAAATGTGACCCACTTTAAAATTTTTTTGAATATAATTAACCCTGTACCGCACTGCTCGAATTATAAATATGCTCAGATACCTTATCTTTCTAATATACTAATAAAATTGTATTTAGCAGATGCTGTGTCAGTTCCGGCATAGAATGGGCCACCCTTTCCTTTCCCGTGGGTGTGGTCAGAAGCGACTAAGGGAACTTATGGTGGAGGAATAGGCAGCAGCGTCCTTCTTAACCATCTGTAAAAGCCTAATTGCGGTTGCCCACCCGCCTGCCAAGCGTGGCAACTACTGTCAAAACTTTCCTTATGGAGAAGGCTTATGTTCAGCAGTGGACAGTTAAGGACTGAAATAATAATAAAACAATAATAAATTTAGCCGATACCTGTATATCCAGCTAACTCGCCTGGCAACTACTGGCAAAACCCCCCCAAGGGGAAGCCTATATTCAGCAATGGACAATTAACTGCTCATACGATGATAATGATAATCTCTGTAGGTATATAGGAGATATATAAGAAAAAAATATATAAAAATGGTCTTATCTAGGACAATAGAAGTTATAACAATAACTTTTAAAAATGTTTATCAGTCTGTACATAAATTTGTTCCAGTATCACGCAATAACTATTGCACCTAATTAAATGCGATATTCCCAATTGTCTTCTTGAAAGTCTAACTTAAAAAGAAAAAATAAATTCAATCGACTTAAAATCCTTTCATATTAAAATAATTATTGGCACCGTATATACCGGGGTACTGATGAGTATTCTGTGACGTCCTTGGTGTTGTTTACATCTTTAGTTTTTTTTTTTTTTTTTATAGATAATAATGAAAGGGTAAATCCGCCTGCGCTGTCGATATACGTTGACGGAGTACCAGTGAAAAGTAATAGATGAGGATGAAAGTTGGTCAGTTGGTCCATCATGATAAATTCATCGCGATTGAATCACAATGATCTCCAAGAGAAACCGCGTGAAAGTCATCTTAACAGGGTATATTGCTAACAATGAGGCAGTTTTTTTTATGCGCTGGCTGGGCATCAGTGAGAGATGTTAGATGAGAATAAAAAAGCAGGTCACTTGGCCTATCGTGATGAATACACTTGGAATTCAGCAGGATGGTTTCCAGGGAGGACCACGGGGAGGTCGACCTGGTTAGGTATATTGCTATCAATAGGGCCCTTAATCTCCATTACTAACAACCCCTTCCCTCCACAATGAGGTAATTAGACCCATTAGTAATAGTATATAATAATTAGTAATCTCTTTTCCCTTTATAAAAGATGATTACTAATTTCCAGCATTTGGGCGGACAACTTGTGTTTAAGTTTTATAAAATAAAATGTAATTAATTTGAAGTAATCATACGTTAGAGATTGAAGTATATCAATACTTGAACTTGACTTGAAGTAGAACAAATGTCACTCAGTGTCAATGTCAAAACAAATATCAATGACGTATGTCACTTAATGTCATTTCCTGAAACGTGACAATTTAACTTTTGATTTGTTTTGATTTTAAATTTCTTATTATTATTAATTTATTTGTAAGTAATATAAAAAATTTCAAATTATTTTATATTGTGTAAATCATCAACGTCTGATTAAATAGACACGTGGCCAATCTAAATAGTAAATTGTTTATAATGGGTTTAAACTGTATTCGAATTTTTTTTTATATTTCTTATGCATATTTAAATAATTAGTAGTATTAATACATTATTCAGATTCAAGCCATGAAAAACTGAGGTATTCATACTGATTAAAACTCAAACAGTCACAATATTCTTGCCTATATTATACGTCTTCCAATGAATAAAGTTTTTATTTTCGATTTGTCTTTGACGATGTCAAAATTGCCCATCAATTGAGGTCAATTGGTGGCAGCCATTCAAATTATTTAAATAAGAAATATAAATTACAAGGGATCCAAGAAAACGTCTTATTGTTATTCTCTTTATTGTTCATTAGGGGCACATTTAAATAGCTGAAAGTGAGCAGTTCATTCATATTCTACTTTTTTTATGCATACAATATTTAACTTTATATTAGATAAAAATGTAAATATATAAATAGTGGAATACATATCAAAAGTACTACCTTTTATTTCCAGGTAATAAAAAACATGAGTGAGCAAAGCAAGCCTACTTTGAGAATAGACTGGTTTGATGGTACCCTTATAGAAGATAATCGTCAAATTACTGAAGCTAGTGCTTCAGGATTTGCAGACGAAGAGCAGGCACAACCTGAGACATCTACAAAACCACAATTTACAGAGAAGAAACCAATTGGCTTTAAAAGGCTTCTTGACATATCATCTCTTGAACCCCCAGTTTTAACATTGGAAGTATCACACAGACCTGGCTTCTGGAATCTTCTGGACATAGAATTAAAAGGAGACTTTATAGTACTAATAGTCAAAGTATTAGCTCGTATTTATAAATCATTAGAGCCAAATGAAAAATCAAGAATTGCATCCCAGCTGAGGTCTAGATTTGAGAAGTCAAACTTTTTGGTTACATTAAAAAAATACCTGGCTGGTTTGCCATCTGTTAGAATTGTAGAGAAAAAAATTAATTTTCAATTATGGAATGATACTGAATTATTTTTTAGTGATGTTGTATCACTATGTGAGGGCATAATACATTTTGGTGATCATACTATAGAGTACTTAAAAGAAATTTTTGAATTGCTAGAAATAACAGATGAAAGTGCTGTTGGTGTTAAAGAAGAACATACAGAGACATTTAGCGATGCATTATTTAATAGAATAGATCAGTTAAAATTAAAAATATCAGAAATGATTAGTGAGGTCTGCATTTATCTATTTATTAAACTAAATTTTTGAAAGTTGTAAACATTTTATCATAACAATCTTTATTTTTAGGATCCAAGTGAACAAGTCTTATTTGATGATGAAACACCAGATAATAAATGTGATGACCCATACAACTATAAAAATCTTCATATTTTTCCTAAAAGAGAAGATTTATTGGGCACAAATAAATTGAACATACAGCCAAATATTATAAATGGCGCTTATACCAGTGTGCAACATTACCTAGATTTACAGTTCAAATTACTAAGAGAAGATTATTTTGGCACATTGAGAGATGGAATATGTTGGTAAAATGTTTAGTTTTATAATATCATCATTTGCAATTTTAAATTACCATGTGTATTTAAAAATAATCAGATTATGGGTTTCCTGTGTGCCCTACATAAAAAAATGCACTTTATTATTGATTTCAACTGTTTTGAAATAGTAGTATGATCTTTTATATTTTTGTTATAATATTGTAGTATATTTTTCATTTGTTGCATAATTTTTACTACTTTTACTGTTTTATCTGTTTCAATTGTTTTTTAAATGATTTATTTAAAAAGTTTACTTTCATATTAGTTCCATACTAATATCAATTTTGAATTAGGACATTAATATTTGACCAAAAGGCAAAAACTAGATTTAACTATTATCATCTATTATGTTGTTAACAACAGGGCATAACATATAATATGTGTTATTAACTATAAACTAATTTGTTTGTTACTTATAATATTCAGTTCTATGTTGCATGATAATTGCTAAGTATAAAAAAGGTATTATTATCTTATCATAATATATGTATATTTATATTTATATGTATGTATTTTTATTACATATTTGTATATTTATGTAATATTTGTTTAATGTATTCATGTATGTATATTTATATAATCATAATGTGCAGTACTGCATAATAAAATTTTTGTTTTGCCAAAGGTTGACTGAAAAAGAATGCTATATAGTATTAAATCCGCCTTTTGTACTAGACATTTTTTTGTAATTTGGTCAATAAAGAATAAATAAATAAATACAAAATATTGTTGTGGTAGAGTTCTTAAGTATAATAAATTTGAAGTCTTAAAAGTTTATCCACAAATCAGTGTTTGACAAGTTTATCTGATATTAAAGCTATGAACACATTTTTTAAATCTTTAGTAAAACTTATATAACACTATATATTCTTAATATCATTTTATTCTTTTAGGCAAATATATGGAGAACCCATCAAAAAGAAGACATGAAAACATTAGGTAACTGTTTACCTAATTGGGTAAATTTCTATATTTATTAAGGCAGATATTTTATATGTACCTATTGTATTATATTTCCAGAGTATACCCAAAAGTCCGTATTATTCGCACATATGTCAGTAACAATAGAGTGGGACACCTTATTGATATTGCATGGAAGGAACGCACATCTTATGGTATGATTGATAGTAAGAAATTGGCATACAATAGGCAACTTATGTTTGGATCTCTGTTACTATTCACTAGTGATAATTTTGAGAATATTTTGTGTGCTACTGTTCTTGATTCAGGGATGAATCTATTGTCTGATGGTTATGTAAGTATTATCATAGTAAGCTAATAGACTTTTTATATACCAAAACATTTTTTTAATATTTCTTTTTTTTATTATAATATTTTTTCAAATTTTTGAAATAATATATAACTTATGATTGTTAATTGCTATAGGTGAAAGAATTTTTAAAATTGGTTAAGTAGTTTTTGAGTTTATCCATTACAAACCAATAATCAAATCTTTCCCCTTTATTAATATTAATATAGAAGATAAAATAATTATTTTATATTACTGTCATTTGGTCCACTGACTTTTTGTCTATGATTTTTTTTCTTATGTGCTATACAAACTTGCCGTTTTACAGGAAGTTTTAAACAATTATTATTTTTAATTCCAGGTGGCAGTTTCATTTCAGAGTCCAGTGTCAAAGAAAATCTTCACTGAACCTTACCTTATGGTAGAAAGTGAAGTATTCTTTGAGCCCTACCATAGAGTTCTCAAAGTGTTACAGAATTCTCGTGTTGATGGTTTGCCAATGCGCAAATACATAGTTGATGTTCAGGTATCAATCAGCAAATTATTATTTAAAATATTGCCTACAGTAAAAAATTATTCCTTTCATCGTGGAATGGCAAATATGCTGACGCCAATTAACACAAGTACATAAAATAATCTCACAGACAACACTGTGATTTCCATAGTACCTTTTACAAGTTATTATTTCTTTGAAACTCTTAATTTTAAACTAAGAGTTTTAGCAACAACTTGTATAAAAAAAAAATTTGTTTTTTAACATTTTCTTTTATAGGTTTTTATTTATTTATAATTGAAATTAAATAAATACTATATAAAAATATTTTGTAATTTCAGACTGAAACGCAAGCACCTTCATATCTAAATTCAGAAACACTATACACTGTCACACAAGCGAACAAATTGGAAGAAATATCTTTCCCAGTATTGGACTTGGCTCAATGGCCTACAGACAACTTACTGGGTCTTGATAACTCCCAATATGAGGCTTATAAATTTGCGCTAACAAGAGAATTTGCCGTCATTCAAGGCCCTCCAGGAACAGGAAAAACATTCATAGGAGTCAAAATCGCTACAACTCTACTAAAAAATTTGTCTCTATCAGGTACTCCTATGTTGATAATTTGTTATACGAATCACGCCCTTGATCAATTCTTAGAGGGTATTTTGGAGGTCACCAAGAACATAATTAGACTTGGAAGTCAGAGTAAAAGTAAAATATTAGAGCCATATACACTAAATAATATGAGAATGCAAATGAAGTCAAAATACTCATATTTATATGGAAGCAAGAGGGCGGAATTAGAGAAGATCTTCAAAGAGATGACTGATTTGCAAAGTGAGATTGAGAAATGCGAGAAAGAGATTCTGACTTATAAAACGATTAAACCATATCTCAAAATTGGGGATAAAACATATGAATTGGAAGATTCTAAAGAAGATCCTATATTGAATTGGCTTTTTGATGACACAAAAAGGGAAAAAGTAAATACAGAAGAATTGGAAGACTGGGAGAAACAGTTTGACGATCTAAGTCTTGATAATGAAAAAATAGAAACGTGTTTTAGTGAAGAATCGGCTTTGAGGGAAATAGATTCTATGTTGAATAATATAAAGTATATAAAAGATATAACAGATGATCGTTTAGAACGACAAAAGATGACAGACAAATTTCAGATACAAATAAATACAATTAGGCAAAGGTTAAATTGTTTTAAAGTAAGTACTAAAGATTAAGCATATAAATGCCCGCGATTTTGTACGCGTAGATTTTAAAATTAAGAAAACCAATAATACAGCCCCCTTATAGATGAGTATTAGTTGAAACATACATCAGATTTTAAGTTAAGCCTTCAGGAATACAACTGTAAAAATTGCATTTAATTTGCTATAGTAGTGTTTGCGTAATGCCGGAACAAACATACAGACAGACAGACAAATTTACTAAAAAATATTGTTTTGGCTTCTATTGGTCTTATTAAGACCCATTATAATAATAATAATTTTTATTTCAGACTTTTTGGTCCATTAAATATTTATTAGTAACAATATTTTTAAAACTAATGTTAATAAATTTACATACACAATACACATACACACATACAATATATTAAGCAGTATACAGATAACCACCGCTGCACAATTCCATTAGAAATTGCGCAGCAGCGATTAACGTACACACAGTCCAGCCTGCTTGTTATCATACTCGGGATGCTTTTGGCGCTGGTACGTACTCTGCGCACCAGGGATGCACACCTTTTTCGCATCGTGGCATAAAAACAATCTACACGATGCTCAACGAACATCCCTGACGCGCTACAGAATCGTGGCAGCCCCATCAACACCCTGAACACGCGTTATTACGCGGTATTATATTGGATATATATTTTTTTCTTAAATATCTCCCATGTACAGAGATCGTCTAGTTATAATTTTATTATATTAGTAACATAACAAGAGAATAAAACCGACACACTATTCTGACCGCGTTATCCACAAGAAATGTTTGCCTATTAGTGTTCATTTCTTTACAAACACGCCATCTATTTGAAATCAATAATAAACATTTTTCCGACTTGGCACGCCAGATGGCGCCACTGACATTTTATTTTGTTAATTTTATATTCATTACTTTCAGCAGAATATGTCGAACTCGACAAATGTTACAAATTTAGAAGACAATCTGACAAATGTAACAGATCTGTACAATTTGAATCTGGAACAAAGATGGAGGGTCTACAACAATTCAGTAGCATCTATCAAAAGCAAGTTGATGACCAAAATGAATACTCTACTGGTATGTTTCATTATCATCATCATTTCGGCCATTATCTGTCCACTGCTGAACATTGACCTCCCCCATAGACTGCCATAAGGAATGGACCTCAGCCGTCCACTAAGACCCTGCAATGCATTTCACTCCATCTAGTGAGGGGTCATCCTACACTGCGTTTGCCCGTTCTTTTACGGATATCCTCGTTTCGGATTCTATCACAAAGAAACTCTGAGCATAGTCGCTGAGTAATTTGTAGCTTTTGCATGTATGCAACGGTGTAGGAACAAGTTTTTTGTTTCATAAATCATAATATTATGCTTATTGTAGCTTAATTATAATATTTAGTAGGCGTTCCCACGACTCACGGTTATCATGTGAACAAAATCACAAATAAATCATATGAATATGTGAAAGTAAAAATATTCGGATATCTGTTATTTAATCACTCTTATGAGGCTTTAAACTATAATAAACACACTACATGTACTCTATTAATTCACATTGATTCTTCCTTGTCATGACATTGTAGAAGTCAAGAAATTGACTAGATTATAGATATTATCAAAAATATTAAACCAGTATTTCTCAAAAGATTTTTTTAATATTCGAGAATTAATACAAATTAAAGTCGTTTTTGACAATTCAAATAGATAGACCTGTCTTATGGACTCCATAGACGGTCAAGCCTGCATCTATTGACATTTAGATACAGAACTGCTTTGTTTTAAAAGTCACAATACATGCTTATTATTTTTAACCACTTGATCATGTACGAAGCCTATTAGAGTATTAAATAATAATATGAACCTTTTTAACCTTACAAGTTTTTTTTTCTGTATTTTATAATAAAAAACAATGGTGAGTTGTATTGTTGATTTGCATACAATGTCTTATATTTTATGTAGTACGTGTGATCCTAATTTGAAGGTCAGGTAAATAGGAGTTGTTTGCCACATATTTATTCATAGCCGAAAACCAGCTTTAGCCGCCTGAAGTCAAGGAAAAAGTGTCCTATAATCTCATACAAAGCACGTATGAATGCACATGTTACCCCATTACCATGGAGGGAAAGGAATTGTTAATGGGCTATTGTAATTAGTAGTCTAGAAAAAATTGTCCATTATACATGTCAGATTTTATGAACTACACTAACGACAACATATACATATCTGTTGTGTCTGTCTTCCATTATGGTAGGCAGAAACAATAGAACACCAGATGCTTCAATTCGAACAAACCTCTTTCACTTCTTTCACAGTAATCAATCTTTTCATACACGCTCGTCGATTACCGGTACTTTTAATTTGCCACTTCTCAGCACGTTGCCTATTTGGTCGACATACATCCGTCTAAGGCGGCCCCTACCGACATCTCCATTTATCATATTCCAATTGACATATTCTAATATGACATAAATGTCATATTCATATTCCAATATCCATTTAGTGGAAATGTGAAAAAGACCAACTATATTTATATTTCGTGATAAATGCATAATATAAAATTCGTTAATGTAAAATTACGTTAAATGGACTAACTAATTATTTTATATAACTATATATTATATATCGCGAATATAGATATAGTTGGTCTTTTCACATTTACACTAAACGAATATTGGAATATGACCACTCACTTGCGTGGTCTTACTCTATCTTAAGAACGTTCATGACTTTAGCTTGACGAAATGTGGCAAATTCGCATTTATGTGTCAATTTTCAAAAACAATTGAAAACTTTCAATATATATGACTGATTATTTATAAACTGTTCTGTCTACGACATGGGAAAGCAAGGGGTGGGCCATTCTACGCCATACAGTTTTATAAATAAGGAGAGCATGTTTTATACGTTAAATATTATATTTTTTTCACAGGAACAACACAATAAATGCAGTGACGAGTTGAACGAAGTGGCAACACTTATTGACGGGGAAGTGATGAAATCAGTGAGGGTAGTCGGCGTTACCACTACCACGGCAGCGCGGCGACACGATCTGATGAAGAAGCTGCTCTCGCCTATAGGTAAAAAAAATAGTTGTATCCCACGGAATTCCCTGCATTAATTAAAATTATTTTTTTCTTAATTGATGAAAATGCTATAGCATACTTGCCTGCGCTATTGATTTACGCTCCAGGGATGCCAGTGAGGGATGATAGGTATGGCTCGTGGGGAATTAACCACAAGACTCTCCAAGATGACCCCATGAAAGTAAACCTAACAAAGTATATTGTTAGTAATGGGACCACTGACTATGGTGGTAACAAGCATACGGCTCGCCTGATGGTAAATGGGGTTACCGTAGCTTAAGGACACGTACTAAGGGATGTCACACGATATTAAAAATAAACTGACTCCTCCATTATGTAAATGCACAGCACCAAAAATGTGTTATCTAAACTAATAATTCAGATAACATATTGTCTCAAGTGGGAGATCATTTGTAACTCGATGTACCATTAGATATTCATCGTTCCATATAAATAAAAAAAAATATCATACAATTATATTCTAACAATAATTTGTATGTTTCAGTGATAGTAGAGGAAGCTGCGGAAGTCCTAGAGGCTCATATAGTGGCATCACTAACACACCACTGTCAACATCTCATACTAATAGGTATTTTTTTTTAATTATAATAATATTTTTTTATTATTTCAGTCGTTAATTCTCTACTGCTGAACATAAGCCTTTCCCATAAGTGGGGTTTTGTCAGTATTTGCCAAACTTGGCAGACGGGTTGGCAACCGCAGTTAGGCTTTTAGAGATGTTATAAGAGGGACGCTGCTGCCTATCCCTCGACCTACCTTAGTCGACTCTTACGATTACCCCTTCCTTTCCCACGGGAAAGGAAGGGGTGGCCTATTCTATACCGAGGCCACAATTATAATAATAGCCATCCATCCATCTAGGTAATCTAGTCCTAAACTAAGAATATTTAATATTACAAGTAGTAAACAACTAACAGACATACTTAAAATATTTTTTTATATATAAAGACATACGATACATAGAAAAATCATTCAGACCGACATGAGTATTAGTGTTTGTATTGTACCGGGATCGAACTCCAGACCATCGGGAATTGAATTAGTGTTTTAAACCACTACACCAATAAGCGATACCCAATATTTTTAGTATTTGTTTTTATTTGATCACTTTATTAATTATCAACAAGACTTGTCCCTATGAATATTTGTCGTTTTATCGTATCTCAAAGTTCAAAATCAGGCCCATAAACCTCACACCTGTTACAATATGTAAAAAAAAAATATTTATTTTTAGGGGACCATAAACAACTGAGACCAACAGCAGCCCACTACAAACTGGCCAAAGACTACAATCTAGAAATATCCCTCTTCGAGCGTATGATACGCAACGGTGTACACGCGCGAACTCTTACCACCCAACGTCGGATGCGACCAACCTTCGCAGAACTACTTGTCCCGATATTATACGACCGATTGGACAGTCACCCTAGTGTATACAGTTACACTAATGTGAGGGGAATGGCGGACAACTTGTACTTTTTGGATCATGACGTTTATGAAGATTCTGAGGTATTCATATCAGCCGTTACCTGTCCACTGCTGAATATAGGCCTCCCACATTTTTGCCAATAGTTGCCACACTTGGCAGGCGGATCGGCAACCGCAGTTTTGGTAATATTTTAAGAGAGACCCATCTCTCAACTATTAAGTTCCCTTAGTCGTCTCTTACGACATCCACAAGAAAGTAAGGGGAGCATAATTAGTACAATAAAAATCACTAAGTTGCAACTACATCAAAGGCAGTAGAACATTATAGAACGATTCATGAAAGTGTATACATCAAGAGATGGCTTTGGCACTCTATCTTCTCTGTCTACCATGGAAGTGACTCGGCGTGATGATACTATAATAAATCCTTATTTATATAAATTTATTTTTAAGCTACTTCATAAAGAAGGATGTTCTCATTTCGTATGTACCTATTTATTTTTATGTATCTATCATATATCTTCACTAATTAATTCTAAACCGATTTCGATAATCAATTTTACAATTAACGAAATCGGCCCTCTCGTGTTGGGCTGTTTTTTTTTTTATTTTATCGATTTGTCCTATCTTTTTCTATTGAAACTAAATTTAAGGAAGTGACAAAATTAACTAATAATTTTTATTTTAAATAAATAAGATGTTACTAATTTTTTTTTAGGGTTTGGAAGACAGTTGGAGCCACAGGAACACATATGAAGCTGAATGGTGCGTGGCTCTGGCCAACTATCTTCGTTCTATGAAATACAAGCCTGAAGAAATAACGATATTGTCTACATACACTGGACAAGTTTCCCTTATAAGGGAGGTAAGAATGAACACTTTAAAAAGATTGTGTCCCACAAAAAAACTGAGTTCAGTTGTGACAAAACCATTATTTTGATTGAAAAGCAGACTGAATCAATTTTAATAAAATTTCTATAGAATATAAAAATATCCCGTACGGGTAAATGCAGTGTTGGACGATCCCTAATAGATGGAGTGACGACTTAAATGCATTGCAGGCAGTCAGTTCCTTATGACAGTCTATGTTTGTTTGGCCATTGTTTTCTCATTGTGATTATTTCTTATAATTGTTTATATCTATACTTATAATAAATCTGTAGAGAGGTCAATTCTGTACATGAAATATATTTCCAAAATAACTATCAGGCGGTGATTAGTGATCGATACTGATGCCAAATATGCAATCAGTAAAATTTTTGTCTGTCTGTCTGTCTGTATGTTCGTTATGGAAACAAAAACTACACGACGGATTTTAACGAAACTTGGTACAATTATTCTTCATACTCCTGGGCAGGTTACAGTATACTTTTCATCACGCTACGATCAATAGGAGCAGAGCAGTGAAGGGAAATGTTGGGAAAACGGGAGAAGTTACTCCATTTTTAAGTATTCGTCGCGTGTGCAGCCTTAATGGCCACTTTTTAAAATGTAAAAATGTCCACTCGTGCGACGCCGGGACGGGCCGCTCGTCTATAATAAGTTTACTATTGTAATCTTTTGAAGGAAACAATAAAGAGTATTTATCTATCAATGTTCAGCAGTGAACAGATAATGGCTGAGATGATGATGATGGTGATGCATAGTAATTTTACTTCCAATTTGCTCCACAAGAGCAATATCGACGTTTGTTACCGTTTGCTCACTAACTAGATAAAGAATTAGTTGATTTAGATAATAAATATATTATACCTATACTCTGCCCGATATTTCCTATCTATATCTGAACCATAGATAATCCAATACTATCTATATACTAAAGTTATAAAAAGGGTTTTTCTATGTATTTTTTATACAACTTAGAATGGCAAACAAGCTGACGGCCCACCTGATGGAAAGTGGAAACCGTCGCCTATAGACATGAGCAGTACCGTGAATATAACAAAGTATACTGTTTCGCCCATGATACCCCCATGCGTTGCCATTCCTGAGGACTCAGGTGTTATTCCTCTGTACCCAGTAAATTCACGCCATATCCCACCCTTCAAACCGAAACACAGCTATGCAAACACAACTGCTTCACGGTTGAAACACGAATGGAACAGAGGTACCCAAGCAATCGACTTTTGTACAAAGTTTCCCTCTGGTAAAGATGGTTGTTTGCCCATTCTGAGTTGCATAGAAAAAGAAAGCTGTAGCACTATAATTATTAGTACTTTCATCATCATGATGATCATGTCAGCCGTTATGTATATAACACATACATAACTGTTCATTGCTGAACATAAGCTCCCCCTATTGGAAGGTTTTGCTATTAGTTGCCACGCTTGGTAGGCAGGTTGCCAATCGCAGTTAAGCTTTGGTGATGTTTAAATTAGATTATTAGCATATTGTTTAAAATCATTTGTATAGACTACATTTCATTTTCATCATTATTTTGGTGTTGTGGGTGACCATGGGCGGCGGTAGTCACTTACCATCAGGTGAGCCGCATGCTCGTTTGCCCCCTGTCTTGTAAAAAAAAAAAAATTTCGTGCAAATAAATTATTGCTATTATATTAGATTTGATTCACCGTGTGCCCCGGCATAGAATGGGCCACCCCTTCCTTTCCCGTGGGTGTCGTAAGAGGCGACTAAGGCAAGGTGGAGGGATGGGCAGCAGCGTCCCTCTTAAAACATCTCTAAAAGCCCAAATGCGGTCGCCAACCCGCCTGCCAAGCGTGGCGACTACTGACAAAACTCCCCTTATGGGTAAAACTTATGTCTAGCAGTAAACAAGTAACGACTGAAATAATAATAATATAAAAAAAAACATATTATTAAATGCCTCATTTTCAAGGATTACCTCAAAGTTTACCAATTTTGAGTATAATAAATAAAGTAATAATGACAATCACTCTTGCGCCACCTGCCCATTTCTATCTGTTCTCCTTTAACCAAAGGTCTGTAAGAGATTGCCCTAGCGATAAGACCGCCTTTTGTACCTTTATGTGTATATTTCAATCTGTATTTATGTTACTGTATTTCACTTGTCATTGTATATTTTTATTTATGGTGCAATAAAGAGTTAAATAAATAAATGGCACGACTATTAGCTAAATAAAACAACGAGGCAGACAATATATTATCACGCCTTACAGTTACGTCACAAGAGTGTGCACGTGTAGTTTGAACAAGGAGCGAACTTTATTCAGTCTGTGTACAAATTACAACTAATCTAATGACGTAACGGTGCAAACAATTATATCATAATTATTATAAATATGAAAAAAAGAATTCACTTGCATATTATCGATAAAAAAAGAAAACGAATCAATATGGATAACTTAATATCATTAGTTGATAACTCCCACGTAAAACACTTTTTAAATTATTATTATTTAAAATTTAATAGTTTGATAATGATCAGAAATCAACTGTCAAAAATTCACCAGGGGCGCCTTAATAAGGGGTCGCATTGAGGCCTTTTTCCTTAATAAAAGAAGGGAGAGGGGCATTAAATTTGTTCAGAAGAGCCAGGTAAACTCAGGCTTGCCCTGTTACAATGGTATTTTTTTATATTACTCGCAGTTGCTTATACAGCCTAATAATATTTTATAAACAATCTAGTTAATGAAGCCGTTTTTTGCATAACTAGCTCTTTTATGATATTATGAAGTTCTGTTAAAACCTGACAAAGTGCTGTTTGTTCACTGCGATATCTATTTTTAAAGAAAAACATATAAGGCTATAAAAGTTAATGTAATACTCTACTAGTAACAACACTATGTGATATATTTTGTAATAGACGATAATGGAATGGTAACCCCACCTGCGTTATCAGTATACACTGGCATGGCACCAATGAGGGATGATAGATGAGGATGAAATAAGTTTTTTTTTTATACAACATAGAATGGCAAACAAGCTGACGGCCCACCTGATGGAAAGTGGTAACCGTCGCCTATAGACATGAGCAGTACCATGGACATAACAGAGTATACTGTTTCACCCATGATAACCCCCATGCGTTGCCATTCCTGAGGACTCAGGTGTTATTCCTCTGTACCCAGTAAATTCACGCCATATCCCACCCTTCAAACCGAAACACAGCCATGCAAACACAACTGCTTCACGGTTGAAACACGAATGGGACAGAGGTACCCAAGCAATCGACTTTTGTACATTCTACTAGCAATGAGGTTACTAATCCGCATTATTATCAATGCCTTCTCCCCCCTGTAATACATATTTTAGGTAGGGTAACTACTACTACCCAGATAATGTTATTGCCGTTCTTATCAGCTTAAAAGAACACCCGCCGATAAGTTTAACGTTTTCATGTTATTTCTTTATTATAAGTCGATGAACTAAGTTTCGAAAAACCTATAAAAATATATAACCTTGTACTTTGTACTGTGCGTTAAGTAAATAATGATTGCATCGAGAAATGATATACTCGTATCAGATACGAATAGGACAAAGTTTACATACACTAAATGTTTGTGTACTTATACTTGCTAGTCTATTTATCGTGGGCAAATATTAGTATATTATGAAAATATGGGGCTCACGAAAATAAAGTCTGATGTCTTGTGCTAGACAGTTTTCAATCTTATATTGATACTGTTAAGTCACCCTATCTTACACCGCAGTACGGAAAGTACATATCCCATATTTAAAACTGGATTATCGAACTTTAGCCACAGTTCAGTCAAGTTAACCTACGAAATTAAATTAGACTAACCTGTTATTGGCCATACTATATTGTTATAAAATATTTATTAATTTTATTTGTAAATTGCTGTTGGTTTTTTAAAATAAATAAATAAATAAGTGTTTTAGACTTTTCATTTACAAGTTGAACAGTAAAGTATGCCACACGTAGTCATTTGCAAAAGATTTTTTCTTTAACGCAATTATAAAAAAAAATCCATTTCGTCACAGATAATATAATACTACTATGATTTCGTAAACAAAACATTTAAAATTATATTAATCCGCTTTCTAATGTATACAATTTATCAGATAAAAAAATTATTTATCTGTTAAATGTTGTTATGAATTGATAAGTTATTGACTCTTATTTCAAACCGACTTCAAAAAAAGAGGTTCTCAATTTGGTTGTATTTTTTTATGTTTGTTACCTCATAACTCCTTCAGTTCTGAACCGATTTGGAAAATTCTTATTTTATCTGAAAGGATACTCTTATAAATTAGTCTAATAGAAATTTTATCAGAATCGGTACAGTAGTTTAGTTTTTAACTCAAAATAACTGGCTTGTCATAATTGTTATCGATTTTTTTTTTGTGAGACACATTCTTTGTGAGTGAATTTTATCAAATCACCAAATAGCAATTAATGTTAATGATATTTTTTAATTAAATTAATTAAAAAAATAATTAAATATGAATGCTATACTATTTTTGTCAAAACACAATTCAGTTTATTTTGTTTCTATTCGCAATAATCCAATTTAAGGTTTTAAAGTTTGGAATTTGGACAAGACCATCTGTCGAGTCAGTGAAAAATATTAATCTTTGACATATGAAGAAATAAAATATGGATTATTTATTTAATCATTTCACGTGTCCTATTCCCGATTAAAAGATAACAGAGTGGTGATTACAATTTTACATTTGTATAATAAAATCAGAGTTTAATTAAAATTACGAGTGTATTTTATCAGAAAATCGATTACATCGACTTCTGGTTTAAGATAATACTTATGTTCCTAGGCAACCAAGCAACATTGTCTTTTATCAATAAATTACCACTCTGCTGTAGGTCTATTTTGAAACCTATAGTTTCTTGACAAAAACAAAGTGTTACCTTACCTCTAGTTTTTAATCGATTTCGGAAAAACCTTTACGTTTGTAAATGTGTGTAAATATATCCAAATCTTTATCACAATATGTAAACCTAAATTTGAAGTCTAATTTTTCAGTTGAGTAAAAAGTACAGTACCCTTCGAGATGTGAAAGTCACACCAGTAGACAACTATCAAGGCGAAGAGAACAGGATCATCCTGCTCTCGCTGGTAAGGAGTAACAGAGACGGCAAGATAGGCTTCCTGACGGCTGCCAACAGGATATGTGTAGCATTGTCGAGAGCTAAGGAAGGTACGTCTGAGTTTGAAGATCCACTACGTCTACCATGATAAACCTTTAGCATCCAACTGCTGGGAAGGGGACGATCAAGTATTACGTAACGGAAATTGGAAGGGGGCAGGTTTTGTAAAACTACGATGCAATACAGGGGCGGGAGGGACAATTCGAGCAACGCGTCATGTAACATTGATTTTTTATTTAAATATTAAAGTAGGGAATTAAAATCTTCCAAGTTGGCAACCCTTTTCGTTTATGTTTTACGGGGAATTCCTCAACTATATTTACACGTCATTTTTATCTTGTTTTCGTTGTCAGTATTCGTTACTGTAATGTAACTTTTAAGTAAAAATAGTCACCTAGATGCTACGTAACATTTAGGGAGAGGAAAGGGCTACAGAAAAATGTTACTGTACGTTACATGGGGGGGGGCGTAAATCTTCAAAAATAGCGTTACATAATACTTAAACGTCCCTAAATAGGTATGTCTGTATTATTTTTTTATAATGGATAATAATATAGAGATAATTGCATAATAGACGAGTAATAGAGAGATGGGTACTAGGGAGGAATCAACAGAGCGACCCTGTTGCTAACAATGTAGCATGCATTGCATGAGGTCGAAAACTACGCCGTTACTCTTAGGAACTATCGCTGTTAAGCCAACTGATCTGAATTTATCTTCACTTATCATCAACACTTTTTTTTTATTCAAATTAGAATGGTCAATCAATGGTGAGTCAAACAAGCTCACAGCCCACCTGATGAGGGGTTGGAGGGATTGTTAATAATGGAGACTAAGGGCCCCATTGCTAGCAATATACCCAACCAGGTCGACCTCCACGTGGTCCCCCCTAGAAACCATCGTGCTGAATTCCAAGTGTATTCATCACGATGGGCTAACTGACCTATCTTTTCATTTTCACCTATCATCTCTCACTGGTGCCCCGCCAGTGTATACAGATAGCGCAGGCGGGGTTACTATTCTATCATCATCCATTAAAAAAATAAGCCCACCTGATGAAAAATAGTGACCGTCGACTAAAGACATGAACATGTGGCGTCTGTAAATAAATATTGTACATAATCAACTCATAGCCGCTTATCAACATGATTACTGTCTTTTCCATCAAGTAGCTTATTTAAATTGTACATAGATATTTCCACTTTTTTTCAGACTGTTCGTACAGACATGACAGCGACATTTGCTTCTTACAATCATTTTCGCTGTTATTCTCCCTATCTCGATCACTCTCCTCTTGCACTTCTAATTTCCGTTTTCATATATTATTTTCTACATATTCCTTTGTACATAATATATGTGAATAAATAAAGTTAGTTTTTTTTTTTTTATACAACTTAGAATGGCAAACAAGCTGAGGGTATATCTGATGGAAAGTGTTAGCCGTCACCTATAGACATGAGCAGTACCATGGACATAACAGAGTATACTGTTTCGCCCATGATACCCCCCATGCGTTGCCATTCCTGAGGACTCAGGTGTTATTCCTCTGTACCCTGTAAATTCACGCCATATCCCACCCTTCAAATCGAAACACAGCCATGCAAACACAGCTGCTTCACGGTTAAAACATGAATGGGATAGAGGTACCCAAGCAATCGACTTTTGTACAACTACAAACAGCACTGAGCATAACAAAATATACTGTGTCGCCTATGATACCCCCCATGCGTTGCCTGAGGACTAAGGTTTTATGCCTCTACCATACCATACCTATAACTTCATTGCCATATCCCACCTTTCAAATCGAACACAGCCCTGCAAACACAACTAATAAAGTGTTAAATAAATAAAAAATAAATAAATAATACTTTACCGGGGGAAAAGGGATTGTTAGTAATGGGATCAAATGGCCCTATTACTAATAATATACCCTGTCAGGTCGACCTCCACGTAGTTTCCCCTGGAAACCATCGTGGCTAATTCTAGTTGAATTCGTCAGGATGGGCTAACTGACCTGCTTTTATCTTCATCAGTCATCTATCACTGGTGCCCCGCCAGTGTATACCGATAGCACAGACGGGGTTACCATACCATTATCACCCATTAAAAAAAAACACAACTACTTCACAGCATAAACTATAAAAATAAGTGAATGAATAAGTGGTATTAAAAATTGTAAACATTATAGTATTTATGGGATTAAATAAATTACTTAGAGTTATAAAACTCTACAGATATTTAAGTAATAAATTGAGATATTACAGCGCACGGCTAGTCTAGACTCGAAAATGCATTATCAACGCCAGCCTGTGGCATTGGCCTTATTATCTGAATTTGCCCCCAAAACTTTAGTCTACATGTCTTAATATTGTCTGAAGATAAAAATTTCATGACTCAATAGACTGTGTATATCCAATAATCCCAATAACCCAATGATATTATTTATAATAGGATTTAAATAATGCATTGCAAATTGTATTAAGTAGAGGACAGTTGAAAGCTGATGTGATTTTTTATTTTATTTTATCTTTATTTGGTCTCCCAGCAATTGTTACACTCATAAGGTTTAATATTAAAATTACTGTCTATTTATACTTAGTGTACAATCATTTTAAAGGAAACACACCATGCTAATTAACAAATCAACAATAATACGGTATAACAAACTCTTGAGGTATTTGACATGTGTAGGTATAGTTTTTTAGACTCAAATGATTGCTTTACATAATTTTTAGCTATTCAAATTAACTGCAATGCTTTCGTATAAAAATCCCCTTCCTTATGGAATATATATGATGATGATGATGATGATGATTGCAAATTTTTATTATTTATTGCATGACATAGTTAATATTAAAATTTATTATCCAATTGAACCGACAGACATTATTTTACCGCCTACCGCCATCTATTAGTTCCATCTTTTTTATCAGGGTAAAAACTATACTATCTTTCTATATTCTATATTTATATATTAAATTGGAGTGAAAAATTTATATTTGATAGGGCAACAAGGTGACGTCTGCAACTCAAATAAGACGTCAGTTTTAAATCATTTTAGGGTCGGTGATTGAAAATCAACGTTAATATGACGAATAATTGCTACCTGGGGAACATCATGATATGAAATTTTTATTTAGGGTCTCAAATATATAGACCTACCATTAAAATAGACCCCATGAGGCGTATCTCTTTTCTCTTCACTAGAAACTGCCTAATGTCATAAACAAACATCCTTGTAGTGTGTACACATTTTTGACAAGACTGTCATGAAAAAATACCAAATCTGTAGATACGGCGTGAACTTTTACAGCATACAGCGTGGTTCCAGATACGTTTCCTACCACGAACGCTCTGATTTTTTTTTTATACAACTTAAAATGGCAAAAATAGCTGACCACCTGATGTACCACGGAAATTTGTAACAGTCGCCTATAGACATGAGCAGTACCATGGATATAACAGAGTGTACTGTTTCGCCCATGATACCCCCCCGTGCGTTGCCATTCCTGAGGACTCAGGTGTTATACCTCTGTACCCTGTAAATTCACGCCATATCTCACCCTTCAAACCGAAACACAGCCATGCAAACACAACTGCTTCACGGTAGAAACACGAATGGGACAGAGGTACCCAAGCAATCGACTTTTGTACAAAGTCTCCCTCTGATATTATGGATATAGAATGAATGGAATGAACTCCCTGTCTAGAGATTTCCAAGAAACTACATCATGGGGTTCTACCAAAAATAAGTAGAGTTTTCTTCGAGGTCGGCAATGCGCATGTAATCTCCCTGGTATTGTAGGCGTGCTTGTTTGCCACCTCAGTGGTAAAAAAAAAACCTATAAGGTTAAGAAACCCAGTCACCGTGAAGTTTAAATATGTTTATCAGTTGTCTTATCGTATTACTTAATAGTATCTTACAATTGGTGACCATGAATTTGTATTATTTAATCATTGCTGTCAATATCTGAATATTAGCAACATGGATTTTAATTATTTTATATATCAATTAACTTAACTTTATGGACAGTCACTATTATATATGGTTTCTTTCATACATGTGCTTATACTACTTGCTTACACCCACTCTAACTTGCATACCTCGCTTTGGAATCAAAATTTTTGTTTGTATAAATAAAATCCGTTATTGGCCGTATTCATAAGAGACTTAGCATGTAAGTTATTTTTTAAGAGCTATGATTTTTTTATAAAATGAAAAAAATTTTTTGTATAAAATGAAAAAAAAAAACTTTGTTTAGTTTCTGACTAGATGGCGCTATATACTAAGAGTATTATTATTATTATTTTTAAAGTATCTTTTAATTACAGGATTCTACATATTCGGTAACATGAACACTCTCAAATCAGCAAGCAATATATGGAGATTCATAAATGACAAGTTAAGAGCTCAAAAATCAATAGGAAACAAATTGATAATACAATGTGACAGCCATAAGAGACAAATTGAGGTATGCTTACATTTCTTTTGTATCTTATTCTGCCTACCCTAATGGGAGACAGGCGTGACAGATATGTATGTATAAAGGCTTATGCATTTTGTTCGTAAAGGATTAAATTTTCTTCTTTAACGGACATGTGTTCGTTGTAGTATTCAGTTTTGGTGACCTAGATAAAGAATAAGACATAGGAAGTTGTTATCTTATTCTATCTCTTAATTAGCGATAATTCTATCCATGGATTCGTTAAATACTTGTCTAAGAGGCATGTTCTACTACAAAAAACAAAATGTATACAAAAAATAGTCCATCGTTTACATAGACCTTGGAATATTGCAAGTGTAAATATGGTAATTAACATACGAAACGGTATGTTATCGTGTGAAGTCTTGCAGATTATATATACTAAGTAGTATAAACTTTTGACACACTATCAGCGTCGCTGATACGTGTCTTAATCCCTAAAGTCACATAAAATACATCTTTGGTACTGCATTATATAAAGTATTTAATGTTAGACATCTATGCATCATTTTATTATTAAAAAAATATGTACTATGCAAGTACAAACTCCTTAAAATGGTAACCAATTCGATGATATTTATTTATTGTTTTAAAAATCCATGCCTATCTACAAAAGTACACTCAATAACATAGGGGTATTTATTAAGGCGATTATTTCACTGTATAAACAGTAATTCCATAATTATTATCAACTGTGTACTTTACTAATAAATATAATAAAGTAACCACTGATTTGTTTATAGTTTTTTATGCAACTTAAAATGCCAAACAAGCTGACGGGACACCTGGTGGAAAGTGGTAACCGTCGCCTACATACATGAATAGTACTATGGATATAACAGAGTATACTGTATTATCCATGATATCCTTCATGCGTTGCCATTCCTAAGTACAAATGTGTTATGGCTCTGCCCCTTTAATTTCATTGCCATATGCCATACTTTAAACTGAAACACAGCCACGCATACACAACTGCTTCACGGCTGAAACACAAATAATAGGTAATTATCATTATTATCTCATATTTCTTTTATTTATACATTATTTAATTTCTATTATACATTCATGTGGAACATGAATTATTTATTATCTTTTGCAGGTCACGTGTCCAAATGATTTCGATAATCACCTATCGTGCACGTGTTTGAGGATTTGCGAGAAGAAATAAAACGCAATATAAAAGTGATAATATAATTATCGCGTGATATTAAATTATGTTTTTTTAACAATCTTATATTGTATAATTCTGAATAATAATATATTATAGTGCATTTAAAAATCAATGCCTTTTGTTTTTTTTTAGCGTGCAATGTTAAATGCATTGTCCACGGAGCTACAATTCATTTAAAAATGGAACGAACATCTGGCAATTAGGTAAAGAATGTAAAGTACGTCATTATACACTATTACATAGCATTCTCATACGTCACAAAATGCTAAAGGTCATCTAGGTACAAAAAATCTTAAGTTGAGTACGTAAGTAAATTTGTTTTTCGACTACAGAATTTTAACGTATGACATATGGGATAACATATGACAAATGATATCATCGATTTTTATATTTCTATTAACCTTTTAACGGCCTCAGTTGGATTTATGTGACAGGAAACGCACTGCAACTGTTACAAACTATTTTGTAGTTTATATTATACTCGTATTTTTTATGATTCTTTTTTTTTTTTTTAAATAAAATGTTAATTAAATTTTAACATGAGTAGGCGTTTTATTTTGCACAATTCACAATAGCGACATTGAAACTGTAATAGACTATAATTATTATTGGACTATAGAATATTCGCTATACGTTTATTTGTACAGAAACACAGTTAATAAAATTTCCATTACACATACATATAGACATATTCATACTTTGCATTGTTGTGAATTATTTTGAACAGATGTACAACAGGCGAGCTTTGTTCTTGCTAAAATTCTTTCTGCAAACCCAGAGTGAAAAGGAACATTAATTATACATCCATATATAATCTAAGCAACGATATTATATATTGCTGATTTCAATTAAGCGCTAGTAGTATGCCAATTGCTACAAAGTGGAGGGAAAGGGATTGTTAGTAATGAAGACTGAGAATCCCATTGCTAGCAATATACCCAAACCGGTCAACCACCTCGCGGTTCCCCCTGGAAACTATCATGGTTAATTCCTGGTGAATTCATCATGATAGGCTAACTGGCCTGTTTTCATTCTCATCGATCACCCTTCACTGGTGCTCCGCCAGCGTATCCCGTTAGCGTAGGCGGGGATACCATACCATTTTCACCCATCAAAAAAAAATTGCTACAAAATTAAGCTGTTAAAAGGTTAATATTTTTTTTTTAATATTGATGATAGTCTCTCTATTCTATTACACTGAGAACTCAACAATGTTTTTTTAAACTTGGAATGGCTAAAGGCTTATGGCCCACCTAATGGAAAGTAGTAACCGTCACCTGCAAGTATAATTTAAAAGAAACTAAACACAAATCAAATATAAACATTTACCTTTGTTTTCTAACAGAACTAAAAATAAACTAAGTTGAACATACGTATATAATTACTTTAGTGTCACATAAGTCATACATATTAAATACATATGTAACGGTATAAGTAAGTAAATATATTTGTCACAAGCTCAGTTTTTTAATGTAGTAAAATAAACTATTTTTATTTTAAAAATAAAGAAACTAAAATAAACATTTAATATTATAATATTTAGTTTAAGATTTACGCATTTTTTACACTACCAATGCTTTCCTTTAAATCACCTAATTTATTTTTGCTCACGATCTGTTATAACTAATCGTCTTTAGAACATCAGTTTGTCATAGACAAATAAAAAATATATATAATAAAATTCGAATCCATTCTAGTATTAATTCCCTGCATGTCTTTTAATAGCACCATGTGCAAAGTTATTAATTAAAAAGTACAAAAATATATAAATGAAATTATAAAAAATAAAAAACGATAACAAAAAACGATGAATTAATACTACTATTATGTCAACAATTCTTTAATGAGTGTCAATTTTTATAGCTTATTTGTCTAATAACACGAGCTATGCTCGACAAAAACCCATTACCTAAAAATAAATTAATATTGTTCACTTACTAACAGCCATTTCATCACTGCATCAGTGTAACTAGGTCACTTATACTAATGTGTATTCATTTACCAAATACCAATGAAGTATTTTTTATTTATTTATTTTTTACTAATAAATTATATTATAAAAACTCAATTACTTAAGTCCGAGTACAGACAATGCCTACTGAAAAAGCTGTTAAACAACATTTTTAGTAGGGCGCGACTAAAAAGCGTTTAATGCGAAATTAAAATTTTAGATTTCAATTGAATTACCTAGATACATACAAGATACAGATAACTTATAAGTACATAAAATAACAGAATACATTCATAAAATGCCAGTGGTCAAAATATTAATACATTATTTAAAAAATTACAAGCACATTTGAAAACTCTATTCCTGCCATCTTTATACAATTGTATGCACTAAAGATGCAAACAAATTAACTATCTAATAATTTAATTTGTTGCAGCAACAAATATGTGTAACAATATGAATGTTACAGCTTGTTTACCTTTAAGTTAATGCAATTTCAAAATGCCTCGTCTAATTACAATACATTTGTCAATACTCATCATTATTTGTAAATTAGGAATCATTGTACCACAGTTGAATTTGAATGTACACATTAAATACTTAAGCACTTGCATATTCATTGTGTCTAGCTAGTACAACATGAAACTACCATTACGTTGCATATCACAACTATTCACCTAATATGTGCATAAATTAATATTCTTCTAAAAATTCTTCTATAATACTTGCTATTTTATCGGGCGACTCCAATTGTACGTGGTGCGTGCCTTCCACTTCTACATACTTCACCTCTGTCACCTCTTTCAATTTCTCTATGACATTTAAATAATAATCCAGCCTCTCCCACTTCTGACCGGGTAGCGCTCTAATATTCAACACTTTACACTTTAATTTGTTGGCATATTCCAGTGCCGTTTCGATGGACATCATCGCGAGACCCGAGACTTTGAGTCTGGGATCTCTTTTGAAGTAATATCCTTCCTTCTTGCTCTGCGGGGGAGACGGTGCCATGCCTCTTTTCATCAGGATCTTGCAGTTCTCCTTCGATACTGATCCTTTGTAAGCGTCAACAACTATATCTATCATCTCGTCGTATTCGTAACAGGGCGCATCCTCATCAGTAAGATTCTCATATTGCAATGTTTTATCTATTCCACCACCAGTGGTGTTCACCATATGCGCTGGCTCCCTCACCGCTGGACTAGCAATATCGATACATATAATCCTGTCAACATCATTTGGAAAGGATGCAGCGTACATAAAACTTAAGGCCCCGCCAAGGGAGTGTCCCATCAAAGACACTTTCTTCCACTTGAAATGTTTCACAATCCTTCTTAATAAGACAATCCCATCCCAGAAAATGTAGTACAGCATTCCTTTTGGATAGTGTGATGACAAACCATGTCCAGGTAAGTCTATACAGAGGACAGATGTGTTAACAGGCAAAAGTGGGACGAGATTGTCCCAAGTGCCAGCATTGTCCTGCCAACCGTGGATAGCGATCAGTGGCTGTTGATCCTTAGGTCCCCACCATCGTCCCGATACGTGACCCCATGGTACTGGTATCTCGACCTCTTCCACTTGGACACCCGGAGGTAAATCTGTAATCAAAATTTAGTTTAATAGATTTTCCAAAACATATCCTTAAAATTGGTATTTTTTTACATTAAAAAATATCTTTTTTATATATATATATACACAAAAGAAATTACGCTAATAATAAAAATGACTAGATGACGCTTTTTTTTAATGAATGATAATGAAATGGTAACCCCGCCTATGCTAACGGTATACGTTGGCGAGGCATACAGGGGTGATAAATGATAATAAGGCAGGTCAGATAGCACATCGTGTTAAACACACCTGGAATTCAGTATGATAGTTTCCAGGGGGGAGGAGGAACATAGAAATCGACCTGACAGGGTATATTGCTAGCAATGGTAGTTTGCAATAGTAACAATCCCATTCCCCCAGATGACGTTATGTTCATTGACACAACAGTGTCGCCTAGTCTCAAACTTGCTTATCATTTTAAGTTGCATAAAAAAAATAACACAGCTTGTCCTATGGATACTAAAGTTACTATCCTTAATCTATGGGTACTAAACAACTGATAGATATTATAATTAAACTTTTTTTTTTTAAATATGCCTATATTATGTCACCCAAAACCATACAAATGTACTCATAAATTCAAATGTTTGTATTTGTGTAGGATTGAACCCGCGACCAATCGGTAGGTGAAACAGTGTGACCCGTTACACCATCAAGGTCGTCGAATTTTTATATAAACTGCATTATTTAGATAGAATAAAATACAAATCATCAATATCGATTCGAAATTTTATTGGTGACGTTCTCGTGCTATAATATTCTTAATTTGTCTGTAGTTTCTTCTCTTTCTCAAAGAAATCACTTATAACTGCGACTTTCAAAAAGAAGTTCTAACTTTCCAATGAAAAATTGAAATATTACGAACATAATAGGTTCAACTTATGCATTATTACAAGTAGGCGTACTTGATTAATTAGTATTAAGGCAGGTAGGTAAACTATTAATAATTAATTAGACACTTAATACCTATTCAATAGACAAACAATTCTTAATATATTAATTCTCCAAGTTCATGGCCTTCCTTTTTAAACTTCTATTTTTATTTATTCTAACATAAAGAAATTTTAGCTTCCTGTTAAATTATCAAATTGAGAAATAAGGTTTTGATTACTAATCCATTTTTATTTCTAGGCCAAATGTAGACACTTATTTTAATTTATTATTCTCCCAAATCTAATCTATATAAAAAACATTAGACACTAGTTATATCTCACGGTTTTGACTGATTTTATTATCATAAGAGAATTATTTCTTTGATTCAAATTTAATTCAAGTCCATTTAGAAATTGATTCAATTGCCTATATTAGCTGTCGGAATATGATTGTATCATACTTTTACCCTTGGAATGTTAGTAAAATTTGAACAAAAATTTAAAATGTGTAAATGAAAACTAATTACATTATTTATTACCATTAGTATTGATAGAGATAATTGATAGGAGCACGTTTTGAACTATTCCAATGTCATTCCTGGCGGTTGTTAGAGTACAGAGTACTCTAAGCCTACAATGGTTGAAGGCCGTCATACTTTTTTATCTGTAAAAATGGAATGGTAACCCCGCATACACTATCAGTATACACTAGTGGGGCACCAGTGACAGATGATAGGTGAAGATGAAAGCAGGCCAGTTGACCCATTGTGACAAGTTCAACAAGACTTAATCACACTGCTTGCCAAGGGGACCATGTGGAGGCCTATTACTAACAATCCCTTTCCCTGGGAAGAAGGGGTTGTTAGCAATGGAGTTTGACAGCCCCATTGCTAGCAATATACCTTATTAGGTCGACCTCCACGTGATTCCCCTTGGAAACTATCATGAACAATTCTCGTTGAATTCGTCACGATGGGCTAACTGACCTCTTCATCCTCACCTATCATCCTTCACTGGTGCCCCGCCAGTGTATACCGATAGCGCGGGTGGGGTTTCCATTTCATTATCGCCCATTAAAAAAAATCCCTTTCCCTCAAAGGCCGTCATACTGTGACCCCCACCAAGTGGCACATAATCAGTGATACATCCTAGACAAATGAATCAAGTGATTATTGAATACTTAGATAGTGTGATAATATAATACTTAGATAGTTACATACAAAGCTTTAAAATTGGCGCCCTGCTAAAATTTTTATTAAATATTTTCTCTACTAATAGGTTTTGTATGAATGGATGTATTGATTGAATCCCATTAATACTACTGTTCATGTCTATAGGCAATAGTTGCCACTTTATATATGTTTATTCTTTATTGGACTTGAAAAAACTAGAAACAGTGATTAATTTAACAACTTGTTAGTAAGAGTGGGATTATCGCTGAAAAAGATCTCTTCCAGCCAACCCAATGCAGTGTGAGAGAAAATAATTAGCGAGTAATCTAATGCAGGAAAGGTACAGGGAAAAAGGTTTACAAGGTAAATAGAATACAAATAAAATAAACATACACAAATTTTATATACATGTATATATGTGTGTGTGTGTATAAAACATAATAAATAACAATATACAATACATATTCAATATATACATATATACAATACACATAATAGGAAGTGCATAGTATTAAGTGTTATTAGTTAAAAGATGAGATTTTAAACTTTCATTGAAGGGATACTCCCTTCAATAAAAGTATACTGAAAGAACTATCCTTTATGTTAGAAGGAAGTCTGTCCAACACTTTCCATTAGTTGGGCCGTCAGTTTATGTGCCATTCCAATTTATATAAAAATAAATAGTACCTAGTACTTAGCATGCTTACAATTAACACAGTAAAATTTCTCATGGATTACTAAAATGTCCAAAATAAGTATATCAAGATGTACATGGTGAAAAATAACCTGAACGATATATTCTACTTAGTCAAAAGTTATGTATTAGTGATTACTACTAATATGTAAAATAATGAACATGACACTATCTTTCTTTTTTATAAAAATATCAAACCTGTCATAAACCTATTTTAACTATTGAACTGTTTTATCTCTTTCTTTTATGCTAAATTCCTAATTTAAAAGATAAAAACAAAACAGAGTAATAATTAAAATAGATTTGTAGGTTTCTTTTTATGAATAAAGGTGTCAGAGTTTACCTGAATCAGAATTAATTTAGATAATAAATATTAAATTTATTAGTTGATAATTAGAAAATAATAAATAATTATGGTAGCTACATGAAATAAAACCCTGTTGGTTTCACTTTTATTCTCCATAAAAAAAAAAACATTTGGATTCATGATCATATGATAATAAACTATTCCAAATATATACATATTTAGAATAATTTAATTTAGATGCCCTCTATGCATATTTATTTAGAATAAAAATTATGTCCCAGTTTACAGTACAGTACAGCAAAAGCTTTGCTTAGTTTGAGACTAGATGGCAATAATATAATTTGTAGAAAGCTTTTATATATTATAAAAATTCTAAACTATTAATGTTTTAGTATTAAAAACGATTGAAATTTGTAATTTTATTTAAAACATGTGTATATTAAAATTATAAAAACTTTAAATAACATACTGATTATATTATATAATTATGTTAATATTATAACAGAGTATTTTAAAAGCTACTTACTTTCTTTTATTTGATGTCCATTGACTTCCGCCATCCTACAGCAGTCAAAAGGAGTATATTTTCAATCAGAAATAGCAAATTAATTAAAATTATTATATTATTTAGTTTTTTTTAATACAAGGGACTGCGACATGGGCACTACACTTGACTACACTACACAATAATTTAAACTGAACTACTGTAATAAATTTAAAACAAGTTTTGCACAATCATGCACCTTATCCACTAACACATCTATAAACTACAATTATAAAGAAAGATAGTAATTGACTACTAGGTATGTATCGAATAAATTTTGCAAAAGAGTAAACGATCACTAATCATACGAATGATGAAATAATAAAATTCTTAAAAATAATGACGGATAAGACTAGTGCAGCGGGTTTACAACCTTGTACAAAAAATCGATTTTCAATCGATTCTAATCAAATAAATTAATTTTTACGTTCAAATACCAAATACGCGTTAACAGATTAATCTTTTAATATTTTTATGATAACATCTAGAAAGTGAAAGAAAATATACATTTTTCTAAAAAAAGAAACATTCATTAATTTAAATTCGAATCAGATTATCTATATATTATTTTCATAGGACTGACCGAATTTTATAATTATACTACTAAATTAATAATATCGTAATTTTAGTATTCGAATGATTTTACTGATACATAAATAAATAGTGAATAGACAACCAAAAAATATCTAATCAGTAATGATTAATCCAATACCTTTACAAAATATAAATAATAATTGATTTCTTGACTTCATACCTATTTTTTTTGATAACTAATAAATTTCGAAAGTTGCTAGTTTTTGCCAAATATGCTAAATTGGCAACACTATTAACAAATATTAAAAAACAATGATATCGTCATTTTATAGATTGGCTCGACTAGGATACGTTCATGTTTAGGCTCATAACGATCGTACAACAATAAGCGTTATGAATAGTAGTAGTACAAAAAATTAATAAAATTATTAACACACGCCAACACATCGCACACACCGTCCCCGCCGGCGGGGACGAAGACCCAGCACACCCGGTTCGCGTCATCGACCGGGCAGACGTCTGCCCGTGCGCCGTTCGTATGTCTCGTCCGCCAACGTCGACGGCGGCGACCCCCCCCCTCGATCTACCGACCCCTGCCCTGACGGGGGTCGAAGTGCGGTGGCCTGAGTCGAGGTTCGAGCCACTAAGGCGCCCTCGGGCGCAAACACCGCAGTCCATCTGAAAGAGCTGACGCCTCACGTCGCTCCCCTCTCGCGGGCTTGGAGTGCCTTCAGCACTCGCCCCTGCACACGCGCTCGGTGAAGCTGTAAAGGCCATCTGCGGCCAACAGCAAAAACTGTACGAAAAAAAAAAAAAAAAAAAAAAAAATTATTAATCAATAATTTTCGAATTCATTCATTTAATTCGAATGAAGTGCTTACTTGATTAATAAGGAGTCATATTAGTAATTTCGCATCACTAATATGAGGTCAGTCAATACGTTCCTATTCAGTGGCTTAATATCAAAAATTTTAAAAATTAAATATTAGTTTTATATCTACGGTCGGCCCCCATAAAACACTCAACATTATCAATCTGTTCTATTCAGGTGTCTAAGCTAACACGCATGCACACATAATAAAACCTCAGGTGAATTACTCGATTACTAAAACTATTCTTTATCTATCAACATCAAAAATAAAATAAAAGTCGCTGTCAGTATGTCACAAAGTGTCATCGATTATTTCTTAACTGTGGTATGTCATGTCATCTAATGTCACAAAGACAAACATAAAGAGCAGAAGAAATCAAATCATTAAAAAACTCAAGTGTGATCTATATTGAAATTAGCAACGTTGACAAAATTGGTCTATAATGGCAGACAAACGGAAAATTAAGAAACGTAAAGAGGTAAGTGATACAAGTTGTATAGATTATGTCATGTTTTGAAGGTATACACCCTCTAGTACAAATATGATTTTGCATCCATCCATTGTTATTGTATTTCCATATTGCGTGTGTATTATCCACAGTCGGTTTCGTTCCTTCTTTTTCCTTTTTTTTGCGTCACAATGAAAGTAGTACGTGTGCCTGTGACGACGGTTGTTTATCTCGTCATTAGTTTATTTCTACGCAGTTCTTCATCGCCGTGAATTGGCTATTTCGGTTCACAACATTAAATAAACATGGATTTATGTGCGTCTCGATTTTTTTCTATTAACATTTGGACTACATATTATATTTCTTATAATTAATTTAATTTTCTGCCTTTTATACACAACTCTTAGTTGCAGTAAACAAACAATTGGATTTAATTTATAATAGAAATTGCTTTTATTTATTAACACAAAAATATTAATTTGACAATCTGTAGATGACAGTATCTACAGAAAAAGTGCTTGCAATGCAATAATATGTAACTAATTCCAAAATGTTATTATTATTTAACTAATTAAGGTCACATGTTAATAAACAGACCCTCTGATTTATGTGTTATTAATTAACAATGTAAATAAAATGGAGTCTGAACATGACAGAATGATTTTAAGAATTTTGTAAGTACTCCAATTAACGGACAACATTTTGGTATTATCATTTTGAGAAGCAAATCTGTAATAAATGAACAACAATCTTTTTTACGAGTTACAACAATGTTTGCAAAAGTATAAGTAAATTAATGTCTCTGAACTTTAATTAATAACAATTTAGCTTAAGATAATCAAATTTCAACAAACAACAAAACTTCAATAAATTTACAGAAATAACAACATATGTTTTGAGTATCCATTAAAGATTGCTTTTTTTTATTGTAACACATGAATAACATATATATGTATCTTAAGAAATAACTATAATTCTGTCAGATATTACTTTCAAAGTACTAACTAATACATTGTGATCCCATGACTCATAATTCATCATAGTTTGCTATTTTTAGAGACTGCTTTGATTTTGGGGTAATTTTTTTTTTTAAATAAACATGTTGCTTTCATGATATGCAACATTCAATTACATACATTTTTATTGATTATTTTATTTATTTTTTTCAGCAGAAAAAGGTTTGAGGAAGAGTTTTTACAATTATGTTCCTACAACTTTTCCAGTGCACATTTTTTGTATAGATTGATTTCTTTTTACTTTTTGAGGTGTACACATTCATACTAACCATTTAATTAATATATTAATATCATACTAACAATGTAAATAAATTGTTAAAATTAAAACCACCCTATAAAATTTTATACAAGTTTCCACTGGCACACTTTGATAAGGGGAGGGGCAGTTTGTTTATAAACATAATGAAACAGCAACTTTATGCTTTGGCTCTAGTTAGAGATAGTGGTGATACCTTCATACAAGCTAAAAATCTTGGCCTGTACTACTAAAATACATACATACATATATATCTGTCATGCCTGTTTCCTATTAGGGTAGGCAGAAACAATGGAACGCCAAATGCTTTGATTCAAACAAACCTCTTTCGCTTCTTCCACATTCATCAATCTTTTCATACATGTTAAAATACTAAACTTCACAACTAAAATACTATATATAATATAGAGGTTAATAATGAAATCATTAATATCCTTTGAATTGAGTGTTCTAATAGTAAAACTGATGAAGAGGGATTTTTAATAATGGGAATTAATGGCCACATTGCTAGCAATACATCCTGTCAGGTGAACCTCCCTACGGTTTCCCCTGGAAACTATTGTATTCAATTACAAGTTAATTCAACATATTGCTTAATTTTCACCTATCACCCATCATTAGTGTCTCGCCAGCGTATACCATTAACGCAAGTGGAGTTATCAATAATCATTGATAACTCCACATTCATTTAAAAAAAAAAACAACACTACTGAAAATTTTCACCAAAATAACGTAAGTAGGTATTTATTTCAACAACACCTGAGAAAATATGTATTTTCTACGGTGTTGTCTAAACTATGAATAGTTTAAATGCACATAATTTATATTTTGTGAATTGCTATTAACCGTGTTAATATTTAAATCCGCTTGATTAAAACTGTTTCAAATTATTTAGTCATATAGGTGTCCTAACCATCCAGATATGCAGGTGTGGTTGAAATTGAACAGGGTCTTTTTTAATGGGTAAAAATGGAATGATAACTCCATCTGGCGCCAACTACTGACATCTCCCCCCTCCCCTTATGGGGGAGGCCTTAGTTCAGCAGTGAACAGATAACGGTCGATATGAATGAATATGAAAATTGTATTATACAAGTAGATTTTGTTCTACAAAAAGAAAACCGCTTTATTTCTTAAATATTAAACTACTTAATCGATTTTGATAAAATTTTGTTGAGAACAATTTAAAATCATTTACTTTTAGATAACAAAATTAATTTCCTAATCGGTTTATAAATTACGTACAATTATAAATTATAATGACGAAATAACGTAAAGAATATAAAAAATGAAACAAAATTGTAAACCTGCCCTTAATAACCGATTTAAAAAAAAAGGTCTTAATTTCGGTTGCATTTTTTTTTTATGTTAGTTGCCTCATTACTCTGTTTCATCTGGTTTTGCCACAATTGAAGTTTTACTTTTGTGGAATAAAATCTAAATTTGAAGTCGCTGGAAGAATCATTGCTATCAACGATCGTTCTTAATTCAAATTACTCCCAACGAGAACTGTGATAATTGACGTAATACAAAATGACGAGTACCCTTGACCGTGCTTCGTGAAATGGTTATGACGTCGCCAAATCAGTGCCAGCGATGTTCGTGCCACTTTCACCATGGATCGCGTCTGCAATCAGAACGCGGCTGCCTTTCGAATGGTGTGATAGTGTTTTGTGATAATAGAGTATAATATAGTGCAGTCATAATGAGAGAATTTGTAAGTGTTTTAAATAATTAAGATTGTGCTTTACAATAAAACAGGCTTCAATTGTGACAAAAGCAGTGATTTTGATTTAAAAACTTAACGACTGAACCTTTTTTAAAATTTCCATGGGACCAGTCTGAAAGTATATTTATTTAGATAAAAAAAAATTACCAAACTTATTTAGAGAAAATTTCAATGTGACAACTATAAGTATATCCCTTTAGATAAAAAAATCCAAATCGGTTTAGAACTGACGGAGTTATGAGGTAACAAACATAAAAAAAATTAAACCGAATTAAGAATTTCCTTCTTTTTAAAGTCGGTTGAAAAAGGTTCTTAGTTATTATTATTATTCTTATATATATATATATATATATATATATATATATATATATATATATATATATATATATATATATATATATATATATATATATATATATATATATAATTATATACATATATTATTATTGTTATTCCTAGTATTTTTTGTACACATTTTTTTCTTACTTTTTATGTTAACAGAAAATTTCGGAATGTAGTAAAGAGTATTCGCGTAGTACTATGCTATTTTTATTTAATTTTCCAATTGATTTGTTTTCTCGTTTATGCGATTTTGATGATGCTTTTTTGTTTAATATTATCAGTAATATTTTCTCCGTTAAAATAGGTTTTTTTTTTGTGAAACAAAATCTTATATTAGTAGTTATATTTATGTGTGAATACACCTATACCATGATAGTTTCACAGGTTTATTATTTTATAGACAATTAATAAATTTACAGCACATAAATAACAATAGAGATAGTTAGACATATACAATAAAAAGAGATAAAAGAATATGCATAAAAAAATGTATAAATTTTTCCCACCTAATAATATAATACTATTTAAAGATAGGTTGTTTATTAAAATGTAAATCTACTCTTTAAATTTATATATGTTAATTCACAACAAAGTAGTGTAACCACAGATTGTGTAGCCAAACTTTGACCTATATTAAATGGGAACTAAACCGTGAACCGTGACAAACCGCGTTTAGATAGCAGTACTAGTTTCCACGTGGGCGGAGCTTCTGATATAGACTAGCTACTTAGCGATGTTGTAACTTACTAGCTGGATTGAGTTAGCATCATTTTATAAGACGAAAACATTTTACTAGCTACGCAAAAAGGAAAACGGATACTTTGCACATAGATTTGGAGCGTTCATGACAAAGTATGGCAACGTCGCAATTATATGTCAATATTTAAAAACGATTAAATGTTTTTTAATGTTTCTGACTGACTATTTAATATTTCTAATTATAGAATACATTGCATATAAATCTACCACTACAAAACTTTGTGTCATCTTCATATTTTGTTTAGGATTTTTTTTTAAATATCGCCATTAAAATACAAGTCTTCAGTGCTTATAAATATATCAAAATAAATAATCAAGTAATTATATGATTAACGGTTTAGTTAGCTATCAGAGAGCTTTTTAAATAATTCAGAATCATTAATGATTCAGAAAGAGACATTGAAAATTATTAAATTGTTTTTGGAAATTGACAGATAATTGCGACGTTGCCATACTTCGGTAACTTAAAGTCATGAACTTTTAAGGGTAGTACGTAACCTATTTACCGATTTCAATCTTGTCAAAACACATCGACTCGCGATGCGATATTTTATAAATTGAAAATATTTGAATATGGAACGCCGATCGTGTTTTTATAAGTAGACAAACTGTATCGTGCAGGCTTTCGTGCGTGATTTAGTATATAAAGTATCCTATGTCATAAGTTCGGATATAATCTCGTGTACTCAATGTTATTTAAATCCGTCCCGTAATTTTTCCGTTAAAAAATAACAAACATCCATCTATCGTTACAAGGTGTAGTGTTTATAAATAGGGTTTTACTCTGCAAAAAGCGGTTTTTACTCTGCAAAGAAAAATGACAGCAAAAAATTCACATCTACCGATTGCAAATAGAAATGTAATTTTCGATTTAAAATTGACAATGTAATCACATAATAGAGCAACGAAAAAAGAAAATACAAACGAATTAAGAATCTCTCTCATTTGGAAGTCGCTTCAAAATATAAAATGCAATTAAAATAGTTAAAATCCTATTGTTATTCTACCAACGAAACTGAATATTTTTCCTCTAATAAACCCGAATAGAATAAATATAAAAAAAATGTTTAAACACGCCGCGTCTAAAAGTCAAGTTATGATGGGATGCTATAAATATTTTGTCGTTCCTCGACCTCTATGTTTCTATTTAAAAATATTCAGTTCGCTAGTAGAACACTTGCATTAAAAACTTCTCTATATCAAAGGAACTGCTATTTTATGTCTATTAAAATTTATAATAAAATTCCCCAGCACTTAAAAAAATTACCACTTAGTTATTTTAAATCCCAATTACAAAAATGGCTTATTGACCATTGTTTCTATTCAATTAATGAATGTTTGATATTAAAAGTGAAATGAGTAATTAATTAATATTATAACTTAATATTGTTGACACTAATCACAGACCTACTAATACGTATTAATATCAAATGAAATGAAGTACATTAATTGTCATGAAATTGTAATTGACATATTGTTTTGTTACAAGAATTGTTAATTTAATGTTTAAAATTTTGCATGCCTAATTGTGACGAAATATGTGGACTTAATATTATTTTATCTATTTGTATATTTACCATATTTCTTGCAAATAAATGTTCATTCATTCATTCATTCTGACAAATACAGTAAGTATATCTATCAGTTGTCTAGTCTCCGTAGTATATATACCTAAGCTTTGCTTAGATTGAAACTAGATGACGTTGCGTAATATTTTTATTGGTATTTATTATTATTAAAATGATACTGATAATTTCGAATTAACTCTGTGAAACTTCTCTTATCCTGTTAAGAACTTAAGAGATCCCTCCCCCATGGTGGAAATTTAATGGTTTGTATGATGACGATTATTTGTTTAATACATACATATTAATGAAAACTCATACAGTCGAAGCGACAATCGACGCGCCTTGCTTACCGTTAACTGACATGATTCGTGTTCCACTTGTTTGCTAGCCTTCTTTTGATGTCATCTATATAAAAAATTATTGCACAATGTTTCATTAATCTAAATAAATTAAATATTGGTCTTATTTAATCTATATATTTTTTTAATGGATGATAATGGAATGGCAAGCCCTCCCGCGCTAACGGTATATGGCTGGCGGGGCACCAGTGAAAGATGAAAGGTGAGAATGAAAATTCAGGACAGTTAACCCATCGTGATGAATATACTTTGAGATCCAGCATGATGTTTTCCAGGGGGAAACACGTGGAGGTCGACCTGACAGGATATATTGGTAGCAGTGGGACTAGTAGTCCACGTTACTAACAATCCCTTTCCCCCAAATTATCCATTCTATATTAGCTGAATCCAAATCGAAAGTTTTCGAACATCTTTGTAAACTATTGATACCCATTAATTCCTCTCTTTCCGTGACTAGGGAAAGTAGATAAAACTTTATTTGTGTAATCAGTTCAGGGTACGATAGTGCTGATATACCTGAAAAAGGTAAAAGCCCTTAAAATAAAAAAAAAAATTTTTTGTTATTAAATACAAGTGCTTATTGATATTACTGAGTTTGTCAGTTTTTCAACTGACTTTAAAAAAGGAGGTTCTCAATTCCTTTCATTTTTTTTATTTTTATAGCCTCATAAGTTTTTTATTTCAAATATGCATAGACCTGACAATTAAAAATATATTTTAAAAAATATATGTTATGAAGTAATCCGCTTCCATACATTCGCCAATTGATTTTTATTTATAAAGAATGACTAAGTTTTACCCGTTACTTTATTTGACCGACACGGTCAAATGGAAAAAGTAATGTTAATTTAGATCTCCACAACAGGGCTGCCTATCCAATTTCAAGATCTCCTATCTGAGAAGCTAAAACCAATCGTACACATTCATAAAACTTCATTGAAACCTGTTGAGCGGTTTAGAAGATTAGTATGTACAAACATTGTGATAAACGCAGTCAATAATACAATCATATTATGTTGCTAATCTACTCACTTCTATCATTTTTTGAAATTCTCTCCATCCTATTTATTCTACTTTTTTTTTATACCACTGAGGTGGCAAACAAGCATACGGCCCACCTGATGGTAAGCGGTTACCGTAGCCTATGAACGCCTGCAATACCAGAGGTATTACGCGCGCGTTGCCGACCCTGAAGAAACCTCTTTACCCCCTTTTGAAGAACCCCATGCTGTAGTCTCTCGGGAAAACCTTATTCTACTTACGTACACAAATTTGAAAGAACAATGTATTAGCAGTATTTCATAGCTTCAACCGCGTGATTTAGTACATAAACTATCCTATGTGCTAAGTTAAGGTACCTGTGTACCAAGTTTTATGCAAATCCGTCTAGTAGTTTTTGCGTGAAAATATAACAAATATCCATCCAACCTTCGTTACAAACTTGCGTATTTATTATATTAATTCATTTAATATATAACTTTTTCCAGGAATTCGGAGAACCAACAGAATCAGAGAAGGCGACCAGCGAAGAGTATTCGGTGGCGAAATGGCTGAAGAACAATGTACCCACAAAGAAAACGAAATTTCTAAATCATCATGTCGAATATTTTACAGGTATTATACTGTTAATATTATAATGTGTAAGTCCTGACATAGAATAGGTGACCCCTTCCTTTCTCGTGGATATCATAAGGGATCTTATGGCGGAGGGATGGGCAGCAGTGTCCCTCTTAAAACATCACCAAAAGCAAAAGACACTAGTGCCTCGCCTAGAATGCAACTTTGCATTTTATGCATAATAATATAACAAAGTTTTGTTTTTATGTTTATGTTATAAAAAAATTTTGTTTGAATACGCTAATTTCTAGAACTAGCGAGAGGATTAGATTATTTTTTTTATTACATATTTCATTTCTTGAGAAAGGTTTTTATTTTGAATCAATTTATTTTGCATTGGTCCAATGTATTCAGCGTAATATGGAAGTAATCAACATCTCTGTTATTAACGTTCCTTTGCGATTTTGATAGCGGTGCGCGAATTCGAATGATTTCGTTTATCAAATAATTAGTAATTACTAATTTTATTATTCTACTGTTAAATCATTGAAAACGTAGGGCATCTAAATGACAGCATTGAATTCTAACCTCGAATTGGTAATGAAGATCTTTATAAAATCGAAATATTAAATAGAACTTTAAAATGAAATAGTCGTAAATTTTACATCAATAAAAATGTTTATGTACTTATATCAAAATGATCTAAACAAAAGGAGAAACAGTTGAATCATTCTCTATAGCATTAGCATTTCTATGAGCAAGTTGCGACCAATTTTTGCGTATTATGGGCTTTTCTGGCACACTAATGAACAGTTTTTTTTCGGTGTCTATAGTAGTATTGTGCACTCTGGCACAACACACCGTTTGTACATTTTCTTTCTTGGGAAACAGTGGAAATCAACAAAAATATATACAGACTAAACTCGTATATGACGCTAAACGATTATTTACTTCCATGTGACGTCACTAACGCCATGTTTCTCAAAGGTTGCGTTTCGGCGGGCTATTAAATTTATTTATACTTTTTTATTAGCTATTTTTGAAGAAATACTTATGTGAATTAAAAGAAAACTTTTTGGGTATCTATAAACGTTAATAAATAGTCTAAGTTGGTTTCCAAAAATCATTCAAATAGCCTATTGTAGGACCTTTTTTTGCTGTGCAAAATGTATTTGTTGACGTCATTACAAACATCGATGGAAATCGCGTGACTCAGAAGTTCTATTTAATTAACTCGGCGACGTTTCGTATGCGTAGTTAATGCATTAATAGAATCGCTGATGACATTCAAAACAAACATTGTGTTTAGATTATAACGCAATTTATTGTCTGTTTGTATGTGTAGTTGCGGCTTAAACTCATTCGTGTACCGTTCTAAAGACTATCCACGTGGAACATCTGTTTGTTACAATCTGTTTTTCTATAGTAAACAATATTTGTTTACGTTTTATCGAATTTAGTTATTCTAACTACCTTACCGGTTTGACCAATTGTTATAAAATTTGATATATACGTATTATTTGAGGTAGAGAAAGATATAACTTTTATCTCACTGGTTGGTTTTTGCCAGTAGTAAACACACTTGGTAATCGGTTTGGCAACCGTAAAGTTTTTATGATATTTTAAGAGGGACTTGATCATTAAGTTTCCTTAATGCTCTTACGACACCTACGGGGTCACACATTCTATGCCGGTATTGATACAATAGGTCTTTTTATTAATACTTACAATGCTGTAAACAAACTGATGACCCACTTGACAGTGGTAATCGTCACCTATAGACATGAACAGCACCATACACTATTATGTTCATGGTAGCCCTAATGTATTGCCATTCTTAATATCTATGGTGTAGGGTGACTATGTAATTTTAATTACATTATCGTCGTAATTTTATCGTTGCCTCCATTTGACTGACCTAATTTGCAATTCTATGTTTTTTATACACTCCACACACAATGTAGACCGTAACGAGTATAGCTGTATAACCAGGTTGGCAGCATTAGCGTGAAGCTAATGTTTAAAAACATACTATGGTATATGGTAACACTTATTACAGTATGATAAATATTATGTATGTAAACATATCATTCGTTGTAGAAAATTGTACCTTTAGTTGTGTTAGAACTGTTGATTTTTTTAATGGTTTTGACGGATTTTAAAATATATATATATAAGAAAAATAATAATAACTGAGAACCTTTTTCAACCGACTTCAAAAAGAAGGAACCTCCTTCTTTTTGAAGTCGGTTGAAAGTCAAATCTTTCCTCTTAATGGCATTAGTTTAGAATCTTTTAAACCTAATTTGTGTTAGGTTCATAATGAACTCAACAGCCGTAGCCTCATAGCCATGATTATTCCATTAGGGTCTAATGCGTGGTAATGATTTTAAACATTTCTTACTATTACATTAATGGCAATAAATAAATAAGTAATTATTATCTAATGTTGTATATAAACATAATGTGTATAAACATATATATATATATATATATATATATATATATATATATATAATTCTATATTTTTATTACTTTTATATATATTATATATATAAAGGTAATAATCGTCAGTATTGAATGTATAATATCTTCGCATATTTTATGCTTGTCCTCAAATGGTTATGCTATTGAACATGTACATATTTTTATTATAATATATAATACTTTTTACCCTTGAGTTCAGCGTGACCGTTATAAAAAGTAGCCTGTCCTTCTTCATATTAAACACTGTATGTATCTATATATACCAAAATTTTAAGACAAAATGCTTCAACGATTGAACAGATTTTTACATTAACACTAATCGTGAAATTATTGTATTATTAATCTGAAGTCTTACTATTAATAGTGTCCTAGGTTATGACTCCCATTTTACAATTACTCATCCATTTCATCCACTCACAAATAAGACAGTCATGATTCACCTACAAAATAATTCACCTACAAATTGCTGTCTCTGTTTGGCGTGGCGGTTGACTGGTAGAGAATGCCATCAGGCATTAAGTCTGCCCTGTAGACATTTTTCAATGTGTGCAAAAGTATAAATAAATAATATTTGAACAAATTGTATTATTCGTTAGTTCCATAAGTGTTAATTTTTTTAAATATATTTTGTGTCATTATATAGTATAGGTGGCCGTTTGATCCCCGAATAGAATAGGTCACAATAGGTGGGTGTCGTAAGGCGACTAAGGGAGGGCGAGGGATGGGCAGCAGCGTCCCTCTTAGAACATCTCTGAAGCCTAACTGCGATTGCCAATCCGCCTGCCAAGCGTGGCAGCTACTAGCAAAACTCCCCTTATGGGGGAGGCTATGTTCAGCAGTGAACTATTAAAATCTGATACGACGTCGTATAGGGAAAATCACTGCCTATCCTAAAGAACAGTAATTACCTATTTAGGAAGCAGAGTTTCATTTATATATTTTTTTTTATACAACTTAGAATGGCAAACAAGCAGACGGCCCACTGATGGAAAGTGGTAACCGTCGCCTATAGACATGAGCAGTACCATGGACATAACAGAGTATACTGTTTCGCCTATGATACCCATGCGTTGCCATTCCTGAGGACTCAGGTGTTATTTAAAGACGACTGTATCATTTACTTTGAAATAAACTATTATACTAGTAAAGATTGTAAGTTTATTTAATTACAAACAATAATTTTCAGGCACAAAAGCGGTGGACGCCCTGCTAACGTCCAAGTGGGCGACCGGCAAGAACCCTATATTCACGACCCGTCACGAGGTCACAGACTATCTCCACCAAATGCTACTGCACAAACTGTTTCACAGAGCTAAGAAGGTAATGTATACAAAACAAATTTAAGTATATTTGTATATGATTTATCAAGTTTTGGATGTAAAAACTAGGTATGTATTTTTCTTCCGAATAAGACATATGAGGAAACAGAACAAACATTATTTGATGCAGCTTATTATATATATATATATATATATATATATATATATTAATTTATTTTAATTATATATTTATTTTAATTTCTGTTTATTTTTAATTGTTAAATTATGTATACAACCTTGTTGTAGTTACTTTCTATCAATATTAATTTCTCCATAATAATAATAAAGGAGATTGGGGCTGTCACCCCTTAACACAGGTTATTATATTAACCTATTTAGGAGCCCAGTTCTAAAACCACGACTATTGTACATTTAAAATTATAATAAGTTTAATAATATTTTATATTCAGATACGGCAGTGAAGTTACAGGAATTGGGGGCTTAACTGTATAATCCTATGTAATATCACTTTTCATCAGGTGGGACGTCTGTTTGTTTGCCTTTTTAAGTTGCATAAAAAGTGACGTCCGTACCGAATCTTGTTAACGTTTGAAATTGTCAGATTAAAAAAAAATTAGATTTATTAATGTTAATTGTGTTTCCTATCAATTGTTGTAGGTTCCTGTCACTGAACAAGAACTGAAAGGGAAATCAAAGAAGAAAGATAAAGAACAAGAGAAATCGAGTAAAAGTGGTGATGATAAAGACGGTGAGAAGAGTCAAGCTAGTGCCTGCGAGGGGAAGGTATGTATCAAGCATTAAGCTGTTAATTGTCCAGTATTGGACACGAGCATATCCCATAAGGAAAAGTTCTGAGCTACCTACATTCACTAACATCTTGCACATATGAGTATATCGCTCTATCTGGTTGTCGTCGTACACTGTGTTTGCCTGTATGGGGTCGCCACTTAATATCCTTACTTTATGTCTCTTCTTGTACCACATGGCTAGTCTATTCTTACTTCAGTTGTTTATAAATGTGAAAGTGAATTTATTAGTTACCTTTTACCGCCTTAACGGATTAACTTAAATAAAATAAATAAAGCCGTTAGCTTAACTAATCGTCATGAAAATTAGTATAGCATAATATTTGCTGTGTGGTCCCGGCATAGAATAGGCCACCCCTTCCTTTCCCGTGGGTGTCGTAGAATCGACTAAGGAAAGGCGAAAGAGATGTTTTAAGAGAGATGTGTAGCAGCATCCCTCTTAAAACATCTCTAAAACAACCCCATATTGGAGAAGCCTGTGTTCAGCAATGGACAGTTAATGGCTGATATGTGATGAAGAGGCTGAGAAGGTCGTAGATAATAATAATCGCTCTTGAGGGGGAAAGGGATTGTTAGTAATGGGTTCTAACAGCTCCATTACTATACCCTATGAGGTTGACCTCCATGCTGTTCCCTCTGGAAACCATCATGGTTAATTCTAGTCAAATTCTTCACGATTGACCTTCTACCTTCATCCGTATCTATCATTGGTGCCGTGTCAGCGTAGGCAGGGTTACCATACCATTTTCGTACATTAAAATTAAATAATACCGATTAATTTTGACTTCAGGAAAGTAAAGACGGCAAAGAGAAAGAGAAGAAGAAACGCAAGATCCGTCTGGAGATGCACTTGGAGCAGGTGTTCCTCGACACGGCGGACGCGTACGTGTGGATCTACAACCCGATGCCGTGGTACTACTGGCTCTTCGGCGCCCTGGTCGTCCTTAGCACCATCACCGTCTGCATGTTCCCTCTGTGGCCTGCTACTGTCAGGTGAGTAGTTTTTAAGACTTCCGATAGGAGGTTATTAATTTGTCCTATTTTTTCGCGATGTTACGCTTATGTTTGGGAATCGACGAATCTCCAATAAGAACATTTCATATACTTTTACGGTCTTCGTTTTCAGTTTTTTTTGTTTTTGATGGGTGAAACTGGTATGGTAACCCCGCCTGCGTTAACGGGATACGCTGACGGAGCACCAGTGAAGGGTGATAGATGAGAATGAAAACAGGCCAGTTGGGCCATCATGATGAATTCATCAGGAATTAACCATGATAGTTTCCAGGGGAAACCGCGAGGAGGTTGACCTGGTTGGGTATATTACTAGCAATAGGATTCTCAGTCTCCATTACTAACAATCCCTTCCCCTCCCCTTCGTTTTTTTTTATAGAGCCATAACTTTTTATGTTACACAATTATTTACACTTTATTGCAATAAAAATAATAATTACAGTAAATTTTAATGAGAAGTGATACAAAAGGCGGCCTTATTGCTAAACAAACTCTTCCAGACAACCTTTATCAACATATACATATCGTCGTAGTCGTAGAATACTGACGGATCTGACAAATATTACATATAAAGATCCGTCAGTATTCTACGACTATGACGATATATATATTGTCCATTATAAAAGTAAATAAATAAGAAGATTGCCAGTAGTTGCCACGCTTGGCATATGAGATGGCAACTGACAACAGACTTTGAGGGATGCTACTGCCTATCTCTCGACCATTTAGCTTACCACAACCAAGAAAAAAGAAAAGATGACCCATTTTTTGCTAGGACCAACCCAGCATTTATATGTTTTTCTAAATGTTCCAGAAAAGGTGTATACTACTTAAGTATTGCTGCAGCGGCGTTCCTAGTGATGATCATAGCCCTGGCGGTACTCCGCGTGGTCGTCTTCTGCCTAGTTTGGATCCTGACTCTCTCCAGGTAATCTTGTCTTCACGCTTAGTTTATTTATAAAAAGAGCTGATTCTTAATTTGCTAGTATGTTAATTTGTGACCGCGTAAAGTATGTTCATAATGAAATATGGTAAAATGGCAATATTTTGTTAATTTAAAAAAAAATTAAACAATTTTTAGATGTTTCTGATTGATTTATAAAGTGCTCTGCGTACTAACTACAATATTAATCATGCAATAATACTCTTATTAATATTATATTTATTAAGTTAACATTAAAAATTTGAATGTTGATACCAAAAATATAAAGTATTTGAAAAAGTCCGAAGCTAAATATGAACTAGGTGTAAAGTAGATTAATATGCAATATACGATTAATGTTTTAGTTCGCTGACAGAGCACTTTTAAAATAATAGATCAGAAACATAGAAAAATGTTAAAAAATTGACAGATAATTGTGACGTAATCAAGAGTTATCAATGGTTCAGAATTGGTATAATTATATTTATACCAATTCTGAACCGATGTTTGATAATTCTTCTTGCAATCGAAAGGGTTAACTCCCCTGTTGGTTTCCTATTATGATATATTTGTAACGATTAACAATTTTTGGCAGCTTTTTTTTTCGTAGAGCTTCCTTCCTGTTTGTTAATTAAAAAAATCTTTCATTCCATATTCTTAATTAAAAAATCTTTTTCATATTTTCCTAATCTTTAAATTGTTTTTTTTTTTTTTTTTTTGTAAAATTTGCGAAGCAGAATCAACTTACTTGTACAGCCATAATTTCACATTCTAAATTCAAAATATTTTTTCAAAGATTCTTAAATTTTAAATTGTTGTTGTAAAAAAATAGAATATTGTCCTCAGGCATCATCTGTGGTTGCTACCAAACCTCACAGAAGACGTAGGCTTCTTCGCTTCATTCTGGCCGCTTTACAAGGTATGTAAATAAAAATGCCCTTATTAAATTTCAAATCCCTAAATACCAAATTTCAAATCACAATTAGTCATCTGTTAAGTACATAATAATATAATATACTAATATTATAAAAAACAAAAAATTGAGTGTTTCTTTGTAATGGATAAACCTAAACCTGCTTAAACTATTATAGTGTTTAGTTTTTAGAATAATGGGTTTACAGTGTGGTATTAATTATTTTCAGTATGAATACCGCGGACCCGGCTCCGACTGTGACAAATCGTCGAAAAATAAGAAGAAGCGCAAGAAAGACAAGCAGTCGGACGACGAGAGCGAGAAAGCGCCGCTGTTGACCGAGCAGCCAGCGGACAGCGTGTCCGAAGCACCGCCCGAGATAGACACTGGGGAGATTAAGTATGTTATAAGAATTCTTCAACGTCCCACTACTGGACTCTGTCACGCCTATAAGATGTGGGGCTTATCTTTGATTTTTATTTTCTAAATCATACACTTCGATTTAGCGCCACATTGAAATGAAATGAAATTAATTTATCTCGTTAGAATATCTCTTCTAATATAGTTAACTGTTTGTTATAGTAATATGTATGTATGTATATATTTATTTATTTATTTCATATATTATATGTATGTTTATATTAGCCAATATGTTTATGATATATATATATATATATATATTATTTATTGCACTTGTAAGTTACATATAAAATAATCTATTTATAAATGTTGTGAGCAAGGGTGGACTTATCTCTGACAGAGATCTCTTCCAGTCAACCCAGTACAGTAAGAAAGCATCTCGTTAGCGGGCAGCTGAAGTGTTACAACTATTAATACATAAACAAATATACAGTTAAATAAAATATTAAAATATATAATAAAATATTACATAAATACATACAATATAAATACATATAATACCTACCTACTGGGGGAAAAGGGATTGTTAGTAATGGAGACTGAGAATCCCATTGCTAGCAATATACCCAACCTGGTCGACCTCCCCGCGGTTCGCCCTGGAAACTATCATGGTTAATTCCTGATTAATTCATCATGATGGGCTAACTGGCCTGTTTTCATTCTCATCGATCACCCTTCACTGGTGCCCCGCCAGCGTATCCCGTTGGTGCAGGCGGGGTTATCATACCATTTTCACCCATCAAAAAAAAAAAAAATTATATTCCTTCAATTCATTAATATACCGTCTTCTTATTTGTCGGTTTGCCCAATGGTTGACTTTTAGAGAATACCGTCCGGTGTTAAGTCTGGCATATGTACATAGTTTCACTGTGCATTAAAGTTTAAATAAATAAAGAAAAAAATCATGCCTATATTAACACTACACGCCCGATTAAATACACCCGCGTTTATTAGTACGTAAAGTGTTATGTACTGAGACATGCGCACGAAGCCGCGGGAAACAGGATACTATAAATCTTCAATTCTGATGTCGACAGAGAGGAGCCCCTTCTGCCGAGCACAGACAAGCAGTCAGAGTCCGAGTCTGAGAACAGTCAGCGCTCGTCAACGGATCGGGACTTCGAGATCGTGGAACCGGGTGACGTCGAGCCCGACAGGGATTCCAATGCGTAGGTTCCGTACATCTGTTGTGTGATGCGAACGCACTGGGGCGCAGCAAGTTGAAATCACTGGATTTTTTTTTAATTTTTTTTTTGTGCAACTCAGTATGGCAAGCTGACGGCCCACCTGATGAAGTACTAACCAATGCTTATAGCCATGAATAATAATATTGTAATATTTGAATAGATTGAGATTTTCGACGAACTTTTAATGTTTTTGTTTTTTGCAAATCGTTTAAATAAAATTGCCAATTCCATTGTATTTTTTATGTAATCTCTAAGCCAGATTCTCTCTAATTTCGTTTTTCTGTTGCATACGTTTACCATCCTTTCTGATATTAAATTGTTCGATATATAAAATGCATTTATTTACAATAACCATTTTATTAATTAAAAAAAAAAAACAAAATCTTTTTTTTTGTCACTTTTATTCAAATTGAGATTTAACGCAAGAAAAAGGGATAAAAACATTAATGGATAAGACACATTTATTATATATTTAAAGTTTTTATATTTATTTCTTAATATCGTCATAGTCGTAGAATACTGACGGATCTATATATGTAATATTTGTCAGATCCGTCAGTATTCTACGACTATGACGATATAAGTTATACTTGATTGAAATTTTATTTATTATATATGAAAATAATACGCTGTGGTTTTAGTTTATTTGCTCTCAAAACAGTATTATTTGTTGCTCTCCCAGTGCGTTCCATATCCATAGACTGTAGATTAGTATATTATATTAATTGGAAGTATTCCGAATCAAGGGTATTGTTGTTCTGGTGTTAAATGTTTTTCGGTTGAAGCCTAGTACGAGTGGTTTAAATAAATCATGGTTAGTGAAGTAATCGTCTCATATACGCACTAATGTTTATAATAATTCAGCTAGACGTACATTACACGCTATGAAAATGTACAATTGAATATGGACCGTAACAATTATATGGTAGGGCTGTGATTTGTTTGATTCCTTAATTGCTTTTTCAATCATGAGTTTTTTTTTTTTTTTTATAAATTTTTACAGTATAATACAGTTTGTTATTGTATTAATGACATATTCCCACACTGTGAAAATACTGCGTGATGTCTTTTCTGTTATATATGTATTGTAGAGAATAACTGCCGTGAAAAAGTCTATATTATTTGTCTCTTTTTAATAATACATAGAAAAACTCAAAAAAAAATTACTACGAATGTAACTGGAAATTGGTAACAGTGATCTATTAGCAAGTATAAATTTTAAATTTAGTTTTTTTAAATCTAATTCATCACGATATCAGCCGTTAACTGTCCAGTGCTGAACATAAGCTTACCCCATAAGAGGGGAGAATTGCCAGTAGTTGCCATTGTTGACAAGTGGGTTGGCAACCGCAGTTAGGATCTAGTGTTAACTGTCTAACAGTGCTGAACATAGGCTTACCCCATAAGAGGCGAGAGTTGCCAGCAGTTGCCTTTTTTGGCAGGTGGGTTGGTTAAAACATCACCAAAGCCTAATCGCAGTTAGGCTTTGGTAATGTTTTAAGAGAGACGCTGCTGCCCATCCGCGACAATTAAGTTCCCTTAGTCGCTTCTTACGATACGCACAAGAAAGGAAGGGATTAAATCTAATTACTTGTATGTGATTAAAAATTAATATTTATCGGTACCTTTATATTGTTACCTGTATCCAAATAATGTTAAAAATGTGATTTATTAAAAAAAATGCTTAATTATGAAGCTCCATGAAATATAATCCAAGTCATAAATTAACATAAAAAATTATTCTACTAAAATTTACACAGGAAATAGTATTTGATACGGTAACAAACTGTATAATACCATCTTGATAACTTGTTCTATAAAGAAAAGAGTCCTTATTTACGGTGCAGTTGTAATTCCTATGGCCAAAATTACTGGATAGTACTATGGACCTCAGGCATGGTAGCACATGAGGGTTACTATAGAAGTGTCTATGGTCATGTTCATTTTTATTGTCTATGGTTATCACTTTTCATCAGGTAGACTGTCAGCTTGTTTGCCATTCCAAGATGTATAAAAAAAAATTAACCGGGAAGATTTTGTTTTGGCTTTATATTAGTTCTTTATTATTTTTACATAATCCATATCTATCTGGCTAAATAAAGAATAAAGGTATGATATATAAAATCTAGAATCTTGCCCTGTGTTTTCGAATATGCTCCATAGACAATTTTTATGCATATTATTTGTTTTGTTATGTCCAATATGTTTATTTTTTGTTTATATGGTGCTGCGGTTATAGTTAGTGACTGCATTGAATAATTCCATGGATTTTGGACTTTAAATATATTTAAAATTAAATCTACTTGAGTTTATAATACCAAATGATTGGTTTGAGACAATTATATTAATCTCAAAATCAGATATACATATATGTGTTTGTAAGTAGAAATTTGATTTCTTTATATAATCGTATGTACTTATTTTTTTAATTTTAAAATTAGCGTGTTTATAATTTATTATAGCGATACCATATGATATTTTATCGTCATAACTCTAATATGCACCGATATTTAAATGTCTCCATACAATTGCATATGTTTTGCTCTCCTATTATACTGTGACGGTAAAATGGAACCATATCATGCTGTGCTAAGTTAAATTATAAACATCTCTAATGGCAAATGAGTTTTTTTTTTTATTTTTTACGTCACATACACAAGGGAAGTCCAAAATTCTTTATATAATAATTTGTTATGTTCATAAAATCGTTTATAAATTTTGTAGATACGAAACGAATATATTATTTTAATATCTATACACTATATTAGACTTGAAAATTATGTTAAATGAATTTCCGATAATATTTTGCATTCTGTATTTGTATAAAATTGTACCTTAAATTCATAATGATAAGTATTACAATATTATCTGCATTTTTCTCTCACTGGCCCGTACACGTGTATATCTGTGTTTGTATTGTAAATACATACTCATAACAAGATCTTATTGGTGTTATTAAACAACGTGTAGGTATTTATGTCAATCAACGGCAATTCAATAAAAACGATACTCTTTTTAAATTGATCTTTTATTTTTATGTAGTGGTAGTAGCTTTGTTAGATATTTTTAAATTATTTCTGTGATTATGAGAAATAGCCGACTTTCTAACTCGTAGGGGTATGTAATATATAGCAACATATGTAATATGTATCAGTTATCCAATATATATTCAATTTATAAAGAAAACCGTTCTCTCCTACTAGCGGAACAAAACAAACTAAAAAAATCCGTTATTCTACTAGTAGAACAAAACGAACTGAAAAATCCGTTCTGTTTTACTAGTAGAACAAAAAGAACTAAAAAATCCGTTCTGTCCTACTAGTAGAACAAAACGGCCTAAAATCCTAGTTCTATTAGTAAGAAATAACGGAGAGGGAAATAAAATCTTTAAATGCAGTAAATTAAAACGAAGATTTAGTATGTCTTTTATTTGTTAGTAAGTATATAATATTATTATTAATGTTCCAATATTATACAAAAATAGTACTAAAATTTATTATTTTGTCTAATTCACAAGTTGCCACGTCTGTCTTGTTCTAATTCTATCGATTCGAACAATGTTTTAAAGTTGCCAGCTCCGAATCCCTGGAAAATAAAAAAAAGGTCTATATTTGAAAGTTTATGACAGAGTTTTTATAAGCGTAACCCTTTCATGGAAAACTTCTAAATTCACTTTAAATATCAAATGAGTCCTATCTCTACGTCCCCATTACCGCATTATAAGGTTTTCAACTAAATTAGCTCGATCGGAAATCAAAGCCGAAGTCTTATTACGCACAGCAAGGTACCTACCGCTGTCACATTTAAAGAGCTCATCTAAGAGGAAAGGGATTGTTAGTAATAAAGTCTAATAACCTCATTGCTAGCAATATCTCCATGCAGTTCCCTTTTGAAAATATCGTGGTTAATTCTTGTAGATTTCATCATGATGGGTCAACTGATTTGCTTTCATCCTCACCTATCATTGCTCACACTGCTAGTGTACATATACTATAGAGAAGGCGGGGGATTTCCATTTTTAGCCATTAACAAAAATGGCTCGATCAATCGTAATTTTGGCATGAAGAAAAGCATAGATTCTTAGTCAGTCTCATCAGCGTTTTTTTTTATAGATGATAATGCAATAGTAACCTCGCCTGCGCTATCGGTATACGCTGGTGGGACACCAGTGTTAGATAATAAGTTAGAATGAAAAGACAGATCAGTTAGCCCATCGTGATGAATATACCTGGAATTCAGTACGATGGATTCCAGGACCACGTGGAGGGCGACCTGACAGTGTATATTGCCAGCATAGGGACTGGTAGTCCGCATTACTAACAATACCTCCCCCCCCCCCCATCTATCAGTGTTAATAATTGTGTCATAGAATTAAAATCTTACATTATGATTTCGCCTCTGTATAACCTCCAAAAACAAGGTGGGTCGATCTTGGGTATTCTTGGTAAATATCTGTAACAGGTATCCATTATCGTCGTAGTCTATAAGGATGTTCAGACGCTCCAATATATCAATACTTTCGGCCACCCTCACTTTACTGCGGGATAAGTTTTCTCGTATGAGCTTATAGTATTTTGAAGGAATAGTGAGAAATTCCACACCACGGGCGCGTAGGTTCTGAATCTGAAAAAGAATATTAAGGCATGGCATGATTTGTTCTTCTTTATATAGAGTGAAATCGAAATCATTAGTGTCCTTTTAACGAAGCATTTCACTAGTGAAACTGAACATCTTTCGCAAAAAGAGTTAAAAAAGGGTATATGTTTACAACACAAGAGGTAAACGAGCACGCGGCTCACCAGATGGTAAGTGAGGTGCCCATTAGCACCCGCAACACCGGAGGAATTGCAGGTGTGCTTCCAGCCTTTTATAAAGGATACGCTCTTTTGTACGAAATTAGAGTACCAACCCCCTGTACTATATTAATATTTATATCGTATTTATATGACAGGTTCAACGGACTGCGTAGACGAGGGACACATTATCCACAGGATTTTAAATTAGACTATAAACAATCTACGGCCTATGTTTTGGTCTGGTCATAATAAAACCTTTTAAATGAACACCTGTTGAGAAAATACTTGGCTTATATCAAAGGGAAATGTCTACAGATAAAATATTAATGGGGGTATATCCTGGACTCTTTGTAATCAATAGCTCTTTTAATAAGCCTGGTCAAGAGAGTAAGATTTCAGAATTGATCTCGATAGCTAAAGATCAGTTGAGGACGTAAAAACAATTATAAACATACTGTCGTTATAATGTCTTCAGTGTTAATAGCTATGTGCTGTACTCCAGCTCCCCCGTGGTACTCCACGTACTCCTGGATCTGGCTCTTCTTTTTGCCGACCGCGGGTTCGTTAATGGGCATCTTCACGTTCTCCTCCCAATTTGCCATCACCACTGACCGTAACGCTGAATACTCAGTGCAGACTTGCTTATCATCGACGGACCAGAATCTGTAAATACGTAACAGATACAATAACCAGGGTTTCTGCTTATGGGCTAAAAACGGAAAATGGTCAAAAATAGATTCACGAGAAATTCAACGTTCAAAACGTCGACTTTATGAAATATCATTTAAATTTTGACGTCATAAGAATGTAAAATTACATAGAGAAATTAACTATTTTCTATTCTATTATTAACTCTTGATGCCCTATTGCTGAGTAAAGGTCTTCCAAAGGGCTCTTTTCTAAAAGAGGAAAACTTACTTTGTTACGTAAGAAGTAAAATTTTCGAAAATGAATTAAACAAAATAATGTTAGATATATGGAATAGGGTAGACCAATCTCGAACTTTTTGTTTTTGTAAAGTTCAAAGATAGAAGTCCAAAAGATCGACTTTTGTTTAAATAGAACTTAAGTCAGAAACCCTAACTGAAAGAAACGGGAGGGAAAGGGATTGTTAGTAATGGGGTCTAACATCGCCATTGCTAGCAATATATTCTGTGAGGTAAACTTTCACGCGGTTCTCCCTGGAAACTATCGCAATTAATTCTTGACTTTATCACGATGGGCTAACTGACCTGTTTTCATTCTCACCTATCATCTCTCACTAGTGCCCCACCAGCGTATACTAATAGCGCAAGCGGGGTTACCATTCCATCGTTACCATTAAAAAAAAAAAACAGAAACAAACACAACCCATTATAAGTCAATTACTTTATTATGGACAGTTTTTGGTGGTATATTTGTTATGTTGACATGAGCAAATAAAAGAACACTGACAAATACATTAAAGAATGAAAGAAGTTTACTTCATTTAATAATATATATATTTTAATAATAGAAGAAATTGTGCATAAATGATGCAGTAACATTTCATATTTTGCTTTTGGAGTTTGGAGTTTAAAAATTTGCTTTACATATTAGTAGTAGAAGGAGCACTTAACTGTCCACTGCTAAACATAGGCCTCCCCTTATTGAGGGGTTTTAACTGTAGTTGCCACGCTTGGCAGGCGGGTTGGCAATCGCAGTTTGGTTTTTAGTGATGTTTTAAGAGCACTTAAATGTACCTGTGAAATTGTAGACACCTCTCGTACCAAGATGCAGCCGTCTCCATCTCGTTATCAGGTTGATTTCCTACCACGTGGTCTATAAAGTTGATTTCTACTTTTGGCCTTAAATAAAAAAAAAATAGTTATTAACGCTTTTTAATTCTATGTTTAAAATATTAATATTGTTGATAGAAGAAAATGAATTCTTTCAAATAAATACATTATATTTGTAAATTTGAATGTAATATAAAAAAAATGTCGTTCTTATTTTATATTTCATTATCATTCTAAAATTTTAAATTCAAGAGATGAAATTGGAATTTTGAAAATCCTTACTCATATTATAAATGTAAAAATGAATTCGTTTGTTTGTTTGTTGTTACCTTATAGCGGCTTTTTTATATAACACAGAATGGCAAACAAGCTGACGGCCCACTTGATGAAAAGTGGTAACAGTCGCCCATAGACATGAGCAGTACCATGGACATAACAGAGTATACTGTTTCGCCCATAATACCTCCCATGCGTTGCCATTCCTAAGGACACAGGTGTTATTCCTCTGTACCCAGTAAATTGACGCCATATCCCATCCTTCAAACCGAAACACAGCCATGCAAACGCAACTGCTTCATGGTAGAAACACGAATGGGACAGAGGTAGCCAAGCAATCGACTTTTGAACAAAGTCTCCCTCTGAATTAGTATACACGTACTATATGGAATGGAGATAAATATAGGCTACTTTTTATTCCGGTCACTAAAGATATCCTAGTCAAGCGGATAAGTCGCCGGCAAAAGCTAGTGTCATAACAAAGTCAGTTCTAATGAAAGCTTTACTTCAATTCATACTTACAAGAATTTATGTATAGGATCAGGCGGTGATGGCACGTAACCAGGTAAGAATGGACCTCTGTAATTCGTTCTATCTACCAAAGTGTGAGTGTTGTCGCCGTACTGGAACACAATCGATCAGTAAAGATACGAACACATCGAGACAATTTAAAAAAAATATTTTTCCGTACAAGCTTTTACTTAACATCTTTTAATAAGTCTTCCCGTACAAAATTTGCAATCCATTTATTAACCACTTACTGGCATATGATTGTGTTAAAATTTAATATTAAATTAAAATTAAATTAAATTAAATTTCGGTGACCATACAATACTCGTATTACAGTATTATTAACGTCACAACATTACCTTATTTTAAAACCACGCATTACAAGTATTTGTATAATTGCTAGAAATAAGTCTAAACTAATATTATAAACAAGAAAAAATTGCTTGTTTGTTTGTAATGATAAATAAAAATTATTACTCAATCGATTTTTTTAATTCTTTCACATATCGTCGTAGTCGTAGAATACTGACGGATCTTTATATGTAATCTTTGTCAGATCCGTCAGTATTCTACGACTATGACGATATAGAAAGCTACATTATGAGTAAGTAACATAGGCTATATTTCATTTTAATTTCTAATGTATATAAAAAAAGAACATCGTTGACCTACCGTCTTCAAAGTTGCCCTTCTGACTGTACCGTACTGATCAGACTCTTCCCATATGTCCCTCACGATCTCGGCGCCTTGCTTCCGTGCGTATTCCACGATGTAATCCAAGTTCTCCACTTGGAAGGCGACGTCTTTTACAAAGTCCCCGTGATACGCCACTTCATTCGTAAACTCGGTCTCTTCAGGTTCGTATTGAGCTTGGAATACGAATATTATCTATTGGAGTGCAGAACAGAAAAGTATAAATAAATACATATAATAAAATCGAAGATATATAATATGAAAGATATATCGTCATAGTCGTAGAATACTGACGGATCTAGATATGTAATATTCGTCAGATCCGTCAGTATTCTATATAAGAAAAACTATTACAGGGGGCTTTACTAATGCAAAAGAACCTACAATGATTTTTAAAATCTTCATCCGTTTGCCTGTACATTTGTGCACACTAATCTCAGAAACGATTTAAATGCGGTTTTTTACTAATACGTTGAGGTTTACTTTTCTTAACATTTAGTGTTTGTTTTATTTCAATTGATAAATAAAAAAGTAATGTAAATCTCAAGAATCACATATAAAATGCTATAAAAAAACCGATCAGTTGAATTGTTTGAATTTTTTCTTATATATATATATATATATATATATATATATATATATATATATATATATATATATATATATATATATATATATATATATATATATATATATATATATATATATATATATATATTGATGTTCGAAAATCCTGTCTACTCGTGCGAAGTCGGGTCGGATTGCTAATACATACATACATATATTATAAATCACGTCTCCCCATTGGCAAAGGTAAAAACAATAAAATGTCAAATGTTTCGAAACAAATAAACCTCATTTGCTTCCTAAAATTATTAATTACCTTATTGAGTACACCTAGAATAAAAATGAATATACACTCAATCTTCTTCTATACTTATAATAAATCTGTAGAGAGGTCAATTCTGTACATGAAATATATTTCCAAAATAACTATCAGGGGGCGATTAGTGATCGATACTGATGCCAAAAATGCAATCAGTAAAATTTTTGTCTGTCTGTCTGTATGTTCGTTATAGAAACAAAAAATAATCGACGGATTTTAACGAAACTTGGTACAATTATTCTTCATACTCCTGGGCAGGTTATAATATACATTTCATCACGCTACGATCGATAGGAGCAGAGCAGTGAAGGGAAATGTTGGGAAAACGGGAGAAGTTACTCCATTTTTAAGTTTCCGTCGCGTGTGCAGCCTTAATGGCCACTTTTTAAAATATAAAGTATTTACCTTATTCATTCTAACAGCGTGAGAGACAATTTTCCTAGAGCCCGTCTCAAGCCCGCTGTAGGCGAGGCTTTCGAAGCCGAAACGCGTCACATAGTAACTGGCCGCCTATAAATAAATATACATGAATGAAATATTAATGTAAATTTAAAACAGGTTATAAATAAATTTAAGATTACTACCATAAAGATTATAAACCAGATGTACATTAATATCAAATAAAACTAAAAAAAAGACAAGAATAATAATGTAACTAAGTAAATTAGGAAAGAAATATTGGATTTTCTATGCTGTGTATTTAAACCACAGTTTGAATAAGTAATACTACTCTGTTTAAGTAATTACATAGAATTAACTTTATTTATAAATAAAAAACTACGCATGCAAATAAAATAAATCAATATATAGTAAACAAATAAATAAAACACTGTGTTCATTAACTGTTTTTTTTTATTAATTTAAAAGAATAGCAAGTTAATATTTATTTGAGATGGTAGGACAATGGTCCTACCACCTGGTATTTCTACCTAACCTACCTACCTCATTAGGTATGTTAATACCAGAGGGAGACTTTGTACAAAAGTCGATTGCTTGGGTACCTCTGTCCCATTCATGTTTCTACCGTGAAGCAGTTGTGTTTGCACGGCTGTGTTTCGGTTTGGGATGGGTGGGATATGGCGTGAATTTACAACGTACAGAGGAATAACATCTGAGACTTCAGGAATAGCAACGCATGGGGGGTATCATGGGCGAAACAGTCTGTTATGTCCATGGTACTGCTCATGTCTATAGACGATGGTTACGACTTTCCATCAGGTGGGCCGTCAGCTTGTTTGCCATTCTAAGTTGTATAAAAAAAAATGATGTTTTTAAGAATAAGCTAATTATAGTATAGGACATAAGATTTTAGTCTGTAGAAAGGTAACATGAGCGTCACAGTATATTCTGAGAAGTCTATATTGCTCTTTGCATATGTCTATAGGTCACCCTGTTAGGTTCCCATTTTCTATCAAATGCACTGTCAGCTTGTTGGCCACTCCAAGTTGCATACATGTATTATTAATTTGTTTAAAATAACCTTACTTACCTGTTTTGCGTTTGACACCCAGAAAGTAAGGTGATCAAATGCGAGAAATCTTCCATTTTCTGGTTTTCTTCCTTTGTCAGTGTACGAAGTCTATAAATATATAAAAAATAAACATTGTGAAACAAAGAAAAGTGTAAAAATGTATTGTAAATCCTGTAAATGAATTTTATATCCTGAGGAGATAAAAACATCTTAAAATTCCTATCACAGATAAGAATTAACAGTGAACTTTAAAAAGGGCGAGCTCAATAGTTCATGGAAAGGTCGCAGTGTCACAGGTTTTTCTGCCTAAAAAAGCCCCTCTTTCAGTAATAATAATTATGCGTCAAGATTATTGTAAGTATTACCTTCTTCTATTCTATTCTTGACGCATTAATGGTTTATCCAATCGCTACTTATGTTATTGGCGCACACTTGTGTTTATTTGCTGTTACAAACTTGAGATGCGATTTGATACAACTGAAGTATATATGTAGGTACTTTTTCTTTTTTTTAATGAATGATGAATGGAGTGATTATGCATACCCCGCATGCATTATCAGTATACGCTGGCGGGGCACCAGTGAGGGATGATAGGTGAATAATGAAAAAAGGCAGGTCAGTCAGCCCTTCGTGATGAATACACCTGGAACTCAGCACGATGGTTTCCAGGGGGAACCGCGTGAAGGTCGACCTGACAGGGTATATTGCTAGCAATGGGATTGGTAGCCCGCATTACTAACGATCTCTTCCCCCAGTATATAGGTACTATATGGGATTAAGAATGACATATATAAGCTACATTTTATCCCAGTTTGTAAACAAATCTCAGTCAGGCAGATGAAGTTGGGGGTAAAGGCTAGTTAATGACAGAAATAGAAAAATTTGACAATATTAAAAAAATCTTCAAGTATAATTGCCTACATAAAAAAATAGGTAGAAAAATGTTATTTAAATAATGTAAACTTTTTTAATTATTAATTGAAAAAATACTTTTGTTATTAAAAATATTTGCATGAAATATTTCTATAGAAAGAAAAAAAAAACATTTAGCGAAAAATATAGAATAAAATACATACCATTATTTCAATCAAAACTTTTTTGTCAAAAACTTTTTTATTAATTTGAGTATGTGAACACAGAATGAGCACGTATACCGCGCGTGGACTGGTAGATGGCAAAGAATCAACAGCTTACTTGTTTACGAACGGTTTTATATTTCAACCAGATTCTGGAATTTATAATAACATTTTGCGTTTATTAATAAAACTTGATTGTAAAGGTGTGGTCACACAATATGATTTAATTTTATTAATTTACATACTATACTTCCCATACGTTAGAAATTAGACATATGACTTAATTTCAGGGGTCCTCTCACATGGATACTCAGGTTACGGAATGACCTCCCTGCCGAGGTATTCCTAATAGACTACCAACATGGAATTAATCAATAAAATGGACAAAGAGTATTTTTAGAATCTACAATGTAGGCGCAATGCCATTGGTATTAAAGGTCTTCATAGACTACGGTAAATGCTTATTATATTATATATTATAGGCAGGCCGTATGCATATTTGCGATTTGTGGTATTGAAAAAAATTACATGTCATATAGTAATAAAAGCTCAAACATGAATATTTTTAATTTAACCAATTTCTTAACAACGCGCGATTTTCCCTACCTTCCCTTTAAAATCTTCCTTTAAAAAACTCTAGTAAAAAGAATGCACAGATAAAAAGATAGATTGACTAGATAGAGACATTTAAATATAATATAAGAGAAATATATGAAGAGATGGCTATTTAGTGATAAGGCCGCCCATTGTTGCCTCTTTATCTTACTTTTATGTAATTAATAATTCATTTTGTTTGTGTACATATTGTTATTATTTTTAATTTATAACATTCTATGAAGGGAACAATAAAGAGTTTTCATTCATTCATTTGAAGGATATTTCCTTCAAATGAATAAAAACTCCACCAATGGCACCAATATGAAAACCAGTTTATAATTACGGCGTGTAGTGATTTGGGGATCTGAGGGCCTACTATGAAATGTTTTCCGAAAGTTCGGAGCCAAACGAAACACAAATTTGATGTTAAAATTACATAATACATGCCGTTTGGAAATATTAAAAATGTTAAAATATCATTCTTTAGGACTTTTATGATAGGATGCATGACAAACGAAATATTAAGTTCTATTTATTGGTCTGATTTTGGTATAAACAAAAACACGAAATTGAGTTCGAAAATTCGGAATTTCATGGTAGACCCGCTGCTCAAAGCCAAGCCTCCATAATAGGCACAATGTTATGTTTTTAATTTGTTGAATAAAAATGACAAAAGTTGGTATTATATCTAATATTCTAAAAGCCATAATATTTTCAACCGATTTCAAACAGAAAGGAGATTCTTAATTCGGTTGAATTTTTTTATGTTTGTTACATATATATAACTCTATTAGATGTAAACTGATTTGGAAAATTCATGTTCGTTTCGAAAATTGACGTTCTTAAACACGTTTTTTTTTTAAGAATGTCAAAAAAGTATTGAAAATTAATAAAAATAAATATATTAATAATAATTTACTCGTTTTGTCTAGCTACGCATATACATTAACTCGTTAGGTCGCTTGATAAATAGTATGTAAATGTGTTTCAATATAGAAAACTGGTAACAAGCGAACTTCCAAGCACATAGACGGGGTGGCGTAGCGTTGCGTCACTTCAATTTAATTTGTTGACAAACAGACACAGTAGGACACCGGTAGAATTAAAAAAATAAACAGTGTTATATACATCTGTATTCTTTATCTATGATCTCCATAAATTCTTTTTTTTAAAGGCGCGAAAATATTCGTATAAAAAAATTTTAGCATAGTTCTATTTTCAAATTTCATCTAGAACTTGAGTCGTAGAAAGAGGTACTTATTCTTGATCTATCTATGTTCTAAATTTAATATCTTTAACATTATATTCCTGATTAATATATTTATATTAGTTTTCACACGTGACTTCTTCCGCTTGACAGATATATTTATTAATTAGCATAAAAAGTAGCCTATATATATCCTTCTCCGTCCCATATAGTACATAGATAGCAAATTTAACAGTGATTGGTTGAATCATTAAGAAGATATAATATAACAAACAAACAAACAAACATTAATATCACAGTAAGGATATGAGGATAAATTTTGAAAGACATACCTGCATTAATATTTCTAGGATCATATTTAATACCATTTATCAATTTGTTATGTAACTAGTTAATTACTAATAGCTAATCTAAAAATTTTATTCCTAATTTACGAGTAGGACTTATTTAGTAAAGTTACTTGTTCCAAATTTATAAAATATTTATAACCTTATAAAGATAGTGTAATATGCCCTTTAATACAAGCCCTTTATATGTTTAACAGTAATAGTTATACTGTACAGTAAAATATAATATAATAGTAAAATATAAGGTGCGTATCTCACACACGTTTTTAGTCGTCAGATGCTCTGTCATATTTCTGAGTATCGCAGTTGTCTCTACCCCACGTTATATTAGTCGAGGTTCGAGTCCGGCACGAGATGGCTGCCTGTTTTGCATATTTAAAAATATTGCGCAATTGTATGTTCCACGGGAATTTTCCTTGGCATTAATATTACGATTCGATTGCCATTCGAAAACAACTAATAATATTATTGACCGATATTGTGCGTGTTGTTTTTATAGAAATAAATAAATGGTATTAAACTGTAGAGTACAGTAGGTATTAATATTAAAATCATTGTTATCGATTCTGAGGCGCAATTTCTCTAAATATATGTCTAAAATTAAAATTTTCAACGTGATATCACTTGCTGTTATAGCAAAATCTGTATTGTAAGGATTAATACGAACTCATTTTCTAATAGATTTAAATTAAAATATTTGTAATTATAGTTTATAGTGACTTACGACAGTAATAATAAATGAAATGAAATAAATAATTAATAAAATAAAATATAAACAGTAATTTTGCGAAATTATCAATTTAAAATATAAGGTTAAGAGGTAGGTTTAGGGGAATGGCGTCATGCGACGATCTGGTGACTTTTACCCCTATCAATCGGGGGGAAAGGGATTGTTAGTAATGGAAACTGAGAATCTCATTGCTAGCAATATACCCAACCAGGTCGACCTCCTCGCGGTTCTCCCTGGAAACTATCATGGTTAATTCCTGATGAATTCATCATGATGGGCTAACTGGCCTGTTTTCATTCTTATCTATCACCCTTCACTGGTGTTCCGCCAGCGTATCCCGTTAGCGCAGGCGGAGTTACCATTCCATTTTCACCCATTAAAAAAAACCCCTATCAATCAGGTGGGCCGTCCCTTGTTAAGTCCGTCTCCGTCTAAGTTGCATAAAAAAATGTTCACAATCTCACAGCTGTACTGCATAGTAGAGGCCCAAAAGTTTGTCGCTTTTCAACGTATGTTTACTTAATAAAAATTTCCGTTTTACTGGCACGACACTTATTTAAAAGGATGCTCTCGTTTCGCTCTGTAGTTTTAAAAATTAAAAAGGGAATGTGGGATTTTTTATGTGTCAAACAAGCAGACCTCAGGATAATGTAATAGTGGTCATCTACAGGTATGAGCAGCATTGTAGACAACACAAGTATACTGCGACGACCATGATGCCCTTTATGCGTTGCCATTCCTAAGGTCGAATGTCGAGTGTCGAGTGTCGAGTTTCAAGCTCAACTAAATTAATGTACATAATTGATTGATGTATGTCTAGGGCGTCTAAAATCACTATTTACTCGTATTCCTCCTAGGTGGGGGGAAAAGGATTGTTAGCAATGGAGTTTGACAGCCCCATTGCTAGCAATATACCTTATTAGGTCGACCTCCACGTGGTTCCCCCTGGAAACCATCGTGAACAATTCTTGTTGAATTCGCCACGACGGGCTAACTGACCTGCTTCATCCTCACCTATCATTCTTCATGCCCCCGCCGGTGTATACCGATAGCGCGGGTGGGGGATAAAAAACAGCTGTTTGGTTAAATGTAACAACTTTTTGAGATGTCGAGTCACACACATCTCTGCATTTTAGAATAGACCAGTTTACTGGATTGGACTAAGCACAATATTTTAACAAGAAACATTTCTTATTAATATTATAAATGTTCAGTTCTAATCTAGTCACTTTCTTGAGTATTCTTTAATTTTAATAAAGTTTCCTTTGCCGAGGTGGCAATAGTAGACGACTTAGTCAAATTAACAAAGTTTATAATTAGTTGTCCCAAATTTGGACTCCACTTATAACATCTCATACAATTAAGTACCTAATATCACTAGAACGCTTAATATAATTCAAAACAGTATGGTATAAAACTTATACTTCTTTAACTCGCATAGAAGAAGTATTTGAGTTTTCATTGCAATTTAATCTAATAATAAAATATGAAGCATCTGGTTTTATAATTTTAGCGTCGTCTAAAACTATTATAATGCCATCTATCGGCAGATAGGTTATACATCAAATATCTATGTATTGTCACCAAATCGACCAAGATTAAAATACATTTTTTTTTAAATTAAATGCGAGTTCTATGGCGAAAATAATTATGTGAGAAGATTCAAAATTCTATGATTATATCTTTCGAATGGTGGTATTATGTTCTTCGTTTGAATTCTTTTTTTAAATATTGACGTTTTTAAGATTATTTTCCAGCAAGGCTTTGCTCCTTAATAAACGTGCATAAGTAGCAGAATGTGTGTGCTCGCATCCTGGGGTGGGCATTAGATGATACTGGGTGGGCGCGACCCAACCGGCTCCTAATAAGCAACGATAAACCTGTCACCAATAACATTGATAAAAAATTACGTAGGTAAAACGTAATAAATTAGTCAAATAATAAACAGTAAGGATTGGTTCAATAAATTTATTTAGATACTCGTTAGGTACTTTTTTTTTTTGATGGGTGAAAATGGTATGGTATCCCCGCCTGCGCTAACGGGATACGCTGGCGGAGCACCAGTGAAGGGAGATAGATGAGAATTTTAGCCCATCATATATATCAGGAATTAACCATGATAGTTTCCAGGGAGAAAGGTCGACCTGGTTGGGTATATTCTCAATGGGATTCTCAGTCTCCATTACTAACAATCCCTTTCACCCCGAGTAAGAAACTCGTTAGGTACTAAGAAATAACATTGCCAATAAGGTTGGTTTTAGAAAGTAGTTTTTAAAATATATACAAATTAATGAATAATATATTGAATGAATTAATGAAAACTTTATTGTTCCCTGAATGATACAGATTAATTTTATTTCAATTTAACCACACAATTAACGTTCATATACATATTTTTATACGTTGCCATTTGTCATGCTTTACTGTTTAAATTGGTATTTTTCATTTTTTCTTCAATTTCTTTATCTGCAGTAGAATCCAAGCGCTCGATCGCTTCGAAAACCCATTTATAGTTCATGGCGCCAAAACCCTGGTGAAAAAGAGTCATTATAGTAGTCAGTATGCAGGATATATGCGGCATAGTATTGTTTGCAGACGATACTTCATTGATTTTTAAAGTTAATAGAATGACTAATAATTATGACGATGTAAATAGTGCTTTGCGGCGTCTCCTGCACTGGTTTACAACTAACAATCTTATGTTAAACGCTAAAAAAACAAAATGTGTTAATTTCTCTCTATCTAAAAGTTTTAATACTAATTGCAATATTAAATTAAATGACGAATCTCTCGAATTTATAGAATCTACTGTCTTTCTAGGAATCACACTAGATAATAAAACACAATGGGGTGCACAAATTCAAAGCCTTGCAGCGAAACTAAGTTCAGCAGCTTTTGCCGTGCGTAAAGTTAGACAGTACACTGATACTGATACTGCTAGATTAGTCTATTTTAGTTATTTTCATAGTTTACTCTCTTATGGAATATTACTATGGGGAAAAGCGGCAGATATTAAGAATATATTCATATTACAAAAACGTGCCGTTCGAGCGATCTACTGTATGAAGAGTCGTGACTCATTAAGAGAGAAATTCAAAGAGGCAAATATTCTCACCGTTGCTTCTCAATTTATATATTCAAATATTCTATATGTTCATAAAAATCTTGACTTATTTCCAAAAAACAGCAATATTCATAATATTAATACTAGATTTAAAGACAAACTTGCTGTCCCCAAGTATCGTTTAGAAAAAGTTAATAGGTCTTTTATGGGAATAGGTATAAAAATTTACAATAAGATACCAAAGGATATGTTGGAATTACCCTTAAATAAATTCAAAACATCTGTTAAATCATATTTACTGAGCAAAGCCTATTACTCACTAAACGATTACTTGAATGACGAGTGTGCATGGCAATAGTTGTTCATGCACTGAATTTTCATTTAATGTTAGACATAGACACCTATATAAATATACATTGTAAATAAACTGGCTTTAAAAAAAGTAATTCAATTGAGTTTCTTGCCAGTTCTTCTCAATTGGATCTATATACCGAACTGGACGGTAGGGTAAATATAAAATTATAATGTAAAAATTTGACGTTCATAAGCGGCTAAAATGTCCTACATGAATAAATGATTTTTGAATTTGAATTTGAATTTGAATTAATTAATTTATAAGAAGTATAATTACTCCTGATGATACTTAATTGTTAATTTATCTTACTTATTACTAATATAATAAAATTCTAATTAGACAATGTCTGTACATGGCGTATACAGTATACCCGTAAAATATACACCAAATTTTCAAGTTAGCCCTTCAAGAACACAACAGTGAAAACTGTTTTTGTGTGATGCTGAAAAAAATATAGAGACAGATAACATATATAAAAATTACTGTTTTCATCTTAGATTTACGTGCGTTATACTTAACGTGACCAGACGTCCCGTTTTGAACGGGACTGTCCATTTTTATAATTACGTGTCCCGGTGTCATCGAAATGAACTCTGGCATGCAAAATTATTCCGTTTTCGAAAACCGCACGAAAATTTTAGTAGTCTTAAAGCGATGTTGATATATATATATATATATATATATATATATATATATATATATATATATATATATATATATATATATATATATATATATATATAAAAAAGTGCCAAACTTGTTCCTCCGATAAATATAACTAAATATTTTGTTTATTTATCGGGTATATTTTTTACCTTTAAGCTAACTTTTTCTAAAAAAAACAACTTTATAAATTTTTGGAGGAGAAGTTTTTTTAGAGACAAGGATAAATGACATCAAAACGACAAAGATTTCTTTGGCATTTTAAGTAGGTATGAGTAAAAATCAATGGCACTAAAACGGTTAATAAACATACCCTGTGATTTCTTCTCTGCAATATCTCGATGAAGAGCGTTGGTCTTGCTTGTACGTGTTTCGTGAACGCTTGCAACATATATCCTCTCTCGTCGAAGTCTATCAGGATGTTATTCGCTTGTAGTGCATCAATGCCTTCTGCTACCCTCACGGGACTGTCTTTCAGCTTCTCCCTTATTAGGTCGTAGTAAGTCGGAGGCCAGGTTAAGATATCGGCACCACGCGCTTTCAGGTTACGCATCTGTAAAATAGTGAATGCTTTGTTACATATAATTACCAGAAGGAGACTTTGTACAAAAGTCGATTGCTTGGGTACCTCTGTCCCATTCGTGTTTCAACCATGAAGCAGTTGTGTTTGCATGGCTGTGTTTCGGTTTGAAGGGTGGGATACGGCGTGAATTTACTGGGTACAGAGGAATACCACCTGAATCCTCAGGAATGGCAACGCATGGGGGTATCATGTGCGAAATAGTATACTCTGTTATGTCCATGGTACTGCTCATGTCTATAGGCGACGGTTACCACTTTCCATCAGGTGGGCCGTTAGCTTGTTTGCCATTCTAAGTTGTATAAAAAAAATTAACATTAACATATACACACGTGCTTACGTATTCCTTGTTGCACGCTACTATTGAGTTCCTCAATTTAAGGCGAGATTTTACTTCTCTTTGTATCTTCTACTGCCTGTACAATGGATTATGTTTAGGACACTTTGATATAATGCTTACAGCAAAATAAATACAGGAAAACCATCCTATAATTAGAATGGCCATGTACAGTGTACTTTCAGAGATACTTCCTCCCGCGAAATCTCAGGTTCTGGTATAATCTTCTTGCCGAGGCTTTCCCTAGAGCAGTGGCGTAACTATTCCATTTGGGGCCTGTGGCAAATCCCCACACTGATGGGGCCCTATCAGTAAAAATAAAATACTCAGGTACAATGTAAAAAAAATCTGAGCTCGCGGCCTCTTGAGCCGGGGCCCTTTTGGGTCAGGGGCCCGTGGCATTTTGCCAGCCCTGCCACCCTATTGTTACGCCATTGCCCTAGAGATTACATGAACCCAATGCGGTTCTTAAAAAAGGGCGCATTAAGGTTTCTTAAGGGTCGGCAACGGGCGCGTGACATCCCTGGTGTTGTGTCCATAGGCTACGATAACCACGTTTACCATCAGACAAGACGTATGCTTTTTTGCCACCATAGTAGTATAAAAAAAGTTGCGGATAACAGCTACTTATTAATAATTTTTATTTAATTCTATTACAAATTTCGTAAATATCAAGTTGAAATTTTAATTTTAGAGATAGATAAATATAAATTTTAGAAAAAATGTCGCCAACTCCTTATATACAGTTAATGTTAGTTTAGGTGTATTATTTATTGTGTGTAGTATATGCTGGCCTCCCTTAGAGAGACGATGGATGACGTTGAAAGCAAGTCATTTGCTTCATTTGTCATTTGTGTATAGGTAACCTGATAGATTGATAGATGCCAAACTAATAATAATCAGTCATAACAGAAACACAAAAAATTCACATGACTACAGTAATCTTTTGAAAATAGATTAAAAATGACTTTGTACAAAAGTCGATTGCTTGGGCACCTCTGTTCCATTCGTGTTTCTACCGTGAAGCAGTTGTGTTTGCATGGCTGTGTTTCGGTTTGAAGAGTGGGATATGGCGTGAATTTACAGGGTACGGAGGAATAACACCTGAGTCCTCAGGAATGGCAACGCATGGGGGGTATCATGGGCGAAACAGTATACTCTGTTATGTCCACGGTACTGCTCATGTCTATAGGCGACTGTTACCACTTTCCATCAGGTGGGCCGTCAGCTTGTTTGCCGTTCTATGTTGTATAAAAAAAAACTAACCGATGCTACAATATCGTCAGTATACAGAGCGACGTGCTCCACTCCTGAAGAGCCCAATGCCTTGACGAATTCGCTTGCTTTGCTGGTGGGGCGCAGTCCCTTCGCCGCTTCGTTCATGGACAGCTGCAAGCAAAAGTCAATGTAATCAATGTATAATATAAATACACATATTCTAGAATTCGTGAAATATAATATTATCAGCTTAGTTTATCAGAGATTTAGAATGTCTACCAGCTCTTTGAGATTTTATTTTTAAATTAGGTAATACCTAAGATTATAGATTATATACACACATAATTTGTAAACAGTATTTTTATTTGTACAGATAAAATATAGTTCTATCATAATAAGATTGTATAAAATAAAAAAAAAATACATGTAGACAAATTATAAATAAAAAGTTGTTTAATAAAAACTGTAGTATTAATTGATTATTTAATATTTAAATGACAAAAAATACACGCAATGCTCAAGTATTGATTACTAATTATGTCATGTATAAAAAAATATTTTTATATACATTTTGAAGTAAATATATACTGAAGAATTTTCTTTTAAAGTTATTCAGTTTTTAGATTGTTCGTTACATATTCGTATACTATTTCAGTAACAGACTCAGACTTATCAGAAACAATCATGTTATATATAAATAAACCTCTTATTGCTGTAGTATATATAGTATAAAAGCTATATGCTATCCTATTACTAAAATTTCTCTATACACTTGTTAATATTCTAAATATAAGAGGAATTAATATGATTCTCAAGCAACGCATATACCTCTGAAGTATGTATTGTATTTATATTATGTACATACAAACATTATTTACAGTTAAATTTCAAATACGATTTTAAGACAGCATCAATACAATATGTATTGTATATATGTGTGAATTTATTCTTTTTATTTAGTAGGTTTAATTGAATTATGTGGGCCAATCCCGGCGGCACTGCAATGCCGGGCCGACCCGTGACGGGAGTGGAGCGAGCCCCGAACATCCCGTCGGTTTACAAAAATCAGTTTAATATACTGGTCCCTCAGTGAGGGAACTTTCAGATATTAAGCTGATAAGAACAGATACTACACTTTGATCTTAGCCAAAAGGCCGAGAAGCGATAATGAATAAAACGCACTCGAGACAGGTCATTTAAAGCCAGAAAATCTTAATATCGCCGACTAAGATTCTGTTCATTTTTATGAGGCGACATCTAGTACGTTCATATAAAGTAATAAGTACTGTGACTATTCTGTTGTCCGTATTAATGCTGTTGCTTCGGTGTATTATTTATAAAGCGACGCTTTGCTTCTAGATGGCAGCACTAAAAGTTATTATTTCACGTTTTGAGTTTTTTATTTAATTGTCTTTGTAATTCAGTATAATTTGAAAACTAAATAAGAATTGCAATATTATAATATTTATTTTTGAATAAAATTAATATTCAACCTATTCAGCTCGGTAATTGTCTTTTATTGCAATTACAATATTATACTTGTAGATAGCAGCACTGTGCTAAATATAATAGCACTATTTTATTTTAAACCATTTTATTATTTTTTTTTATATTTATACTGTAAGTATTTATACGGCCAGTAAACATATTCCATTAAAGCGCATGAAGGCATGGTAAAAGCTAAGTAATTAAATAAACTGTCACACTCACAAGTACAGTTTCATCTTGATTGATGACAGAGGCCGAGTTGATGCAGGCGTAAGGAACCAAGTCATGACTGTAGTCCACACACCAGAATCTGAAGTAACAACATCAAAATGCAACATGATCATCACATGAGCCGTCAACTGTCCACTGCTGAACACAGGCCTCCTCGTAAGGAGGGTTTGCCAGTGGTTGACACGCTTGACAGGCGGGTTGGTGATCGCAGTTAGGATTTGGTGATATTTTAAGAGGGACGCTGCTGCCCATCCCTCGACAGTTTAGTTCCCTCGGTTGCCTCTTACGACACCCACGGAAAGGGAAAGGGTGACCTATCCTATAAAGGGATCACACGGAAAATGAAACATAATGTTATTATAATACTATTAGCACTATAAAAAAAAAATATTTTTAAAAATATATATTTAAAAATAAAACGCAATTTTTTTCGAGTCTAAGGGTATAGAGATTTTAAGGATACAATTATCATACTGTACATTTACTTTTTACTAGCGACACGCCCCGGTATCGCTCGGTTATTTAAAACTAAAATATAATTAAAATATACTCGCTGATAATATTATATAAATTATATCTATAAGTGAAAGAGTTTTGAAAATCGGTATTTTTTGATTTTATACATTACAAACCAAAAAAACAAATCTTCATCCTTTTCATTATATTAGTCTAGATAATTTGGTAAAAGTGTTAACCTGTGCATGTTGAGGTTAGTCTCGTACCACGAAACAGAGTCCTGGAGAGTACCATCCGCCATGTTTCCTTCTACGTGATCGATGTACATAAGGTTCGTATCGGGTCTGAAATTTCACAAATTAAAGTTGTAAACTACCAGCCACTGTCCACTGCTGGACATAGAACTCTCCCATAATGGGGGTGTAGTTATCACGCTTGGCATGCGGGTTGCCAATCGCAGTTAGGCTTTGGTGGTGTTTTAAGAGGGACGTTGCTGCTAATCCCTCGACCATTCAGTTCCCTAAGTAGCCTCTCACGGTCCCCACGGGACAGAATAGGATGGCCCATTCTATGGCGGGACCATATTTTTGCCTGTTTGAATTATAATAAACAATATTGTTACCTCATGTGTGAAAAACGCATCTCGCTTACTCACACGTGTGCCGTATGAGTCGACTCATACCGTAACATAATTTTTTACAATTATATTACAATTTATGTAAGGTCTAAAAGTAAGGACGCAGTTTGACTACATTACCACATTCACAAAGTGTATGAGTGCACTTCTGCCCGGTAATCGAATTGTAATTTTCTTTTTCTTTTTTTTTCTACTATTTACTATTTTATTTCTACTTACAATAATTCATTAATTGTATCTTCTTTAACCGGTTTGAATCCAGGCCGTAAAATTCCTTTATATTTGGTGCGGTCAATCAATGTATGAGTATTGTCACCGTACTAAAAAAATAAGGACTACATTAGGAATTTTGCTCCTCAAAAAAAAAAACAGTGTTTCAATGATGTCAAAATTGATATAGGATCAATTCGGGACTAAAGCCTTGATAGATCCCAAAAGGAATTGTCAAAATCGGTTATGCAGCAATTCTCAGTACGAGCATATTGCATGTATCTTTTTTTAATCAAATAGTTTGTTTTAGTGCGAGTTCTGTGTTAATTTGGTCAAAATTGAAGTGTTTTTTTTTGTTGACCAAAATCTTAAGTTATTAACAATTAAAACATTTTTTTTTATACAACTTAGAACGGCAAACAAGCTGACGGCCCACCTGATAGAAAGTGGTAACCAAGCAATCGACTTTTGTACAAAGTCTCCCTTTGGTAATTTTGATTTGGCAATTTATTAACTGTTAAAAAAGGTACTTGCTGAAAACCAGCGCTGTACACACTGCACTGGGACACAGACAGCATCAGCTGAGTTCGTTCCTTTTGGTTACTATTAGATACTTCTTACATATAATATTATTATATTTTTCTGGCAATAAATTTTTTTTTATTCTATGTATTTTAATTGTTATAGATATATTAATAAAATCATCTAATTATTGAATTGTGCTTTGATTTTTTTTTTTATAATAGTGCAATAAATTTTCGAATAATGATTTTCCATAATAAAAATACTGGATAAAAAGACTAATGTTTTTTACAAGGAATATTAAAAATAATAAAATATTTTGATTCTTACCGTTCTCAAAACAGCATACCGTACTGAGCCGCTTTCGTCTTTTTCCACGCTGATGTCCTTGATTACTTCAGCGCCCCCTTTCTTAGCTCTGCGTACCAGCTCATCCAAGTTCTGGACCTCGAAGGCCACATCTTTCACGAAGTCCCCGTGTGCTGCTAGATCTTTTGCGATCTCGCCCCCGACGGTCGTTGGTGACTCAAATACTATGGTGACCTTAAGTCAATGTCATATTTTTTTAAATAGATGATAATGGGACAGTAACCTCTTAGAGAGCGTTCAAGTATTACGTTACGCAATTTAGAGGGGAGGGGATCTTGTAAAACTCTATAATGCGTTACGTAACATTGTTTTTTTAGTTGAATAAAAAAATAAAGAATTGAAATCGCCCAATTTGGCGACATTTTTCGTTGATGTTTTTAGGTCATTTTAATTTTTTTCTTTGTCAGTATTCGTTATATACGGCCTGTTATATATACGCTAATCTCTATTACTAATAATTTGTTCACCCTTCTAGCATCATATTTAGGTATATTGTATATACCAATTTACAGAGCGAAATAAGAATTATTAACGTATTTTTAAGATACTGAATTTAAGCATTTCTCCGGGGAGAAAAACGATAATAAATGGAAAAGTGAGATTATTTCTTATATATGAGATTTGGTGTACCCGTACTATAAGGGATATATTTAATATAGGTTACATTTATCCTAGTCCGTAGATTATCCGGTTACTTGAGCGAAGTCGCGGGTAAAAGCTAGTAAGAATTTAAAAGATTTTGCAGTAATATGTAATGTTTCCCTTTCGTCAGTTTACGAAATGTATAATGTACGTGTTAGAAATTAAAGAAAAAATAAATAAATTTAAATTAAATAGTTGGTACTTACTTTATTGAGTTTAACAGCATAGGATAACACTGGCCTTTCTTCGGTTGGTTCACGTGTAGCCAACGGCTTAAAGCCAAATCTCGTGATGAAATAACTGGATGCCTAAAATATTTTTTTTTAATTAAAATTCTATTTTTAAGTTTTGTTTTTTTATCGTGATATAAAAATTGAACGCCTAAAATGTTTTTTTAATAAAATGTTTTTTTTTTCAGGTTTGCAATTCTATTTTTACATTTTCAAATTTAGATCTCATTTTTTTCTTTTTATGAAGTAATACAAACGATTATTTGGCATACTATGGTAGTCTATGATTCAACTGCCAGGTTTTTAGAGAATGAACTCTTAAAACCGGGGCCGTATTATGAAAAGCCCACGGATCTTAGCAAGTGACGATGGACTTACCGTTTTCGCATTTGCCACCCAAAATATAAGATGGTCGAAGTTTAATACCTTTCCTTCTGCACTCTTAGTCATTGCTTCCTGAAAAATAACATATTAATATATTATTACAAAGAACATGTTAATATTGGTTTAATACTTCATACATACTTCTCTTTTTACTTTTTTATTTCGTGAAAATGTTTGAATTTATAAAAAAAAAGAAAATAAATATACGCTATTAAAATGTATCTAAAACAAAAAAGACAACTTCGAATATCTGCATTGAAAGGACAATTAATAGATTAAGAAAATATTGGATCCGATTTATATATCTCTCTCTGTATTTATTAAATACTCTAACTAGTTACGTACCTACATTGGATTGTTATAAATGACAGATAGACAGATACATTTATTTAATAAGATTATTAGAACTGTATGTCTGTGTATACAGATATCCATTACGACTCACAAGCCTTGCTCTTACCATAGATATTCCAAGATACTAAAGTATGGGGTTATTCAAAAAAGGGGTAAAGAGGTTTCTTCAAGGTCAGCAACACGCGCGTAATACACCTGGTATTGTAGGTGTTCATAGGCTACGGCAACCTCTTATCATCAGATTGGCCGTTGTTTGTTTGCCACCTCAATGGTATAAAACAAAATAATATAATATTACTAAGAAATACGTCGTTTACAAATGATAGATACTTTGTTCGCAGAAAATTTGGCCTACTATACCTATTTTATTCGAAATAAAGTCTATTTCGGTGTGAAAGAATATGGCAATAAAATTACAGGGCACGGAGGTATAATACTAGAAAATGGCACATGAATTGTTATGCCCATGGAGGGGTCCCATGTTTATAAGAGTTTTTTTTAATGGACGATAAAATAATGGTAACCCCGCCTGCACTAACGGTATACGCCGAGGACAGTTTATACTGTAATATTCCTGGTGCTGTTAATGTCCATAAACGATGGTTACTTTCTATCAAGTAGGATGTCAGCTTGTTTGTCATTCTAAGTATAATAAAAAAAAAATTTTAGGACAGGGAAATCCGAATGATATAAGCTAGTCAATAAAAATACGTGAGTAACATACTAAACGTGGACTGATTTCTATTACTGCCGGCACCTAACTATTAAATAGGCGTTGTTTAGACAATTATTAGTCAATTAACTTCAATTATTTGTTGGTTTGAAGCTTTAAACAACGAGGTTACAAAATGACATTCTTTGTTTAGACCTTGTACTGCATCGGAAATGATGGTGTCTATTTTGCCATTGAGCAATGTTGCTATATGTGATTTTTTATTTCTCCATAAGATTTTAAATATAGAGATCATTGTATGTATGTTGTACGCAGTCAGTAAGTATTGAGATTGGAATACGGGTCGTAAAACTAAGAAAAAAAAAGAATTGAGCATTACATGTTTCGTTTTCGACCTTTCTTTCCATTTTTCCTTTTAAGAAAAATCTTCTATTTCCCATGCACAAAACTCTTTTAAAATTACTTAATTAATTTTACTCTGTTATTCTATGCTTGTATTTTGCAACTTTTTTTTTTATATTACTATCGTGGTCATATGCATGGCCCGTCTGATGGTAAACGGGGTTACCGTAGCCTATAGTTAGCCCGTCTGATGGTAAACGAGGTTATCGTAGCCTATAATTAGCAGGTCTGATGGTAAACGGGGTTATCGTAGCCTATGGACGCCTGTAAGATCAGGAACGTTACGTACGTATTGCTGACCTTTAAGAAACCTTATGCCCTTTTTGAAGAACCTCACGTAATAATTATTGAATAATTAAATATAATTTGGACTCACCTGTTCGATCTAGAAAATTCTAAAAATATAACCACCGGTTGTTGTTTTGCACTGACTGACACTGCACTGATGATATACCCAACAAGATATCTATATTTATAAACAAGATTTATCAATAAACTAAATCTCATCATATAAATCATGAGTTAATTGAGAAAAATATTAATAATATAATAATGATATCGATATTTAAAAAAAAAAACGGTCAAGTTACAAGCGTTATTTGCGTTATGAGTTCCGTACATGTAAGTTATGGTTTTATGTTGAAATTGCTTTTTGAAAAGAATTTAATTAAGAAAAAAAAAAAGAAATTGGTTAGGTGACTGTTGTGGATTAGATGTCAACTTAAATGAATTTAACTTTGAATCAGCTACGAAGACGGTCAAAAGTTAAATTTATGTATATATGAACTAAAAATAAGTGGAGATATTAATTCGCCTATTTATTTTCTATGCGACATGTTTGCAAATCCAGAGCCGGTCTTAATACTATTTACCAACGTAAGTAGAATATGTAGTAAAAATTTTTAAATAAATAGTTTTTATAATATTCAAAATTATTGTTTAACTGAAATTATTGTTACATATATGTTAATGATTATTATATTAAATCATTTAGATTTTTAGGATTCTTTAACACTTCTACTTTATTGCTTAAATATTTAATTTACTCGTATTTTATTTTCTACCTACCTAAATTATATTTTAGCCATGGTTAATTTCATGGTAGAAAACGCTGCATTTAGTTTTAGTTGTTAAATGTACGTATAGTTTCTTATTCTATATTCGTATATTCTATACGTATATTTCTCTTTTAAACGATATATATATATCTCTTTTTTATATTTGCTACCTCATAACTCTTTTTTTTTATCCAGATTTATTAGATATAAAATGCTTTTCCTCCAGATTGGTGCTACAGAAATTTTATTAAAATCGATTCAATAGTTTAGTTATTTAAATCAAAAGATTAGATTTTGACATGTTTGAAGCCGCTTTTTTGTGGAATTCAATTTAATTATTACACATGTGTAGGTACTAGGTGAATAAGTGGCGCTGACATGAAGAAAACTACATGGCTGTATTACATCTTTTCGTATGTAAAATCTGGTATAATTTTGGTAGAAATTCACTTAAGTAAAGTTTATAAAACAGGTGCCAATCAAGTCTTTATTTCGACTGTTATATTTCTTTTACATCGATACGATTTGTGTACCAATAGGGACAAGTAGTTTTAAATACATTAATTTTTATTATATAATATTACAGTGGATGAACAATGGAAAATTATAACAAATATATGGAACGAATACATATATTTATTTCTATATAAATATTTATTAACCGTCATTAAAATGTTTTGTTCTAAATTTAAAACATGTATAACATGAATTACACACTTGATTAGTTCTAATAAGCTCTGATATTGAGATAAGAGATGGTTATCTCTCATAGCGGACGTATGATCGAGAATAATTCCAATTAATATGTAAATAAAAATCCTGCATGTTGACGAAATAAGTAAGTAATAAAATTTATAGATACAATCTCCTTTCAAATACCATTGAGCAACTAATCGTCCCAATAGTGCGATCTGTCAATGAGTGATGTTCGTGTTATATTTGTTACCTGCCCCTGTTTCGACTACACTGGCGAGGCACCAGTGAAAAATGATAGGTGAGGATGAATCCGGTCAGATGGCCCATCGTGCGTCGTGACGAATCCATCAATAATTAACTACGATCGTTTTCAGAAGGATCCTTGTTTACCTGAAAAGATATATTACTAGCAATGGCGCTGTTAGTTACATACTTTTTTATACCACGTAGGTGGCGAATAAGCATACGGCCTGTCTGATGATAAACGATCACTATAGCCTATGGACGCCTGCAACATTAGGGATGTCACTTATCTGCCGGTCTACTGGTGAATTAAATGAGATCAAATGTTACCTTTCTCACCACAAACTTTTTATAGGGAGAGCTTATAATTCTAAATCTTCGCTTTTCCATACGATTTATCGAACATTTTCTTTCATAAAAATGTTGTCTTGACAAATATAAATAACAACAACAACAAAAAGAATTAGTCAAATAGGTGTAGCCATTTTGAACTGATGTTTTTCCAAACATTCGACGATTGTTTTTTATTAACATAGAGAGCGTTGATTGCATTTAAATAAAACTGCGTAATTACCTACGTACGATTTTTTATTTGATCGCGACATTTAGAACATTCTACTATGCAGGATAATGCCAAAGTTATTAATACTTTAATTTAATTTAATCACATATATACAAATGTTATCAAAAACATCAAACAATTTTATAGATATGCATTTTTTATATAGCCTTGAATGGAAAACGAACTGACGGTCCTCCTGATGGAATGATTGCCATCGCATATAGATTTGAACAGGACAATCTATTGTGTACTAGCACCATATAGACATATCGTGGCATCCATGATGTCTCTCTGGCGTTACCATTCTTGAGAACTCAATTATTTTGTCTCTGTACCCTGTAATTTCACTGTACAAACCGAAACAGTTTTGGGAGCATAGCTGCTTCATGACAGATACACCGTACTCATGCAAATGACTTGCACAGTCTGACTTTGACATGTCTATTTTATACTTTAAAAATCTAAACTACTATAGTTATTATCTATGGAAATACTACCATAACTCATTTTTATAATACAATTCTTTTTGTTTTTCCATTTTATACAACTATGGTAGCAAACAAGCGTACGGTCCATCTGATGGTGAACGGGGTTATCCTAGCCTATAGGCGCCTGTAACACTAGCGACGTAACGTGCACGTTGCCGAACCTTAAGAGACCTTAATATGCCCTTTTTGAAGAACCCCAATCTGTAGTCTCTAGGGAAAGTTTCGGCAGGAAGATCTTTCCACAACTTGAGTGTTCATGGGAGGAAGACCCTCAGAAACCGCACTGTGTCCCGTAAAACACTCCTACAACACAAAGAAAGTGTATGTCTAATAATTGTAAATGTATAGTAATAACCGGTAGTAAACTTAGAAAAAAATAGCTAACCCGCTAATATTGTTATGCCTCTACTATGTTATCTCTCGAGGTGGAGGAAACAATTATAACACACACATACATATATAAAATTTCAATCGATATGCTCAATCGAATTCGGAGATTAACAAGAACGAACTTAATGAATAAATTAATGTATTGTATTATATTATCTGTGCAATGGGAAAAACATTATCTGTCTTACCACCATCCATCTTCTTATCCTTATCGCAATTATTGTTTGAGGTCGGCGTAATATGTTTTTATCCATATTACAAAAAGATTTGGCTTATAGTTTTACGACCGGCCGCCTGACTGACGTCAACCCTCTTTGGGAAACGGGATTTTTTCTGTCTTACCACAAAAAAGTTAAACTTGCGATAGCCCATCTGTTTAATACATATTTTTGTCTGTATAAAAGCAAATGTTTTTTAAAAGGTATTTAAAGTAATAAATTGTATTTATATAGTTTATACATTTTGGTACATATAAACTAAACATTTTGACACCGACTAATCGCTTAGACAGTTTTGTTAAACTCTGTTTAGATAGACTGTGTTTATCTTACCGCAAAAATAATTTAACTTTTTGTAAGACATGTCGCATAGTCCAAAAAGGTTAACGCAACATCGTGTTAAACAAATTATGCAGGCATTTCAAAATTAGATACGTATAGGTAATTTCAAATTTTCGCGTTGTGGGACAAATATTTTCAGTACACTATACAATGTGAAGTTGGCTGAAGAAACAGTGCGAGTTGCCAGTTGCTTACTTCAGTCCTGTTATGACCACCACACGGTGCAATCCACGTTAAAACGTTAGCAATATAATTAAACATTGTGTCCTACAAAAAACTTCTTAAAAAGGCGACTTCAATTATCGTCAAACCAGTTATTGTGATATAAAAATTAGACTTAAGAATCAACATTAACAAAATTTCTATGTTTTTTCTTTTTCTATGTCTATATTCTTTCAGATGAAAAAAAGAAAATTTTCATATCGATTTAGATTTAAGGAGTTATGAGATAACAAATATAAAAAAAAACAAACTGAGAAACTCCTTCTTTTTGAAGTTGGTTACAAAATCAAGCATGTAAGTACTATTTACTTGCAATTGCCTCGTGGTAAGTCCCGATAGTGTATTTAAAATAGGTATGTACTTTTGGGTTATTGATTGAAGAATAATAATTTAAAACAACAGAGTCCAGTAATAAAATAATTTCTTTTTATTAATTTATATTATACACATTACAATTATATTTACAATTAGATCATATGTGGTCATTACAATATTAGAGTATTCACTTGCACCTATATTTTCCTACAACAAGGTAAGGCACCTCACGGAAGCTTCATTAAACGGCCAATTTCTGGCAATGGTCGAAAAGTGACATTAAAATATTGTACTTTATTATTAATGGAATAAATAGAGGAAGAGATTTTGGATCCAATAAATTCATTTACATAATAATACTAATAATTATAATAATTTATTTACAATAATACAATTTATAAATTTTACACATAAACTCATAAATAGACATCATAGACGCGCATTTCATTATAATAAAAAAAAAATATTATTCACATTAAATATAATGTTATTATAGATTTCGACCATAAATAAAATTCAATGCGAGTTACAAAAAAAAAAACAGTAAAAAAGTATGTAATAAACAAATAAAGTACACTAAAAATCAGATACATGGACTAGGCGTTACTCACATTGAATTTTATTTTCAGAAATCGCCACAGCATTATATATTTACTTTACATCAATAGGTAACAACTTAACATTTAAGTACTATATTTACAAACGAATTATATTAATAATTTACACAAGAAAAAAAAAAGGAAATGCATGCAGATATAAAAATACATTGGTACTTGGATAAACAATTAGAAATAATATCTATCTACTTACAAACAATGTGCCTATAAAGTGATTTTTATTAAATTCAACTCATTATTTCGTCATAGTCGTAGAATACTGACGGATCTGACAAAGATTACGTATAAAGATCCGTCAGTATTCTACGACTATGACGATATGTTCTATTCTGATACAAATTTATTTGCGTGTCAGTTTCCATTTAAATCATAGGTTATATTATTGTCACCAAGTTAATCTCAGATATGACCAATAATGTGCACGAATTCTAATTCCTTTTTAGCTATTTCCAAGTAATCAATAAATTTTATTAATATATTTGAATAAAAAAAAATCTGTACAACATTGTATAAATTACTATTTTAATTAATTAATTGTCACATCTGAGATGAAAATTAAGATGTTAAAAATTGTCTTTACATATGTTTACAGAACGATTTTAATAGTCATACGAGTATATATATATATATATATATATATATATATATATATATATATATATATATATATATATGACACTATTAACTGTTGTACAGGATATGAAACTTGCTTAAAAATAACTTGTAGAATAATAAAGTGTTATATGAATAAGCACAATCAGAAACCGAAGCAACGGTACGTTCACCACTAAACAGTTATTTACATTTTCACAATTGGCATTTTGTCTAAAATGTTCTCTAATTTCGTTATATTTATAAACTTTTTAAAACACCGTGCCATTAGAAACAGTTCCTTATATAAATATTATTCTAAAACCATTGTTTAATTGACTTCAAATGGCAGAGGTGATAGTACGTTTCATATCCTTATTTTTAAGACACTTAAGACATATTACAATGTTCACGTACATTGGTAACTTAAATTATGATACGCTTTAATTGTATACAATATTAATTTAATAAAATGGGGTACATTTACAAGATATAAAAGGAACACAAAGCACTTAAAAATGTAATAAACATTTAAATATACATAGTGGTAGATTTGGTTTATACGCGGGCGCGCCGTGAGTATGACGGCAGAAATGTAAAAATTTGAGATCAGTCAATAAAGAAGATTCACCTTTGGGACACTTTTACCGTCAACATTAAATTTAACATTACACTATACCTTTCAAAACAATATCTGTAACAATCGTAGATTTAATTCTCACTCGTATATTTTTTTATATTATTATAGTTTAATAAAGCCCTATGTTAAAATTTTATTACATCTACTTAAAAAATGTACAATTTATTATTTTTGTTAGTAAAAATAATAAGTAATAAATTATACAAAATTATTAAATATATAAATTATTTTATTGTAGTATTACTTTTTGTGTTTACCATATTTTTATTTTGTTTAATTTCGAGAGGTAAGTCATAATCAAATAAGGTAAGAAAAAAAAATTATAGAAACGATTACAGTAAATTTATATTACAGTAGTTATTTTGACATATTTTTTAAACAACCTTACGCTTTAATAATGATGGCGTTATAACAAAAGAGTTTTAAATTGAAATGAAAATTAAAAAACATTTATTTAATTTTTGTTTTAATTAAATGAAAATGTAAACGAAATTTTTGCTCAATTATTTCTTTGTATTAGCTCGTTATATTAATAAAAAAAAAATTAAAATTACATTTCACCTCAATTATAAGTCTTACAAGTGTCATACAACCCATTTCTACTTAATCTGAAATATTCTATTAAAAAATTTGCATAATAAATGATTACATTATGATGAAAAAAATTAGGCAAAAGTGTCCCATTAAATATTTGCTGAAACTTCAAAATTCAGTCAAGTACCATCATCGATTTGCTCACTTTTAAAGTATACTCAACAAGCGATGATATAATATTATATATAGACCATAATTATATGAATTGTATCGTATTACTATTTTTTATTTATTAACAAACATGATTGTATGTTATGTGTACACAGTAAACAGTTTTTGTGTAAATAACAAATGTGATATTGTCGCTTTAAAGCGAAGTCAACAGATATTGAAGAAACTAAACGCAAACGGCATTTGTGATTACCATTATTTTTGGCAAATAATTAACTTAAACGAAAACAAAAATAATTTATGGGTTAATTTTTATGGTATCTAAATATTTTAGAATTAAAAAAAAAATCAATAGTTGAAATAGATTTAGAATTATAGCCAGATCATACACAGCCAAATTTAGATGTTTTATAATTGTTTATAAATAAAAAAAAAGAATATCATTTTTCTAATATGAACAAAAAACGTACACATTGGTATTTTACATATATACATACATATCTGTCACGCCTGTCTCCCATTAGGGTAGGCAGAAACAATGGAACGCCAAATGCTATAATATTTGTATAGTACGGCATGGCATTGGCATGGTATTTTATGTTTGTAATATAAAATATTATTTGAGTTTAATTTTAAGAATGTAGATAAATCACAAGACAAGATGGTGGCGCTTAGTCCAATAATGTATGGAATATAAATATTATATTGAAGCTTGATAAGTTTGTTTGCAGCAAACCGCCAGCGCCACACCACGGCGCAGCCCGCTAAAGAGATTACAGGTAATCAGTCTACCGTTGGATATCACAGAATTGTGGTGTGTCAACCAGCTGCGCCCTCTCCACGGCGACCACGCAACCACCCGGAGCTACCAGGAGCGGTGCCGATGGTGTTCCCGCCCATACTTTTTTCACGTCTTCCGTATTATTTTGCGCCAATGGTGGCATATAACCACCCCTGAAATTGAAATAAAACAGTTTTGAATGCAACTTGTAATAATACGGTACAGTTTGTTTGTTTATTTGTTTGTTAAAACGCGCTAATCTCTTGTACTACCAGCTGGATTTTTATTTTTTCATGGGTGAAAATGAAATAGTGATCTCGCCTGCGCTATCGGTGTACACTGGCGGAGCACCAATGCGAGATGATAGGTGAGGACGAATGCATGTCAGTTGGCCCATCATGACGAATGCAACAGTAACGACGATAGTTGCCAGGGGGAATATATATTGCTAACAACGGGGCAGTTAGACTCCGTTACTAACAATCCATTCTAACTCTATTCCTTGAAGAAAATCACCACGATATATGTCCACGGGTGAAGCCGTGGGATATAAGATGAGTTTTTTTTTTTTTTTTTAATAATCCATGCATGTATAAGAATCATAGACAATTCTTTTTTTCTATGTAAGAACAATTTTTTTTTAATAGGTATATTTACTATCACATTTTTTTAGGGGTATCATAAGTTCATTCACCGGTCGTATTATAATATAGATAATACTTATAAAGCGGCATAGATAAAAAATGTATATATCAGTAGAACATTTAATGACTTTTATAAGGCACTTTCGGGAAAAAAAAATTCTCATTATCCTATGTTATTGAACATTACATATTACAACAATATTTACATTGATTTAAATATATAAATAATTAACAGTATAATACTGTCGTCATTATTATCTTTTCAGCCATTATCTGTCCATTGCTAGACATAGGCCACCCCCATAGACTGCCATAAGGAACGGTCTTGAGTTATCTGCATCCACTGACCTCCTGCAACGCATTTGTGGACGATCCTTCACTCTATAGTGAGGGGTCGTCCTACACTGCGTTTGCCCATACACTTGCCACTCAAAAACCCTTCTTCCAAGTATTATACCGTACTATACTAGTATTAATATATATATAGCCATTATATTCAGAGGACTACAGAGTTATGTTACTTGGAATGGCAAAATTTGATGTAAAGTTTAACACTTTACATCAAATTTCGCCTATGGAGGGAAAGAGTTTGTTGTTTGCAGTGGGGAATAACAGTTTCACGGCTAGCAATAGATCTAATTAGATCGACCTCCATTCGGTTCCTCAGGAAACCACCGTCGTTATTTATTATTGCTCAATTCGTCAGGATAGGCCAACGGTCTTGCTTCGTCCTCGCCTACCATTTCTCACTACTGTTCCAGCCAGTGTATACCGAGATTGCTTTTTCATATACCTATTAAAAAATCCTCGCCTATTTACAAGAATATAGATATAATATACTATGACACTTATAATACCTACTCCGTTATGAATTCTAACTAACAATAAACAGTTTGAGGTAATTTAAGAAGATAAAATCGTGTAACTCCCTACAATATCCGTATATTTTGCACGCCTCGACCGTTTGGCTTTGGGGGCCTATTTTCAGTCCTATTTTAGAAATAACAGTAGTTAACCTAAAGACGGAGGTTTGCGAATGGCACAGGAATGAATTCGAATGCGGTTGACCACACACTACTAAGGTAGCCATTTGATTCGCATGGTGGATCAAGGTCAACGACGCTTTCCGTGAAGAAAGTAGACCATGTCGAATTGTTGCTATGATATATACGACTCCTATTATGGACTATCTATTTCAAGTTGTTATTATGTCGTTCCTTATGGCAGTTTATGGGAGGCCTATGTTCAGCAGTGGACACAGATAACGGATATGATGGTAATTACTTCAGATGCCTTTGCCCATCCCTGAATAGTTAGGTTCAATAGTTCTTCTTCAAAGATTGTTAGAAATGGTTTTGAGTCACCTGAATCCTTAACTCCCTGCAAACGTATTCGAGGACGTTATTTCGTCAACGTTGGGTCTATTTCGCATTTGTCTGAATGGGGTTTCCACTTGAGTACCTATCTAATCGATAATATTTGAGCTAAATGGCTAAGCTCATTGCCATTTTGACTTAGATATGTTTCGAGATGTATCGGTTAATTTAGTACTTCTGATATTCTCTCATTTTGCGTTTTATCACGCAGCGAATCTCCTAAAAGCTTGTAAAGATGTTTGGAGATTTACTATTAATTTATATATTCCTAGATTTATATATAGGATACTTGCGTACTAATTCATACGGAGATAGCTGCAGGGTAGAGTTAGCTAATAATGAATAGCAGGGAATAACATACCTAAGTTTTCTATCAGCATGCAGCAAAGCGTCAGCTTTTAGCAGACGTACGGCAACAGCGACCAGCAGGAAGAGTATCAGAGCGCCACAGACGGGAACTGCTATGGTAGCGGCTTTGAACCACACCTCTCCATTGTAGTTGGCGCCACGTTCACTTTCTACTGTGTTGCCATCTGGAAAAAATGAATACAGTTATTTTATATGGGTTTTGTAAAATATATACTACTATGGAATAGGATTCTATAAATCAGTGTGGTTCCGGCATAGAATAGGCAACCCCTTCTCTTAAAATATCTTTAAAGCCTAACTGCGGTTGCCAATCCGCCTGTCAAGAGTGGCAACTACTAGCAAAACCCTTTAAGGGGGAGGCTTATGTTCAGCAGTGGACAGTTAAAGGCTGATATGATGATGATGATGGAATAGGATATTAAATCTTATTCTAATACAAAATACATTGTTAGAGATAGACATTTTTAATAATGAATAAGTAACACAATAACACCGTATGGTCCCGACATAGAATGGTCCACTATTTCCTTTTCTGTGGGTAAAAGGCTGTGGGTAATAGTGCGTAAAAGGCTTAGTCGCCTAATGGTCAAGAGATTGACAGCAGCGTCCCTCTTAAAACATCACCAAAAACTTACTACGGTTGCCAATCCGCCTGCCAAGTTTGGCAACTACTGGCAAAATCTCCTTATGGGAGAGGCCTATGTTCAGCAGTGGACAGTTAACGGTTCATATGACGATGATAGCAATAATATCAATCACCAGTTCCTCTAGAACTAAAATTGTGTTATGGGAAGTCAACCATATAGAATGGTCTTATTTAAGTATGATCAAATCTCATAACACCAGTGAATGAGGAAGAAAAGAGTTGTTAGTAACGGGGTCTAACAGCACCATTACTCTATCAGGTCGACCTCCACGCAGTTCCCCCTGGAAACCATTCGTGGTTAATCCTTGTGGAATTCTTAATGATGGGTTAATTGACTTGCTTCTATCTACACCTATCATCACTCACTGGTACCTCGCCAGCGTATACCGATAGCGCAAGGCGGGGGTTATCATTCAATTTTCACCCATCTAAAAATAAATCATCAATAACTTCAGATACAATCTTTATAAATTGATAAATGATCTTGACTAGATTAAAAACTTATGTTTAGATAAAACGCAAGACTTTTTTCTCTTACAGTGGGTTGATAACGTCTACAAGGTACAAATCTGATAAGTTACCAATCGTAAATTTCCATACTTCCTAGATGCAGTTGGGTATATAAATCTAACATACTCTAATGTCTATATGACCTATAACACGCGATTCAATTCCCAGAAAGAGCACTGGTCTCGTATGAAATAGTACCAGGAAAACGTACTACCAACTGCATAGGCGTTTAGTGAATTTTATCGGAAGGGCCAATGGGTATAGGGTATCATAATGGCGTGATCGAAATTTATTACATTTCATTGTAAGTTTATCGAGGCGAATAACTGGAACGAATATGTTAGCAAATGTATGTGATTGTAATTTGATCTTAAGGAATAAACTAAGTGATCAACGCGTTATTGAAACTGCAGAGTCTAGGGACACGAAATTTTTGACAATCTTTTTCCAAAACGTTTCTATCACGTTTTAGCGAGTCAGCATATTCAGTGCCCTATCATTACAGTCAGCAGTAAGCTTTAGGAAATTATGCAAGTACAACAAAATGTTTGCCTGATGGAGCTAAGGACGAGACTGGAAATGGTGTAGAACGAAAGTGAATGGAACATTCACAAGACATATTAAGTCTTTGGTACTCGGTTTTCTGTTTGGTACTCAGTATCTTGGCGTGATGATCGAGAAATTGTTACAACAATAAAGTATTAATTACTAGATAAAGTATTATTCTGCTACAATTTCTAAGTTTGTAGAATAATAAACCTAAATACACAAGGTTAGAGTCTTAAATTTATTAACAATACAACAATAATAATAATTTTTATAGTGCTGTTGTAAATATTTAGTTTATAAACTCAATTAAAATTATTATACAAAATTATATCTCTTTTAGGGATCTGAATTACCCAGTACATTACCATAAAAGGTTATACCGAAATCAGATTCAGCGCGATTAATCTTCCTGCATCGAGTATAAATCTAAAACCGGTTGAGAAAGCACAGGACTTTGTTAGTGAAGCAATTAAGACAAAAACTAATCGCGCATATAATGCGGCATTAAATTGCATTAGAAGTACCACAACGTTGATATAATTGAAAGATAAATACATAATGTACATAGGTACATAGAGTAGGCAGAAGGAAAACACTGCTAGTCTCAGATCTAAGGTTTTGCTGAACACACGTATCTTCATGTTTTATTTGTGTCATGGGCAACATAGTTTGGTTTCACTGGCATGTTCATAGTTTGTATGTACAGGATATACGAGGTTTGTCCGGAAAGTACGTATAAAAGTTTTTTAAAAATTTTATTTTACAATTATTCAGGTAAATCAATTTTATCATTTCAAATTTAATCCCCCTGTGACATAATTACTTGTAACGCCGTTTCCACTGTGAGAAGGCTTGAAAGTCCTCTGGTTGTAGGTTTCTCAGCTGCCCCGTCGTAGCTTTTTTTATCTCATTTATGTCCCCCAAATGCCGAGAAGTACCAATTTGGTTTTTGGGAACAAGAAGAAGTCACACGGGGCCAAATCCGGCGAATAGGGGGGTGTTCGGTCACCGTAATGGAATTTTTACTCAAAAACTCACGGACAACAAGAGAGGTGTGGGCAGGGGCATTGTCGTGGTGAAGAATCCAACGCCCCTCTCGCGCCAATTCTGGACGAACTCGTGCCACACGAGCTTTGAGGCGTCTGAGCACATCGACGTAGAATTTTCCATCAACTGTCTGGCCTGGAGGGACGAATTCGTCGGAATGTGAAGTGGAAGGACGTCCTGAACGTGGGTCATCTTGAACGCGTTCTCGGCCCTCTCTGAATCTTTTTAGCCACTTGTGGACACTCTCTCTCTCTCTCACAGCATCATCCCCATTGTTCTGAGATCGGCAAAAATTTCACGGCCATTCTTGCCGAGTTTCGAGAGAAACTTGATTACGACGCGCTGCTCTTCAACGGAAGCGGGCTCCATGCCGACGGGGTTTCGTTAAGATTATATATTTTTCACAGATGGCGTGACAAATATGCACCGCACGGCGGTCAGACCAGAACTGAAGCATTGTTAGGGACATAAGGAAGGGGTCCTGCGCTTACCTGTGTCCCCACTCCTCTTTCTCGCATTCCAGAACACTTTTATACGAACTTTCCGGACAGACCTCGTATATTATTAGCAACTGGTAACCGTCGCCGGCACCAACTTCCATAAGATGAGAAATCAGCTAAATATTTGTCATTTAAATTTAATTGGTATTATATAAAATGCTACAGAATTACAACTATTGTCTAGTTCTCTAGAGATCCTGTATTCTAAGAAGAAAATAAAAAGAGAATACAAGATGAATTTGACTATAGGACTATCACCATAGATTTTGGGAAGAACTGCGCACAAAACAAATATTGGAGAAAAGAACTAATTAGGGGCTCTACCATGAAAGGTAATTCCGAATTTTCGGACTCAATTTCGAGTTTCCGTTCATATCAAAATCGGCTCAGTAAATAGAGCTTAATATTTTGTTTGTACTAAATCCTAACATAAAAATTCAAAGGAACAATATTTTAACTTCAAATTTGTGTTTCGTTGGTCTCGAAATTTTGGAAAACATTTCATCACTCTCTCTCTCTCTCTCTCTGCTTATTCTTTATTAGTCTAATTCCATTTTATCAACCAGACAACGTACATTTCTGGATACAATATCACATACTAAAATTTTCGTAATCCGCTATTTAATCTAATAAATATGCATCAATGATCAGCGTAAATATAATATATATTTTGGTCTAATAGTGCAATGTTTATCCGATATACGAAATTACGAAATATGCAGAAGTGGTAGTGTAAGAGTTGTAATAGTCCTCATGGGAGGTACATTATGTGAGTAGTCATTTGTCTCCGAAAACTTTATTGACACTTTACAGATCAAAATAGTGACGCAAAAAATATGCAAGCCTTTAGTGTCTAAGGAGCTTTACATAAATCTCCGTCATAAACAAATGGAATTTCAAATATTCCTATTATTCGAAAAGGATATAAAATTGAATTTACTAAACTCAATATTGAACATTATATTATTATACGTTTTAGAACACCAAGTAAACAGCGTGAGTAATGGTACTGACTTAGATAATTCAAACTCCACCGACGATAATCGTTCTGCCCGCGGCTGGAACATTTTCTATTGCGATGTGCAATTGTTTTAACATATTCCACATTATTCCTTTGTTAGAATTAACTCCGCCGTATTATAGCAAAATGAACTCTACATCGTTGGTGATAACGAAACAATTGACTAGTTCCAAGTGTTTGCTATTAATCGACCGATATAAATAGCAGGGAACCTGTTCCAAGCGCCGTGTATCCCGGAGTAATTTATCTGTGTATTTAATATACGGGAATTGCTGTGGAAGCCAGCGTTGCAGTTTTCTGGATTTATTTATTGTAGGTATTATGTTGAAATTCGATTGGCTTAGAGCCGAGTTGAATGCACTAACCGTTAACGATGTGGAGGGTAAGCCGCGATATAATGTGATAGTTATTGATACAAGTAATAAATTCGATAATAAAACATAGGTATTTGGTTAACCTTAGTTGTATGTTTTAATATTAGATTATATTGATATAGCATCGAGTCTCAAAAACGGGTCAACTTTTTGTCCGCTAATTGTCAAATTAGCTGACTTGTTTTTTTATCAGTGTTCTATATACTTATGCGCATAATGTAATATCTATCTATCTATATTTAGTTATTTAATAAATAAAATGAGTTTTTACACATTAAAAAGATGCAAAAATTATAAGAAAAGGAGGTTCTCAATTCGATTACTATTTTTATGTTTGTATGACCCCGTCATTAATGACCTAAAACAATATGCTATCAGATTATGTAGTTCTATAGAAATTTTATCAAACAAGTTTAGTTTTAAATAAAAAAAAAAAGGTTTTGCCACGATTGGAGTTTGTTTTTTTCGTGAAATACAACCTTATATGTACAAAATCTTAATTAAATAAAAATATTAAAATACATCACACAAACATAATACCGGTAAGACATGGTGTTTACAAGGAGTTATATGGATTTATGTCTATACTTTTACTACTATATTTGTATATGCATAATTAATATAAGTTAGTCAAATGTCTGCGTTTATAGTTTTATTGCGTTGCTAATTGGAACATATCTTTTCAGAGCAATAATAAAACGAGAAAGGTATATTAGCTCTATAAAGATGATTTTTACAATTTAAACAGTTAATTTCCTTTGATTCCAGTACAGGTTTTCTTTGAAAGATTGTATAAGAATGGTACTAAATTTGTATTCTTTTTTTTATATACAACTTAGAATGGCAAACAAGCTGACGGCCCACCTGATGGAAAGTGGTAACCGTCGCCTATAGACATGAGCAGTACCATGGATATAACAGAGTACACTGTTTCGCCCATGATACACCCCATGCATTGCCATTCCTGAGGACTCAGGTGTTATTCCTCTGTACCCAGTAAATTCACGCCATATCCCACCCTTCAAACCAAAACACAGCTATGCAAACACAACTGCTTCACGGTTGAAACACGAATGGGACAGAGGTACCCAAGCGATCGACTTTTGTACAAAGTCTCCCTCTGGTAATAATAAATTTTATCCTAGGATATAATAAATTTTAATGATAAAGGTAGGAAACTCAAAGTAATTATATATTATTTGTGAACTCTACAGATTTATTTGTATTATATTATACCTTTTCATAACGATTTACTACGCGACAATTCTTAGTTTTATAGTAAATGTGAAAATGAGTTTGTTTTTTATCTTATAGCACCTTAACAGCTTAAAGGAAAGGGTGGCCCATTCTATGGCGGAACCACATGGGTATGAAGGATGGGATATCACAGTAAAATTATAAGATATGGAGGTGAAATACGATAGTCTTTAGGAATAGCAATACATAAGGGGATAATATGGGTATTACAGTATATACTGCGATATATACGGAGCTGTCTATATATGGGCAACAGTTACAGTTTTTCATAAGCTAGGCCGCCAGCTTTCTTGCCATTCTAAATATCATAAACCCCGTCCTTCCTTTTCCGTGGATGTCGTTTAATGGTCAAGGGATAGGCAGCAGCGTCTCTGTTAAAACAACATCAAAGCCAAACTGCTGTTGCCAATCCGCCTGCCAAGCCTGGCAACTACTGACAAAACCCTCCAAAGGGGAGGCCTATATTAAGCAATGGAGGGTTAACGGCTGATATGATGATAATCGCTCAAAGAACCGACAACCGATGAGGAAGAAAGGTTCTGGTGGCGACCGCGTACGGGTAAACGCAGTGTAGGAGCACACCCGACTAGATGGAGTGACGATCTGAAATGCATTGCCGCGAGTCAGTTGATGCAGGTGGCTCAGGACCGTTCCTTATGAAAGTCTATTAGGGAACGCTTATGTCCAGCAGTGGACGGATAATGGCTGAAATGATGATGATGATAATACAATAAAGTGTCATACAAAAAATTATTAAGTCGAAATAAGTAGTCACAGCACTAGCATGTTAGGCTTAGTTTACGCTATACGCTTAGATTACGCACGCGTATTACCACACAAGGTAAATGCACCTTATCGCCACAATGTATCATTACGCGTACCTTAATTGGCCGAGGCGCTGGGTGTCCGCGACGCATATTTACGGCTTATGGATGGCGAATTAGAACGTGTTCATGTTAATGAGCGGAGCGGTAATGGTGCGACCGTCGCTCTATGAAATGTTGCAATTTTTATTTATAGATGCGATTTATCATAAAAGTCGCTAAACAACTATAATATGTTAGCGATCAACAACTCTTCAGCATCAGTAGCTTATATTTTTATAAGTTTGTTCTTTTTTTAAATTTTAAATTCTAAATGGTTTTATCACTTTACAAATTCTATTGGCGACTTCTTACGCGTGCCGATTGAACGGGATAATTAAAAGTCCATGTCCTTTTTCATCTTAATTAGTACTATCAATTCATGACAATTGAGCCGTTCATGCCCCAAATGGCAACAAACTTTCATATAATATATACCCGGGGCTTCACTCGCGTGAATCTGTATATAAAGTAACCTATATGTTATATTAGGATATAACCTATCCAACTTTCATTCAATTACATTCAGTAGTTTTTGTGTGAAAGAGTAACGAACATCGTTGCAAATTTTCGCATATATAATATCAACTAATATTTGTAAGGATTCTATTTTGAATAATATTTTAATTATCTAATAATATTTTTATTATTATTAATTTAATAATCATAATATTTTAATTACCTACTTCAAAGGGGGGGGGGGGATCCATTTCGATAAATCCAATTGTATTCTTTTGTTTGTGTAACGATTATTATCAACTACTATTAAGTTATCACTGATAACGACTTTTTCTACCAAAAATCTTAACTCTTTAATTTTTATTACAGCTATCTGCTTTTCAACGACAAAATAAACGGTACATATTCAAGATTTGTACGTGCTCCTGATTATCATATAATCTCGGCGAGAAATCAACCATCTAACTAAGCCTTTACGAGAATGGCATTCAAGTAATTACGCATGTTACAGTCCCCTTAATTTGTTGTTCGAGAAAAATATAGACACAGTGTGCACTGGGCATAATGCGTAATTATCGCTTACTGCCTAGTGTGTGAGTCATAATTATTTATGTATAGAATAGATACGTAAATTATGACCATGTTTTAATTTTAAATAGCAACGTGTGGTATAAATATAAGAGAATAGCACTAAATATTATTATGGTGATATTGATGCGTAAACACTAAATACATTGATTTTACTTACTACATCTTTTATATATATAAATTCTGTCTTTTTTATTTTTTATAATCTTAGATTTAGTTGCTTTGAGTAGAGAAGGAACAAGATTCAAATGTGTCTACATTAAATATATATAGTAGACAAGTAGGTCTGCGTAATTTGTTTTTTTTTTTTAATGATTGAATTATTAAATGTTCAAATCGCAGGCGGGGTGTCTGCGCTATCTATATACGCTGGCAGGCAATGAGAGGTGATCAAAATGAGGATGAAAGTCAGTTAGTTGGTCTATCGTGACAAATTTAAAAAAAATTTACTATGGTGTTCTCCAAGGGGAACCGCGCGGAGGTCGACCCGACAGGGTATATCGCTAACAATGCCCCTTCCCTATTTTGCGTTTTGGTCGGGTTAATTTAGAAAACGTACGAAATCGAGTAAATTTCTTGGTTTTAATCATCAGAGTTATTTATTCATATGTACTTTTTTTTTTATTATTTCAGCCGTTAACTGTTCACTGTTGGATATAAGCGTTCTCCATAAAGGGTAGTAGTTGCCACGCTTAGCAGGTGAGTTGGCAACCGCAGTTAGGCCTTTCAGGATATTTTAAGAGGGACCCTACTGCCCATCCCTTAGTCGCCTCTTACGACACCCACGGGAAAGGAAGGAGTGATCCATTCTATGCCGGGGCACAAACGGCGATATGTGCATTGTTTGCAAACAATTGGCGTAACGTTAGTGAAATGTCAGTTTGCTATTCACAGTAGTATAATTTTAGAAAAAATTACCTAAATCATTAGCCGTCATGTTGAGCCTGGCTCGTGCAATTGGACTGTCCTCATGATTGCACAGGTCTCGGAAGCAGCACAGTAACAAAGAGTGTCCCGCTGACGACGGCGTCCCACCAGGCGAGTTCTGGCACTGTGACAATGCCTCATTTTCTCTGTAAAAAAATAATAAAATAAAATTGTAATACATAATATATTTTTATTGTGTCGAATTTATAATTTCAATATAGTGGCACTATTCATATAGAAGGCGGGGGAAGGGATTATTAGTAATGGGGGTTAGAAATCCTCACTGTTTTTCTTTTTTATTAGTCAATTATAATGGAATGGTAACCCCGCCTGCGCTAACGGTATACGCTGGCGGGGCACCAGCGAGGGATGATAAGTGAGATTGAAAAGGCAGGTCAGTTAGCCCATCGTTATGAATACACCTGGAATTCAACACGATAGTTTCCAGGGGAGACCACGTGGACCTCCACGAGACCTGATAGCAATATACCCTATCTGCATTACTAACAATCCCTTCCCCCCGCAACCTCACTGTTAACCACGATGGTTTCCAGGAGGAACAGCAAAAAGGACGACCTAGGGTATATTCCTAACAATAGGGCTGTTAAAACCCATTACTAATAATCCCTATCCCCTTACGCTATCAGATTAACCTCCATACAGTTCCTCCTGGAAACTATTGAAGTACCTACTGGCCTGTTTTCATGCTCATCTATTAGATTCACTGGTGTCCAGTTACACTAGTTTACCAATAGCGCTAGCGGGGTTACCACTCCATTATTACTCATTAAAAAAATTACTCATTTTTACCAGTAAAACGATGAAGTGTTCTGATAACTGACAACAAAACTGTATTATTTAATATATACATTGCACATAAAACTTGGTGTAGTTTAACTTAATTTTTTTTTAAATCGGTTACCAAAGTCCTTATCTGATGGGACCGGGGCCATACATTGGGGTACTAATGAGCTGTAACGAAGATAGTTTATTTTTTAAGCAAAACTGTTCCCGTGAAAATTTCAAGAAGTTCTTTATTAATCCCACGCCATAAAGGGATCCTATGTTTAAAATTTCAAGTTTCTATCAGTGTGAACAAGTTTTTTTATAATTTTATATATATTCTTTTACTTTTACAATTTATTCATGAGAGAAGAGATAGTTTCTAGACCAATAACTCCATTGGCAGCAATGTATTCAGGTCAGGTCTTGGAAACTATAGTCAATTCTTAGTGCATTAGATACGATGAGCAGACTGACCAGTCTTCATTCACCTGTCATCCATCACTGGTAAAATAATCGCAAGATGAATTAAAAATAAATTTTCAAAATTAAAAAAAAAACTACTTATTATACTTGTAAAACTTTCTACCGCATGGTAGACAGTCAAGGCCTTTCACATTTGACCGGTTGTCCGTCCGCAAGGTCGTTTGGCAAGGCAGTTGAGTTGGAGATGTCTTCCCCATAAACTTTATTAATGACTATTATATTTCTATTTTGATAATATACTGTGACCGGTTTCAACGCGGCCTTGCCAAGCAGTATTAGTCCAAATGCGATTATATCAATATTTAATTTTATTGATTCGCTACGACGTTTTATAACGTTTATTTTATATTTTATTGTTCTATAGTTAAAGAAAGATCATAGTTTTTGTTATCTTTTTAAGATAAATATAAATAAATTGGAAGAAGGGGATTAATTGTATCGGGGTCTTTCAGTCCCATTGCTAACAATATACTCTGTTTATTCCCCTTGGAAACTATAGTCATAATGTTGGTGAAATCACCGTGATGGGCCAACTGATTTAATTCTTATATTCAAAGGTATTCTGCTAGGTTTATGCTATAGCACAGGCGAGTTGTCATTCAATTTTCTTACATTGAAATGAGATTTTCAATGAGACTCTGCTAATGCAAATTAGTATCTTAGTCTAATTATCACATTGTTACACATTAGAAATAAATTTCTAAACATCCAAACTTTCACATTTACTATTTTTTAATAAGATGAATAGGATAGCTATATACTACCAGAGGGAGACTTTGTACAAAAGTCGATTGCTTGGGTACCTCTGTCCCATCCGTTTCATCCGTGAAGCAGTTGTGTTTGCATTGCTGTGTTTCGGTTTGAAGGGTGGGATATGGCGTGAATTTACTGGGTACAGAGGAATAACACCTGAGTCCTCAGGAATGGCAACGCATGGGGGTATCATGGGCGAAACAGTATACTCTGTTATGTCCATGGTACTACTCATGTCTATAGGCGACGGTTACCACTTTCCATCAGGTGGGCCGTCAACTTGTTTGCCATTCTAAGTTTTATAAAAAAAAAATACTATAACACATAGTTAAGACTTAAACCACGATTAAATATATCTACTACAAGATATTATGCTTTAAACAGTTTAAGTTGTACGTGAGTGATTATACATCGAAAGATTAAAAGTAAAATTGCAATATCGTAGTAATTAACTAGATAATCTACTGATTGCAGATCTTCGTTTTTATTGGCACAAATTAATTTCAACACGCACAAAAGTTAATAGTGTTGGTGTAACAAAAAGTGGCCTCGTAAGGCACCTTTTCTACATTGGCGGCAACAAAAAGTCAATGTCTAATTTACTTGTAACATACTCGTAAACCGAGGATTATCGTGTGGTTTAGTTGACGGGAGATCGATTTTGGAATTTAAATTTGGAATTTTTTATGACTATGTATGTATGTCAATGCCTATATATGCAGAATAGACCTGTTTAGAATTACATTTTTAAATTTAGTATATCTTTTTTTATCATCATTATCATTATTTCAGCCATTATTCGTCCACTGCTGGATATAAGCCTATATTTTTTTATATATGACATTAACTTTATTATAATACATTTCTCTATCACAAGTGATCGTGTTCTTATTTTATATATTACAGTCCTATCTACATATGACTCGTTAGAACTCTATGTAATTTTGACTGTTACGGTAATAAGAAAGATTTTAATGATTAGGTCTCCGTAACAAAAAGGAGAATGTACTCTTTGTTCAACTATACATCGGCTAAAATATACCATTGTAATAGCGCTGTATTTCAACAACTATTGATGATATTGAATATAAATTAAAAATATTTTTAAAAATTGTCGATCCCCTGTTATTGACGAAAAAATGGAAAAAAAAATTTCTTTGCAAAAGAGTCGGAATTGAGGTTTCGAATTGTCAAAGTAGGCTTTAAGGATATTAATTATGATAGGGTTTCATTTTCACATTTTAACTCTTTTTTATTTTTATTTTTTTATCCGCATAGTTTTCAACTCTTTTTAGATTTTGATCTTATCTGGCAACTTTCAGATTAGTATCCTTTTATTTATAGGTAGAGAACCTTGCCTAGCAGCGGGTTGTAATGTTTCCTATATCTTAAATATCTTATACCCGCTGTCGCTTATGCGTCACACCATACCAAAACATTGCTATCAACGTGTACCATCGGATAAAGATTACAAGAGTTTCGCAAATGTTTAAATGCCAGCGGTATCGATGTTTGTTTTAGTGTAAACATTGTTTTTTTTTTTGTTCTGCTTTCGTCAATTGCATTGAAGAGTTCCGGGTTGTTACTCGAATATAACATATTAAAATGGGCCTTTTGTTTATTTTTTTTATGTGTGACTAGTTTTTACACACGATTTCGTTCACGTGATCGGAATATTAATTGATCGAGGTAAAAAGTAGCTCGTGTCCTTCTCTAGCCCAAATATCACGTGTCATCAATTTCATGATGACTGGTTGAGCCGTTAACAAGTAACAAACAAGCAAACAAACTTAGTTTTACATTAACAATATTCTGGAACATTTTCTTTCATTAGTACCATGCGACGTTCGAAAGAGCAATTTGTTTTTAACCGACTTCAAAAAGAAGTTCTCAATTCGGTTGTAATTTTTTTGTTTGTTTTTTTTTTTTATACAACTTAGAATGGCAAACAAGCTGACGTTTGTTACACCAACACTATTAACTTTTGTGCGTGTTGAAATTAATTTGTGCCAATAAAAACGAAGATCTGCAATCAGTAGATTATCTAGTTAATTACTACGATATTGCAATTTTACTTTTAATCTTTCGATGTATAATCACTCACGTACAACTTAAACTGTTTAAAGCATATTTATCTTGTAGTAGATATATTTAATCGTGGTTTAAGTCTTAACTATGTGTTATAGTATTCTTTTTTTATAAAACTTAGAATGGCAAACAAGTTGACGGCCCACCTGATGGAAAGTGGTAACCGTCGCCTATAGACATGAGTAGTACCATGGACATAACAGAGTATACTGTTTCGCCCATGATACCCCCCATGCCATTCTTGAGGACTCAGATGTTATTCCTCTGTACCCTGTAAATTCACGCCACATCCCACCCTTCAAACCGAAACACAGCCATGCAAACACAACTGCTTCACGGTATAAACACGAATGGGACAGAGGTACCCAAGCAATCGAGTTTTGTACAAAGTCTCCCTCTTACCTCTTATCCATCTGTAAGGATATATTAACAGATTGATCCTATAGAAGTTCTATTAAAATTGATTTAGTAGTTTAGTTTTTAAAACAAAATAACTGATTTTGCCACGACTGAAGTCAGTTTTTTTTTTTTTAGTGGAATAACTATAAATAATAATGTTTTTTTTTTTTAATACGAGATATTTATAGAAGAGGCAAAATGGTCAACGGACTGTCACTGTGAACATTCGAAATAATGTCCACATCGTACACAAAAGTTTAATATACATATAGAATACAAATTAGCTTACTAAAAGGCTTACTAGTTCTCAGTTCGGTTCTCACGGACGGACAACATTTACATAAACTTAATACACGTCCACATAATATTATATGAATATTGAATAGAAACAGTCTACGGCTAGATTCTTATTTTTAAACTACCTTTTGCCCGCAGCTTCGTATGTGTGCATTTTTGGAAGTAGGTAGATAGGTTTATTAAGATAATGCATTTTTTTTATACAACTTAGAATGGCAAACAAACTGACGGCCCACCTGATGGAAAGTGGTAACCGTCGCCTATAGTCATGAGCAGTATCATGGACATAACAGAGTATACTGTTTTGCCCATGATACCCTCCATGCGTTGCCATTCCTGA